AGAGTTGTTATTGGTGAAATCAAAACTGCGGATTTAAAAGTTTATAAATGATTTCTAGTTTCACTTTCAAGATCTAACCAAATCCGGGCCCGAGAAAGATGTGAAAACTTTTTATCAAGAATTTTTTAATTAATCCTGCATTCGACTAGGATCCCCGATCTTGAAAGAATTATTTGATGTCCCCTTGCGATTTGAATTTATAAAAATACTGAGAATCAATAACTCCTCAATTATATATTTTTTAATTTAATCAGTTAAAAGCCTCGGAAGCTTTAGATCAAATCCAAGTCTAATTTCGGCGAAGTCTAAATCACAAATTTTCATTGCAAATCAAACATATTTGAACAGGATTTAATTTAATTAACCAAACTATAAATAATAACTCTAGCCGATGTAGCTTACGAGTCCAGATTCTTGAATGACAGGCAAAGAGCCTTGATACCCCGGATGAATTCAGTAAGAAATGACCGGGTGGTCTTTGAAATCTTATCTCTCTGAAGTCGGCTAAAGTCGGCGACTATTCAGGCGCTTTGTAACTTAAAACCAGCAAGTACGCGGGGGTTCCCAATTCGGGATGTACCAGGAGAAAGTGGTCGCCTAGGGGGGGGCACATTTGCTGGGCGTTTGATGTGGACCAACCAGCTTGAAATAAAGAAAGTGAGCCGTTGTGGGTTGTCGTTTGTGTTTGCCGGGAAGTACGGATTTGTGATTTACCGGTGGAGAGGCTGCCGGGTTTTTTTTCGGGTGGGGCAAAAGGTTCAATGTTGGACTGACGAAAGAACATTTTTGCAAGCCGCGGAATCTTACTATATATAAAAAAATAGTGTTTGTGTGTAGGCACTTTGCATAAAAGGCTCGAAAAAACCGGGCTATCGAGATATCAGGACGGAAAAAGAGTTTTAGGGACCAGCTGAAACGTATTTAGGGTTTACAACTTTTGGCAAATGGCGAATATAACTTTAAAACAAACCAAACTACCATACTCAAAGTCCGGGCTCAAACCAATATTTTACGACCCAATCCACCCTACCGCCCGCCCGTAACTATCATTACAAGCACTTGGCTCCGCGCCAACCCGCACCCTTCTCCCCACCACAAAGCTCGGCTTGACACATTTTGCGCGCGCCCTGACGCCCTATGGGTCCGGATTGTTGTAACTGGGCAGCGAGCCAATGGGGAAGTAGTGGTTGATGAGTCAACGGGGCAGGAGGCCCGTCCCAGCCTAGATGATTAGTGGCTGGGCCCTTCGGCTCCAAGAGCAGTTGGCCTCTGGCCAGTCCTTTCCTCGCTAAACTTCGGATTTTTCGCTGGCCAGGGGTCAGTTGTGTGGAGTGGGGGGATGGCGGGATTGGGGGAACGGTTGGAAAGTACATTCTTTAGGGATCGCACGTAGGTTATGGGAATGGAGGCTAGCTACCTGGAGCATGGTAATTTCTAATTTCCTTTGACAGCCGGAGGTATGCCCAAAGTAAACCAAATTAATGAATTTCCTACCGCTATCGATCACTTTAACCAGGCTCTTACATTCTGCTGTTTTAGTAAAACCTGCACATATAATATACAGGGTGTCCCAAAAAAAATCTACCCCGACTAGAATTCGGTATCTATCGAAAGCTCTCGAAAAGGCGAGAAAACAAGCTTCTTTCGTTTGTCAATATGGACATTTTAATTCACTAAACTTACGGCAAAAATCCATGAAAACTGCAGATTTTATGCGAAATCAGCATGTAAATTGCTTGCTAAAGCAAGTAAGACGATGCTGATCTTACTCTTTTTCAAAGAATTGTTGAATATCGAGCGCGGGCCAAAAAATTTTGTAAATCGAGAAGCGCTTGTTTTCTTGCCTTTCCCGAGGGCTTTCGAATGATGTAAAAATTATGCCGATCCGACCTTTCTCCGGAGCGCTAGGGGGCGTCGATTTTTTTTTTGGGACACCCTGTAGATCCTCATCTTCTGTAAAAACATGTTTCATATTATTTCTATAACCCCCTTAAAAATCTCTACCCCCTCCCCGCATTTAGCACCCCGCAGGCGCAGCTCCAATTTCTTTGAGGAATTTTTTTGTTTATAAACTGAAAGCGCCATCCGGGCTGAGGCGCTAGATATGAAAAACTACAGTGAACCTAAACAGATCCGCCTTTACGAAATATGCTTCATCTGGCCTTGGGGTGTCTGGAGGAGTGGAAGAAAGTTCTAGCGGATTGGCCGGGTGGTCTATTGGTTGGGCGGAGGACTTTTGGCTGGACTACGGCTCTTTCTGGCTTAACCCTAGTGAGGTCACGGATGGACAGTTGGCACCTCAAATTTCGACCCGCATTGCACCCTGACCTTCGTAGCTTTTCCTGGGTTTTGGGGTCGAAATAGAAGGTAATTTTTTTGGATGTTGGAAGCCTGGAAGACAAGAAATTAGCATAAGATGCTCTTCGACTGGGCGTAAAATAATGAGATACTTACTGAACTTGGTCTAGCTAACCGCTATAAAACCTCGGATGCTTTTTCAAAACCATAAAACCAGCTCACTTGTTCTTCTTCGTGATGTGCGGCGGCAGCGGCGGGGGTGGTCGTTGCAAATCTGGTAGCGGAGGTGTCCAGGGAAACTGTGGCCGCCGCGAGATCATTGCTAGCTCTGAAACAACAAGTTCAAGACATATTAAAAAGTTTGCAACGACGCAGAAGAAGGAGAAGTGTGGGGGACTGGAATGGGCCCGGGGGGCACCGTGGCTGGACTGGGCCCCCGGCCCGGGCCACCGAGACATGCCCGCCCTCTGCTCCCTCCTCAACAGCCCCCAAAGGTAAAGGATCCCCCAAAGAAATCGGGAGTGAAAATTTCGGGAATGTTATTTCGATTATGTAGCAGCTTATAGGAATTGCTGATCGCGAAAATTAAAGAAAAACTGCGGGTTTGTGGCGCAGATTCTGCATTAATGATAACCTAGTGGGAATTTGTAGACAGGAACATTTTTTCGAGAAGATAAGCCAATAGCTTTTTTACGCATTAATAGGAACATATTCCCGACTGGCAATAAGCATAACACAATTCAAAGATATTTTATTTTGAATGACCATTCATCCGTTTCCACCTTTCACAAATTACGAACGAATATAAACAAAAGCCCGACAACATCGACGCAATCGAACCCCCCTGGAAGACCCTTGTTATTCCAAAACTATTCCAGGCCATTCATCCAAAAGTTTTTGCTGTTTTCTGGGCCTCGATTTGGTGGGATTAGAAAAGTGAACAGCGCCAGGCAAGAAGTTCACGTGCACCGGAAGAAAAAGCGGATTTCCGCGGCTCAGCCCCGCCAGGCAATGTTGCCTTTCCCAAGGTGTGGCTCTTAAAATAATTTTCTTGAATGTTTCACAAACTTCGGCTGGATTTTCACAAATTCGAAAAGGTGTATGTAATATGAAAACCAATAGAATCTAATCACAAACTCTTATTCTCGTATTGCGTCGCTAATTTTTGTTTCAAAACCTGCACATATTCACCCAAGCAGAAAGCCCACCCACATCCGGTTCCCCCCGAAAACATTTCATAAGTATACCACAGTGTTGCACATGCACTTCATATATACAACGTGGGTCCTTTTAATTAGCGAAAACATTCCCCCTATATCACGTCAGGCGCGGAGAAGCAAATGACGTGCCCACCATCATTAGACATGCTCCCAAACGCGTTTTGTATATCTTTCCGAAAATACGCTGCTCATCCGATCACCGCTCCAATTAATGTGCCCCATGGGAAATGAAGGACGCGCACTGCAGCCGGGCGGGAGTCTCTATATATTATTCTCTTTCTTCAATGTTTCCGTGAGAAGCTGAACGATGAATGTTTGATGGTAGGCTGGGAATATGTGTCTGTAATACGCGGATACATTTCTCCAGATTGGTGTGGGTGCTTGACCAAGAAAAAAAACGGAGCGGAAACTCCTGTTTCCTGTCGAGGTAATCAGTCATGCTGGTTTTGGGGGTTGTCGACGACAGAGCCGAATTTCCTTTGCTTTCCGATGTGGGCAGTGTGTTTATTTCGGCCCACCACCGGAAATAAGCTTCATTCGGGGAACTTCACGACTATCAATGGAACGCCACCCCCACCCCTCGGCTTTTCCATCGAACGGCTAACAATGATGTTTTTGATTATGCTGCTTGCTCTATCGGCAAAAGCTTTGGGTGCAACTAGTCCTTTCCCATCAAGTGTGAAAAATTGGGAAACGTTGAACGCTTATTTTGAGCAGTTTTTCTCAGGTGAACTTGCTAAGATCCTCAAAACTAGGTCACTGGTTTTAGAAAAAGATTCTGAAACGATTGCCTCATGGAATGCCAAACTCCCCACCATCCGCGAAATTTCAGAAATGAAGAAGGCAAATTCCCCGTTAACCGTCACATGTCCGGCCACGACCCATTTTAGTTGTCATCACAAATCTACGATATGCGTAAAATTCGCGACTGTGACCCTGGGCTGGTAATGGGCTATCCGGCATTACAAAAATGGATGAGAATCTCACCGTTTTTGGTATCGGCGATTTTGGGGGAAGGGATATTTGATGACGGTTTTAGGGCAAGTATTGCATCGTACACGAGGAGATACCGAATAACACCATCCGCCGTTTTCCAAGAGCGTTCGGGTAAAAAGTGAGAATCAGGTGAAGTACAGCTTGTTAGTTACTTCGCTGTTGCGATTCCGGAATTTGTTGAGCTGCAACTACATCACTCAGCGTCACATTTCCAGTCTGATTCTGCCGTAGGCCTAATTTCCAGGTTATCATGATTAGGTTTGTCGCCAAGCTGCGGTGCTATTCGAGAAAACCAAAAGTCGTTCCTTAGTAGTGGCAGGAGCCAACCGATTTTGTATTCAAGGGTATGTTGACGATCATAAAATAAAACTAATTTGAACAAGCACCGACCCGTCTGAAAGAAATTCATCGCTCTTGCCTCCTGGTACCAATTCTACTTGCCAACCTGGAAATACAATTGCGGATGCTTCACACAACGTTCATTTGATGTTCAATTATTGGAACATATTTTTGAGAGGTATTTGAAGCAGTGTAAAGTGTTACGATTTTCTATAGACCTGACCAGAAACAAGGATAAGAACTCCACATTTATTCAATGGCACGGTATGAAAGAGGAAAGGTGGGCCATGAGTCTCAGAATTACCATAAAATATACCGGACACGAGCCCTTGACATCCACGATATTATTCAGTTGCCCTGGTTCTGATGCGTTCGTAAGTGCAGGCGCCAATCCTACAGCCACGTTGTATCTCAATCAGTCGTCTATACCGAATCGGGTATGAATTAAAAGGTATCTAACTTTTTGAATTTCAGATTACCCGTGCGGTGCGGACTGTCTCAAAGTTACTGAAGGCCAATACGCCAAGAGAGGATAAGAAATGTAGACTTGTCGCAGAGACAAACGTTTTTGGGCGGTAGGGGCCTGAGGAAAAGCTCTGATTGTTCCGATTAATTTTTAAGATACATCTACGGCGTACCCTTTCAAAAACTATGCAAAACCCCATCATCAATTGCCAACCGCGATGGAACATTTATTCACATAGAACAACACGCAAACTCTCGCGATAACCTGGACATTTGGATCAAGGTAAATTACTGAATTCATTGCGGTTTTCTATACTTTCTTGCAATATTATTTTTGCTTTTAGGCCCTTCAAATCGCCTTCAAAACAATAAAGATAAGGATTCATGATGAACTTGCATAAAGTGTTTTGAATCGCCAGTGGTCCTGTAGCGCGCACATTATTACGCCCTCCAATTCCCTCACGCGATTAGCCCATGGTTATATGCTCTGTTTACCAGCTGAGTCTTGTTTATAGCACGTTTTTCTTTGATTTTTTTATCCTTCTTTGTTTATTCAGTAAGCCAAAGCTTGAAAAATCAGTATCAGCTGGTTATCTATACTGCCTCGTTTCGCATCTGTCAACATGAAGCCGTTTCCTGCATATTTTGCGATCACTTACTTTTACCATTCGAGCAAACCGTTGTGACAAATAACCGGCTTAATTTATGATCCAAGCTATCGATTTTGGCTTTTCGGCAACGTTCCCCGCTATTTTGGCCACCTCGTAAGCATATTTGGATATCGATGTTCATTCTGAATTTGTGGCCCCCTTCCTAGGAACTGGTGCTTCTGAAGATCTTCAGAATTTTGAGTTTTAATGAAAATAGTTGATTAAATCTCAAAGCCTACTTAAAATTTTTGAGAAAATTGAAAACAAGACGGAAGTGGTCGGTCAAGCGCAGGTCGGTCGGTTTTCTTGCTTTAGCAAAAAATCCAGTCTTGGTCCGCTATTAAACTTTTGTTATTTTACATATAGCTTCCGAAGCAGAATTATAGCGCGTTTAAAACTTTTCAAAGATTTTAGTTGATGATCCTTGTTGGAAGATAATTTGTAGATGCTAAAGTAACCCGCAGAAGTCTCGACCTCAATAATTTTTCGATGACCGTGGTAGTATTTGAATATCAGGTGGCGTTAGATTTTTGGGAATTTGTTTAGAGAGGTGCTTCTGAACTCAAACTCCACAGTTTGTAGGAACCACATATCTCGTTACGAGAAACTTACTGTAGTCATCCAGCATCTCTGGTTGATTTCGAAGCGCCCTGGTGACTTTTCAATAAGCACCCACGCCCTCCCCAACACTCCGTTCTCAACCAAATTTTCCGGATCACCAATCCTATGGGACGGGATTGTCCGGTTGAGATTTAATAGCCCACTGAATTTGCACGTCGACGCCCGGGGCCGCGCCGACCTTGCCAGCAAGGCAAGATGGAGCCGAAAAACTGTGTTTTCTCGGGTCACTTCCTCCCGGGCGGTTCCCGAATGGTGTGTAGAATGAGAGAGTGAGAGAGGTGGGCTAGGAATTTGGCACAAGGTCGGTGTCCCCGGGATCGTCGCTATCTCATCTCGGGTCAGCTCCCCCAAAAAGTGCGCGCCCCATTCGAAAAACCGAGATCGCCGGCCCAGATGATAGATGTCCGGCCTTGAGCAACGTGACCCCGAGGGAGGAGATCGGTCCATGGGGACAAATCGGGACGGCCGGCCGGGACATCGTTTGTAATTTGAATCTTACTGGAGTGGCTAGGCCAGCGGAATGGAGGTGCTGGGGTAGAAATAAGTCAGGATTAAGGCAAGAAAAAACCTTACAGTTACGGCGCACTGGATACCCCCCAGGCTTGTTAGTCTAACAGATCCGTGACCGGCGATTTCGTACTAAAAGTCAAATACCTATATTCAAGTAGCTAATTTTTGGCGACTCACAGGACTAACAAGGAGACGTTTTTTGGCGTGAATGGAGTTCTGAGTGGAAACCGGGCCTATTTTGTGCAGAATTTTGCGCTGATTCCGAATATGTTTTCCATTTCTGCTAAATAGCTCGATTTCAAAAGTTATAGCAATTTTAAGATCATTTTAGCCCAAATTTTCCCATCTTTAGGGACCATTATATTGCTTTTCCCGGCTGTTTTTCCAAAAATAAATATCGTCACCGTATTCAGAAAATTTTTCTCTATCGAATGAGCTATTTAACTCAAAATTGTTGAAAATCGAAAAAATCGACGATACTTGGTATGGACTGCGATTTTTGTATGGGAAATGGTGAAAAACAGCCTATTTCTCACCCCTGTAAGCCATCGTGGATCGGCAGTAGCGCACTAATCAAATATACCATTCGAATCAAAAAAAAATTCTCTACAAGATAGGCTACTTAAACAAAATTAAAACGTTATAACAAAAAAGTAGCACAGCATAGCATATGGCTACGCTGGGCCTGAAAATTATCTTAAAATAGCTGTTACTTTTTAAATCGAGCTATTTAGCAAAATTGGAAAACAGCATCGGAATCAGCGCAAAATTCTGCACAGAATAGGCCTGGTTTCAACTTAAAACTCCATTCACACTAAAAAAACGTCTCCTTGTAAGTCCCCCATTCGTTTTTGTTTTTAGACAGCGATTATCTTTTCAGCCGACGTTCCGCGGCAACACCAGTATCAAAGACTTCACTTTATTTTCATTTTCCATCCGCCTGCGGATGTTTCAGCAATTTCTCATCCTCCTGAAAAACGTCCCGCATAAGGTAGAGATTGCGAAGTGATAGTGCGCTTTGGACAGTAGTATCACCCTTCAATTTAAAATATTTTTTTGATTAAACCTCCGCATTTCGTCCCCATCGGTTCCATCAATACTCAAGCAATTACCCCCACTATCTAACCAATCCCCCTTCACCTCCTTCTCGTATCACCTTCAATCGATCCCTGACCGAATTCCCTTCTCCCTCCTCCCGGGGGCGATCGTAAAGCCGTCTCGGATTCGTTACCGTATCCAATCGCTGGTCGTGGCTGATAAGGGACTGACAAGGAGCGCCGGCAGCCCCCCCTCTGAAAACTCTGTGATTGTGGCGAATTTGTACGTGGGGTTGGGTTGGGTGGTGGAATCGAGAGGATAGGCATGGAGCGGGTGTGGTCGCGGCCCCCGCAACCTGCGGGCGGGATGGCTGTGAAACGGATCGAAGCGCTCGCCCACCTCGCATCGGTACAGCCGATTGATTGAGTGGTTCCGCTTTTGTCGATACGGACACCCGGTCGGCCGGCTGGAGGTGTGGTGGAGGGAGACGCAAAACGGTAAATAGGATTGCCGATATATGGCGCCGAGCTTGAGCCTCTGAAGTTTTATTGAAGGTGCGGTGGAAAACCTGGGCATGCTTTTAACTGAATATAATTGAATTATAATCTTACGAACGCTGGGCGCCTTCATGGTGTCCCAAAAAGTCTGGATGTGTCCGATTTTTTCGATTAGAGCATGAGGAGCAGCTTGAACGGCGAGAAAAAGCCGGGTTTTGTTTTCAGAATACGTATTTTAATTTCGAGGCTTTCTGAACGGTGAACGCCTGATTTATGCGAAAACGGACTGCAATTTTTACGCTGCAAGATGCGCGTGTTTTTAGAATAGCATTTAAGAAAATGACGCTAAATAATTTTGGAAAGCGCAGAGCAGTTTTCTTGCCTTTCCATGAGCGTTGAAATGATGATATATCGCGATCCAAACTTCCCACGGATCGCTAGCGACTAATTTTTTGGGACGCCTGGTAGAATTTTCAGGTCGTAAAACGTAGCGCCGGTAGTAAGATAAGCAATTTTCCCCGTCCCTTTGGCCCTAAGGTCACTAAAACCATTGACCACGAGACTTGTTATCCTTTCTTATTCCTTCCGGGTACAACGTAGTATATGCCTCCACTCCACCTAGTGTTCCGTTCGTTTGCCCAACCAGCCGGGCGCCCCCTGCGAGCTGACAGCGGTGGGTCCCAGCGCCTCAGGGCACCCATGTGCTTGACGGAAATAGTGAGGAGACCCGCGGGGGCCCCCGGGCGATCGGCCGGGGGTGAATCAATTCTCGGGCTAGAGGGTGGGTCCAGCCATGGGCCTAGACTCGTACAACCCGGGGAGGAGCCCCTACGGCTGAGGTGGCCGCCCCAGGCTAGTCGGCTTTACAAACAGTGCCTCCCCACCTAGCCACCGTCCATCCAGCCCCATCGGGACCGACTGATGTGTATGCATGGGTAGGAAAAAACGGGCGATGAACACGGCGCGGTGGAGAGGACACGGCAGCGACCGCTGTACGGCCATTGTGTCGCGCCTAGTCAGATCAGCACACATTCCGCGCTGCTCCCGGGGCCGCCCACGGAGTCGTATATTTGGGGTGGTTACCACGATCGATTCGTGTTTCGGGGCTATACAGGGACGCAAATGAATCAGTGCGCCGAGGATGGTTTTGCAAAAATCGGCATTGGAGAGAAACTTTAATTTTGGCTAGGATTTGACTAGCGGACTCTGGTATATCCGTCGTAGCAAAGACTTGAAACCCGTCATTTTATATCTCGTTGAGTCAGCTACAAAAATGGTGAAATACGCCCTTTGCTGAATCGCCTCTGCAAACAAATTGAAATTGCTAGCCTGAGGCGTTTAGGGCCCACAGAATTTCAAAGGAATTAAGTGAGTCTTGCGCCTGCACTTGAAGCTATGGCTTTTCAAGTTAATTTAAAAAAAGCATAGTTTACAATATGAAATAGCTATGAAAACCTGCTCTTCTGTAGTAAACAATTATCCTACACACAAAAATAACACCCCACTATGTTTATCCAAAACTCCCTCGTCTCCTAAATTGCAGCCCGATCATATTACGGTAGTGCGGGAGAGGGGTTAGATATGAAAGAGGATCCATCTCGATCCGTAAACCGGCAATTTTGCGCTACCAACGATCCGGCGAATTATCGGATTTGCCTACCGCAGCGCCCGATGGCGTTGATCAATATTTGGGGAAGATGCAGGGGCTAGGTCGACTATCTCATTTGATTTGGCCCATGTCAACAGCACAGCACATAGGCCCCCCGATAGCTTCTTAGGGCTCTTATCAATTGTCCTTATAGGGGGGGAGACGAGGCGGCTTAGTTAGTACTAGGCGCATTTGGATAACTTGGAATGCAAACAAGGCAGAATTGAAGGAATTGCGGCGTGTTGAATTAATGACTGGATACAGAAAAGTATCTTAAAATATGGTCTTCCTTTTAAAAGAATCGTTCTAGGTTTGCGATGCTCTATTAGTACTTGTGAAGACGAATCGTAAAAAACTAATCCATCTCGTAAATATTGTCGGAACCCAAAATCAAATAAGATATTGCAAAGGAGGCTACCTCTTATTACTGTCAGAAATCTCATACAGTGCCCCTGTCTCCCCATAATAACCCCCGCAATACCCACTTGATCAATTCAAGTGTCTCTGGTTGCGGCTCATTCTGCTCTCGTTCTCGCATCCCATATCCCCCATCGCTGCCCTCTCACTTTTCCCTAATTAGCGGATACGCTGGGGCTGTCGGTTAGTGGGTCTGGTGCGCCACAGGGGGGGGACTGTATCGGTGGTGGTGGTGGTGTGCGTGTTGTAAAGTGTCCTTCTCTCTCTAACCTCTCTTCGATAGCCTGACTCCAGAGAAGGGGAGGGCCTGTAGCCTAGACTCCGCCCATTCCCCCAACCCCCGATCGGCCACACCGGGCTCCCCCGATCCGCCACCCCTCACTCAGTCCAACCCTCAGTCCCCCATCCCGTCGTCTCCAGCTCCTCTACCACTTCCCCCCAACAGCAGCAAACCTCCTAAAAATACTCGACAAACACTCGCCTATTCCTATCAAATTCTACAACGGTTTGCTCAGGTTTAAATCCATCTAACTTTGGCCAATCTGGCCTGTCCCCTCGATCTCCAGTTCCCCCGATCCCAGAATGTGGCCGGCGGTTTTCACCCTGATCTGAGAGCCACGGCCATCTGAGATCATTGTGAAAGCTACTCGCCGCATTCGTCCTCCTCGCTTTTACTTTTCCTGAGTATGGTCACGGAATCGCAGAAAAGGTTAGTCCAGGCTTGTTCCGAATTTCGAGACTCACATCTGGTGCTCGCGAGCCGTTATGGCCAGTCTGGACTGATCTTTTTTATGGTTTTCTGGACATGACTGTGATTCCAACAAACAGGATGCGATACTCAAGTTTCAAAATTTAGCATGGCCAAGCCGATACACGGCGGCCCTCCACCAGGTTGGTCTGGGGATCGACCGATGGAGGCGGTGCAGCAAGCGCTAGAAGCGTTGGAAAAACGCATGGGTGAAGTCGTGGCTGAACTCGGGCAGATCGACTTCGTGATGGCGCTGTTTGACGAGGTCTTCCAAGAGCTGTTGGTCACGCAGCCGCCAGAGTCTGGTCTCTACACGCCCTTCGCGCTGCACTTTCTGCGCGAGCGGATCAAACGGGTATTTATTGTATCATATCGCTTATCGGATCCAAGGGATTGTAGAGTTTTTAGGGGCTGTATTTCGAAAGGGGCGGTCCCAGACACATTTCGCGCCAACCAGTCCCCACCAATTCAAGCGTAACATCTAGCGGCGGGAGGCGATTTCAAAGGCGTCGCAATCGTTCGTTCTCCCCGCCGTCCATGCACTTTTTGTACGTGCAACCCTGTCTGAGTCGGCGTCCCGGTGACAAGGGGCGGCTTTCCCCGTTTTTCGAGTTGCACCCTGCCCCGCCAGCGGCATCCATCAGTTCGCGGCGTCTCAAGGCCGATTGGATAGATGGCCGCCCTCTCTTTCAGGGGCAACCAAATCGTGTGTTCGGTCCACTAGACGCACGAATAATTTAGTGAACGCCACGACGCCTCAATCATTTCTCGTTTTATCGCATTATCAATTTCGGTAGTGGCCTTTGGCCCCGCGACTAATCGATATCGGGTGTAGGGCTGAGCGGTCGCGGGTTTTCTTTTTCTCTCAAAATGTCATGTGCTGGCCCGGGCCAAACACGCTCACGAGGAAAAGGGCTGATGTGTGGCGATGAAAGATATGGGCTAGAGAGTTTCAGGTAAACGTGCAAATACACGACGCTTTTAACAACCTTAGGTCAATAAAGTTTTGGTTTAAAAACAATTTGGCAAGCTTAAATGAACCGGACGTAGTCTCGCACAAACAACAAAATTGCAGCTTCTAATTCCTGCACGGATTTTCTAAAGTTTACCAAACGCACTCAAGCCGTCGCGACCACCCTCTCCTCGCGTGACATTCACCGAGCAATGAACATGTTCTTTCAGTACACTTTTTGAACCGTTCGTTCAACGCTACATACCATGAGGATCTGGGGGAGCATGTGCGGGACGGCTAGACAATTCAATGGGGGGCCTCCTTTGCATAAGTGGGTGCAGTTTTGAGGGAGCTCATGGGTAGACCCCGGGGACGCCAAGGACAAGGGCCGGCAGGGACAACGAACGTTTCTATCCACGGCACTACCCAAGATTGTATCTATCTTTTTCGGCGGTATGATTTATGAGGCTCGGCCCCCGTTTTTTGATGGACTGTCAAATGGGGGAAGAGGAAAGATCGGCCCGATTGATTAGCGGCTTTGCCCGGCCCCGGGGAATGTTTTTATAGATCTAAAAGGAGGTTCAACGAGGGCACCAAAAAGCAAGGCTCATCCATTAAATTCAGATCGAGGACGCCCTCGAAAACATGGTGAGGATGCATCGGAATGTCCATGGTTCCGTGTCTAAAATCGGGAAAGAGATCAACCGCCACTTCATCCCATCCACAAAGGGGTTGATTCGCAACGAGAAGGATCTAGAGGCCGACCCGAAATGTGCTCGGAATGTGCAGAACCTGATCGTCAATTACCTGATGGGAACGGGAAATGTGGAGATTGCTGAGATGTATGTCAAGGTGAGGCTATATATTTGTTAAACACGGTGAAAACGAGCTATTGGAGGCAATGATGTCGGGGGAGACATTACTGCGCATCCTCACACTACACTCCCACACCAATCGCATTACATGTCCGGCCGAAAGTGTGGTTGTTTCTGTCTGTGGAGGCTATGTTAAAGCTACATAGGAGGAACTGCTAGCAAAATTCCTTATGTATTAAATCGAAAGACAAGAGTGGCCTTCTCCAAACTTCTAAATGACCCATCAAAAGTGTTTGTCGGGGCGCTTTTTAGAGGGGCGGACTATGCCCAGCGCGCAGATACTGAACCATCTCCTCTTTCTCTCCACTTTTTCCCGGGCTACCCAAATTGGCCGTGTCAACATGGCGTGACGATGGGGGGATAGAAGATCTTGGGCAGATAGGGGGAAGCTGTTTTTCGGGAAGAGTTAGGTAGGTGTGAATTGATCAATATAGCGAAATTTCTGCTCAGGAGATAGGTTTAAGTTTATTTGACATCTAAATTACAACCCTTATGGCGTTAATTTAGAAGCGCGCTCCCCAAAAAGTGGTAATGAGTTGTTTTCTTCTCGTCGCTAATTTCGCGCAACCTGGCACGTAGGCACCCCGACGAGCTCTCTTGCCCCATCTACAGTGTGCGTTTATGATCGCGCAGGGTCTAGAGGTGGGGGCCCGTGCAACGGGTAGGCTCGGGGTCAAGTGTCAGCCTCCCCACCCTCGAAGCGCCGCCGATAAGCGTTCGGCGCATCGATCGATCCCGGGGTGCTGGAATGCTCCCCCTTCGCCATCTCTCTCAACTCTCTGCCCCCTTCAGCCACACAAACTGTCAGCTGTGTGTGTATGTCTCTCGGGGGCTCTCTTTCTCCCTATCGCTCTCTTTCTCTGTCTTTGTGAGGGAAGGACCGAACCCCTCCCCCCCTGGCCGCCAGCACAAAGCAAATTACGAGCCACTGGGTGGCTGGTGGGGCGAAGAGAGGGGCATCTTTGCCCTGTGATTAGAAAAGTTGCATGCAGCCGAGTGGTTCGGAGAGATGCGGGGAATCGATTGCTAGATGATCAAAGTAGAAATATTAAGTTATACGCTCCACACAATATTTAAAACACGATACAGTCAGTAGGTCAATCTCCCAAAAACATAAAAATAAATAAGAATAAATACAACCTCCCCAAATGTTCCTAGCCTCTAGCCAACTACTCCAAAAATGAATCCACTCTTCTTTGCACCGGTCTTTGCAACAATAGCCACCCCCCTTCCCCAACGGGTGCAAACGACCCCACTCTATCCTGCACCCCATTCCAGGAATGCAACCTCCACGGCCGTCTCGACGAGTACCAATCTTTCAAGCAGCATTTGACCTCGGTGATGGAGTCCTTCCGGTAGATGACTGTCTCCCTAAAACCACTCTTTGAATTAGGAACCGAAACTCTGTCCCGGCCGCTAACTTCTTACAAAAGCACTACCCAGATGAGAAGCGGTTGATTTTCGAATTGATCCGAGTTCAGGTCATTCGGTTGATAAAAGAAGGTGAGCTGAACTAAAAATAGATCAACATTTTTGTTATTGCCATTTTACGATTTACACGTCGCCCGACAAAGTAGGGCAGACATTTAAATTTTGGGACCCTTTTGTGATAGGAGCCGGTCGGATTACAGTATCCGGTGTCCTGTCCCGGGAGGCCGAACGGGGGCTTTTTTATTTGGTCGGGGCTGGGGGGATGGGGGAGAAAAGGGGGACGGGTGCAATCGTGCGATTGATTGGAGGGAAGTGAACGGCAAGCCGGCTGGAGATTGAGCCTCACTTTTGACATCCTGCCGGGGGGGGGCGAACATCGGGGAGAAGAGGGCAGATCCCTCGACGGCTCACTACTTGAACTTTTCGTGCGGAACGGCCAAAAAGTGTTTGCAAAGGCAATGGGACCTTTGTGATACAGATATCATAGAGTAGTATTTTAAACGGGCTAACAAACCAATATTGTACGCCTCGACTCCTCTAAAGTGGTCAAATAGGGCCGCAACACTTTCAAGCCAAATTTTTCTTAGCCCCTGTTTGGACGTTAAAATGTGACAAATTGCAAATACTGACATTATTTTTGAAATCCTGAAGAGAATTTAATCATTCCAGCAATTTTAATTAACAAAATTGGACACGGATCACCGGAGAACGCTATAGGGCGCGCCAGGGCCTTACGACAGCAAATTCACACGCTTGCAAAAAGGATATTTTGTCGTAAAAATCCCGTTTTTCGTTATCAAAGATTCGTCCAGCAGATAAAATTTTGAAATTCGCCTTCCTATTCCCTTTCACGAGTAGACCTAATTCTACAGTAAGAAATAAGATCCCCTATTCACTGAAATATGCAGCGGGTGCCAGACAGTGCGTCTGACTCACCCCCTTTAGGGCCGTCGCCCTTTCGGCCCCCTCTCCCTACCCGTTCTGAGTAAGCGCTTCACAAAAACTTTCGGCACAAAGGACGTTAACATTTCCCACCAAATATGGTGTGCATGGCAAGGTGTAGAGTCTTAGTTTGTAAATTGCAGGCCGAAAACTTGAAGCCGTCCGATTGTCGCAAAGATTACCGGGTCTTGGCGCTGATGGCGAGTTGGCCGAGGTGAAAACGTAATTTTTATGAAATTTTTGTATAGATCATGGGTGTAATCATGCTGAATCCGGATGACGACAAATTCAAGGATTGCCTGAGTCCAGTGGTGTGGGACCGGTTAGAGAGGCGGTTATCGGAAGTGATTTTTAAGTCGCGCGTCAACCTGCCTGGGATGTGAGTTTCGAACGCAATTTTTGAAAGCATTATGGATTCAGCATCAGCATGGGCGTGCGTGCCCTGCCGCAGCTGCTCCACGTGAAGGTGATTATGTCGATGCGGCAGGAGCAAATATTTTCGAGCGACGAGTTGCCGATTGAGATTCCGGTCAGCTTATCAACCACTTCCCGCATTGGATGGGGGTGGTGGTGGGACCCCCTATAATCCAGCAAGTAGCTACAGCGCTTGGTCGGGAATATACGGGAGAGGGAGAGAAAGAGAGAGAGAGAGAGAGAGAGAGAGAGAGAGAGAGAGAAATAGACGAGGAAGGCTAACGCATTGCCACATGGGCGCTTACCGTATCGGGGATGTGTGAGGGGTGGACGTGTAGGCTGTGTGTATAGCAAAAAATCGGGACGTGGCAGCCATCTGTGGGGTTCTTGGGGTCTATTCCTAAATAATGCTTCCATTGAAAGCGTACGAAGGGGCCAAGCCATAGAAAATGAACACTTGCCAAATCAAATTTCAATTTTCCAGATTAAAGAACGAATGCATTCAACTTTCACATGCCCAATCCTTCGATGTCAAGCCACCGAGAAAAACCCTCCTCATCGGTTGTCGTGCGGCCACGTGATCTCCCTTGAGGCCCTCGAAAGGCTGGCTGCAAATGCACGGTCAGCCATTCAGTCCTTCCCTAAAGGGGACCCAGGACCCAGGGCCCCACACACACTTTTTCCATTCTTTACTTTCTCGCGAAGGAGCTCTGCAAATAATGCCCCTCCCGATTTGGGAAGGGCCCCCACCAATAGCACCGTTCCACTCCCCTTAACAGCTTTCCTTCCGGAGCCCGGAAAAGTTTGGAGAGGGCCAGGGGAGGAATGTCGACTCAAAAGGTGTTTCAACACAATCCTATCGACAAAGCACACCCAAAACGGACCCGCAGCTCGCGAAAGCAATCGCGAATATAAAAACATACATGGGCTATTCACCGTGAAACCTTTCATTTTCAGGCAATACCGCTTCAAATGCCCCTATTGCCCGATTGAGTCGGCGAAAAGCGAGGCGGCACGAGTCTATTTTTAGCCCGACACACATATCGTATATTGTTGGTCGGGGCGGGTGTGAATATAATTGTAAGTCGCTGCAATGAAGCTGTGCACAAGTGTACCAATGTGCTGAAAAATCACCTCATTATTCCGATTTGTCATTTGCTGTGTGATAGGTTTCAGATCTGTTTTTGTCATGAGAAGTTCTTTCAGGTTCCATTTATTTGATCTGTTTTTCGTATTTTAAGAAAGGTAATAAATAATGAAATTTGAAATTAAACAAACACAGCTACTGCTGCAACGGCAAAATTTTACGTTTGTATCGATCGCGAGTTTGATAGCTTGTTTCAGATACTTTTAATGATTCCTTAATTAAGCCCCGTTTTGCTGCCGGTAACTACGTAGATTGGATCGATGCGGAACTGCTGTCGGCTATCTATAGGGGAAGGGATGGGACCATCGCAAACACCGTTCCCTCCCGAATGGGCACCTCTATTCGGCAAACACCAAACCAACCCCGCAGCCACACCGCTCCGTCGTCCTCTTCTCCAATCACAACCATCCCACCGTTCCCGCGGGCGGAGTGCACCGTAATTCCGGAACTTTAAAATCATATGAGAAGCTAATGAAGCATTCTCGGAAGTTCAAGAAAACGGAAATGGACACCCACATGAAAACAGCCATTAGTGCAGCCAGAATACCTCCATGATATCAGGCCATCGGCCTTAGATTCCGAGCTCCAAGCCATTTATTTCAATGCAAAGCCTAGAAAACGCACTCAAGTCTTAACAGTGCCGGAAGCCACTGAAACCGGAAGCTCCATTTAGATTTAAAATAGCACTCTATTCACCCCCTTGATATCAACTAAAATCTAAAGCCCAATCAACCAATTTCGATTAAACGTTTGTTTTTGACGCTTGGCCGCGATTTCTACGACAAATTCAACCCCTTCCCGACCGCCTTGCCCCTTCGATCTCGCCGGAAAGTGCCTGTTTATTGTGACGGCCATCGGCCGAGACTAAATATTTGGATCTATGGGGATGCGGCTTTTACAGCGCCATGATTATCGATCGGCCCATGGCAACTTGAGCCCCGTTATACCTTTTGACTGATTATCCAGCAAAGCTGTTGCTTGGGGAGACCGCACACGACGCTGTGACCACCAGTGGTTCTGGAGTCCATTCGGGGCCACTGGTCAAATATTGGTTGTAGCCGCGTGAGGGTATGGGCCTGGTATGACCTGAAGGGTCTACTTGTTGCAAGGGATGCCGCGGAGGGGGTTTAGGGCAAAGCACAGGGTGCGTGATAAACATTGGAGAGGGTTGGGTAATTCAAAAATTGATTAACTGGAAGGTAGTATAGTTATTAGCGTAACTATAGTATCGGAACTTTTCTAATATCAACCTTGGGCGTTTCTTGTTTATTTTTAACGCAAGAGTATGGGTATTAGAAGCCGGGTAATTTTAATGGAGGGACGGAGGGATTTTTTTATCAACCGAAATTCAGGCGTAAAATTGTACGGTCAAGTTGCCACTGCAGGTTGCAGAAGACTACTCAAAACGATTAAATTACAAAGCGTTTTTTTGAGCGCTTGATACGATTTGGATAGATTTTTCCGGGGCCAGCGCTTATCTGATCGAGGTTTTCACTAAAAGGGGGTCCATATAGAATTTTCGTTTCAAGGTGCTTAGAAGCGAGAGTGCCGCTATTCGCGAAAATACGCTAAGTCAGGTTCATAAATATGACTGGACTCTAAAATTAATCTAATTTTAATCGCCCCATTCAAAACACCTATTCAGCAATTTGAGTACCACCCAAAAAATTCCCAACCAAAACCCAAACGCGTGGGTGTTGACTTTTTTTTTGACACTGTTGAGTAAGCTCCTTCCTCCCCTTTTCGACTAGCCCTCACCCCGGCTTGATTCTGCGCTCTTCAATAAAATTCCCGGGCGCTGCGCTTTTTTTGCAGCGGTAGAGGGCGGCGGCGGCTTAGCAGACCGTCAGCGCCAGACCTGGGCGCCGGCCACAACCCCTCGGCGCCCCACATTTATGAGCTGTTGCGTGGCATGTGGTCGTGCTGTCAGAGAATAGGCTTTGTCTGTCTGTCTGTCTGTCTGTCCACCCGTTTTTAGGTCTGTCTGCATGCCTGTCAAGTTGAGGTGAAACCCGCTGACAGGGGTGCCGGGCAAAAGTAGTGGTGTCGTTTTTTGTGGAAAATTTTTGTAGTTTCTGTGGAATAGTGTGATGGTGGGACGCAGATTCTTTCACTACGACGCCTTCTTTCTTGACAACCCGGGGAGTCGCGCGCGTCGTGTGCGATAAGATAAGCCGATTCTCGCTTGGTCCCAATTTGGGAACACTAGCAATGGTGGGAAAACTCTGGAAATTCAGTTTGTAACTACGGGAAAATGCTCATCACAGTTTCAGCGTAGAATATGCGTTTATCAAAATGTTGCAGAAGATTATAAAGAAACCAGAAAAATACAGTGTTATCAATTATTAAAATCATCATCAACATCCTGCCTCCGCCCATAGATTTGGCTCATTTGAATGTTATTCTCACTCGGCTTAGCCGCACTTCGGTCCAAGAATTTCGTATACAATGCGGGCATTACCTAAAGCACATCATCACTGATATACAATTAACGAAAATTATTACTGTCGTCACCGCGACTCTTCTAGCAGCTTCTACATTCTGCCGTCTCCACCAAGCCCTAAACCAAAAGCTACAACAACGATCATGTTTTACCGATTATAATACGCCTGAGCAGTCGATTTCAAGGAATTTATCCAGAGCACGTCTGATTGGGTGATGGTGTAGCTTGAAGCGATGGTGATGAAAATCAATAAAATGATTGGCTTGAGCATTGTCTGCAGCGGTTGTCAGTTTACAGTTCTTCATGGTGGCATTTCGTGGCCTTGGGTGGAAACGGGTTCGAGAGACTTGCAAAAGGTACCTTTTTGACCAAAAGTAATTTTGGATTAGAAGCGAGGGTTAAAAAAGCCGCCTATTTTGTTATTAATGCCCAAAACTAATTTTGACGGAAGCAGGAAAAATTAACCGGAAAATGGTAACCCTATAATTGCATTTTTGGGCCGTCGAAGAAAAACATATTCACTTCCTGATTTGCTTCCTGGAACGTTTTTTCTGCACTGTTTTTCCAGGGATATTGAGTACAGCCGTATTTTACAAGTTTCTGCAGATAATTGCAAAACCAAACTAACACTTCCCAATTTTTATTTACCAATGAACCCCAACACCCGGGTGCGTTCTGCTGAAACCAAATCTGCGAGTTTTTTGCGAGTTGTATTTGTATTGGCACTTTGTTCTACCTGAATCCCCTCCCTCGCTACCGAGTAGCCGTAGGGAGAGCCGCCTCCCGGGGGATTGAAATCCTATCCCCCGATATAAAATGTAAATATCATAATTGGGTTTCTGCCCCGCTTACACCCACCTGCCCTCGCCGTGGAGGGCTCCAGACATAAGCACCTACTTGGGGGTCCCCTCCCTGACGGCAATACCATATTGATTCCAGTCATTTTACGCTGTTCTATGCTGCCGTTTTTGAAACGCGCGCAGACAATTTGGCCCTAATGGCCTAACAGCGCGGAAACGGCGGCCTATTTTTTTTAGACCGCGGCGTTTGAGTGAATTACCGCATTTTATGAGCGCCCGTAATTGTCTGCGTGTCTTTCGGGCCAATAAGACGTTGGCTTGGGCAAAACACTTGTTCCGATTTCAGTTATGAAGTGTGCTGCAGGCTGGTGATGATATTCCATGGAAGAAATGAGCCTAGGACGATGTTCGGATTGTTCATTTTCTTATGGATATCGATTAGCAGTTCCGAACGTATATGTGAGTGAAATTTGCTATAAAGGATGGCTGAATTTTAGTGGTTGTTCGTGAATACGGTGATTTGGTATCGCCAATTGTGGGTCATATTAACATTTCCGTCCAATACCTTGCGTCTCACTATGGCTTCGACAATTTGACTTTGGAAGAAGTATTTGTTAGTAATAATTCGACAGCTGTTGATCCAGGTATTCAAAATGGTCCATGCTAAATTTATTTTAGTATGCAATCTATTGGCCCGAGGACACGGTATCATCAGCCTGGTCAGGGATGAAGCATCACTAGAAGCCGTCCGGAATGCAGCCATTCTATCCCAAGTCCCAACCCTCCAAATTTATTCCCAGCCTTGGAAGCCGAATTCCACGCTGGGTAAGTGTTTACGGCTCGAACGCTAGATCGGTCTAATTTTAGATTTCACCCCACTAGATGGCGGACCAAACTATGTCACAATAATTTCACCAATATCTATATATCAAAATCTTTACGAGTCTGTCTTCTCCGATTTGAATTTTACGGGTACCGTGAATGTGGTTTATGATAGTAGCTATGGTAAGTACGCTCAGCGTCTTAATGATAGTTTTTAGTACAATACCTCTCCAATTGGAAAAGTCAAATTCAACAAGTTCACGATGCGGCTGGAGTCAAATCGAATTTCGTAGTGTTAGCGAGCAACGAATCCATGGCAAATCAGGTATCGTTTTCAATAAGAGATTAATGGCTATTTTTACATAGGTTAATCAGCTTGTTCAACAATCAAGCAATATTTTGCTATTAGCAACAAAGCAGAACGCTGAACCATTTGTGCTAGCTGTAAGTGATAAGAGATACTTAGCGAAATCAATCATAATGTTCTTAGGCCGGTGCTCTGATGGAGCAAGGCAAAGTTCAAATCGTGGTTTGGACAAAGGATATCAGCCCGTTCAAATGTGATGATTGCCATAGCGTTGAAATTCTCTGGATTCGCCCCTATTATACTGGACATGAATTGTACATACGAGATATGATGGAGTATTTAACCGATAACGAACTGCTGTCGGATTTTAATTATCAATTAAGTGGCGATAATGAGGTAAGCAACGATGTTGTAATGATCAAAAAAATCCAATGTTTAGCTGGAGGTTTCATTCTATCTATCAGCAGTTATGGAGCTTGTCCAGATCTTGAGAACGTTGAATTCGACCACCGCCGGGGTAGTCAAAAAGCTAGTTGCTTTTAGATAATTCTTTTAAGATGCCAGCTGGGTTCCCGTGCCTTGAAGCACCAAATGCACAAGTTAATAATGACACATCCCCATGGCCACTATTACTTGACGGAGAGCAACGTGAATATGGAGCATTTGTAAAATCGGAAAGCGGATTGCTATATCAAGTTTGCATCTAGATACAAATCAGATACGGTTTTTAGGATGTCCCGGGGCGCATTTTCAAAATCGACCGAATCCGTGGCCAAGAAGATGCACGATATACAAAACTCGTAATTACAAATCGCATAAAACTATTCAAACAATTTCAGGTCGGCAACTGGAGCCTGAGTTCGGGCGTGGGGTTCTACTACGGTTCTCTGGGCGTTGATGTCAGGACCCTAAACCACTATCGGATTGCGACATTAATCGTAAGCGTATTGGGCTGGCAAGTTGGAATTGCTTCTCTAGCAACCCCCATTCGTGGAACGATTCCCAGATGTGAACCTGGGTCCAGAATACCAGGGCTATTGCATCGATTTGTTGCACCTGATTGTTGATGCGATTAATATTACCTATACGCTTTATGAAGTCGAGGACGGGACCTTCGGGTCGACGGATTTGAATGGAAATTGGAACGGGCTGATCGGTGCTTTGGGTATGTTACATTGGGGGGTTGGACCGAGACGACAATGGGGTTTGTTTAGCCGTAATGCAAAGGACACATTAAAATTTGCTTTGCGGTGATGCGTAATTTGTCCTGTGTTCCGATGGTCGTGATGAAATTTTCTAAAAAAGAAGGCTGGATGCAAATCCTCGAGCAATATCAATAAATCCTACCTTATATAATTTTGGAGTGTATCTCTGTGTGTGTGTGTGTGTGTGTGTGCGTGTGTGTGTGTGTCCGGCGCCAGGGAGGGCTACTTTGCATAATTCCAAAAAAATACAAATTTCCTCATTCTTGCAAGCTGCACGCGCGGGTGTGGTCGGAGGAAGGGAAGGGTCCGAAGGACCCAAGCTATCGGAAAGTCAAATTTCTCATGCAAAGGCCGCATTCCAGCGCCCAAGGCCCGCGAAGCGGGTTTTGGGCGCTGGTTATCAAATAATATTGTTAATTGATAATTAAAATATTTTAGTCTCCGGATCCGCTGATATAGCCCTCGCTCCATTGAGTGTCATGGCAGAACGTGAAAATGATGTCGATTTCACTGTCCCCTATTATGACCTCGTTGGTACAACAATCCTCATGAAAAAAGCGGATGTCGAATACTCACTCTTCAAATTCATGAAGGTACCCTCCTTTGCCTGACTCATCCTCTCAACCGAAATCACTTCCAGGTGCTCGAGTGGCCGGTGTGGCTGTGCATTGTCGCGGCGTATCTCTTTACGAGCCTGCTGCTTTGGGTGTTCGATCGTTTCTCCCCGTACTCATACACCAACAACAAGGCAAGGAGGACGCTTTTGACTTGGTGAATGGGGCAACGAGATTGTAGGAACGATATAAGGATGACCATGAGAAGAGGGTGTTTAGTTTGAAGGAATGTTTGTGGTTCTGTATGACATCGCTTACGCCACAAGGTGAGAAAAAGGTGAAGTTGCAAACAATATGCTATATTACGTTGTATCGATTGAATTTAATCAATTTTAGGGGGCGGTGAGGCTCCAAAAAACGTTTCCGGCCGGCTGGTTGCAGCTACCTGGTGGCTATTTGGCTTTATCATAATCGCCTCCTACACAGCTAATTTAGCAGCTTTCTTGACTGTGTCCCGTCTGGAAACTTCCATTAGGTACCCAAGAATTTTAAGCAGAGGTACCCTTTTTCAGTTCCCTTGACGACCTGGCCAAGCAGTACAAAATCGAATACGCGCCGATTAAGGGCAGCGCCAGTGAAACGTATTTCCGGCGAATGGCTGAGGTCGAGGAGATATTTTACAAGTAGGGCGCCTACGGTCCTTAAAAACGACTCTTTTAGTATTTGGAAGGAAATGTCGTTAAACGAGAGTATGTCACCGGAGGATCGTGCTAAACTTGCTGTTTGGGATTATCCAGTATCGGACAAGTTTACAAATATGTGGAGATATATGCTGGTAATTATGAATAACATTCTTAAGGTATCTGGTTTAGGAATCTAAACTTCCTGACAACATGAGTGTGGCAATTGATCGGGTCCTCAATTCTTTGGACGGTTTTGCGTTCATTGGTATGCAAATATAATCACTTCACCTTTCAATTTTTTCAGGTGATGCTACAGAAATCAAATATGCAACTCTGACGAATTGCAAATTGCAGCAGGTTGCTTGTTTTTCGCGCCTTCTAGCTATCAGCTTCAGGTTGGCACGGAATTTTCCCGGAAACCATATGCCATCGCGGTGCAGAGCGGCCATCCCCTGAAGGACCCAATTTCCGCCGCGTAAATATCTCCGAAAAGCAAGGGAAGCTCGAGAATTTTAGGATTTTGATGCTGCTGAATCAGCGTAGATTGGAGACGTTGAAGGAGAGATGGTGGACTGATAATCCGAATAAGGTTAGAAAGGAATAGCTTATATAAAGTTGAGTTTAGGTCATCTGCCCTGACGTTACAAACGAATCTGATGGCATATCGATCCAAAATATAGGAGGCGTTTTTATCGTAATTTTGGCTGGAATCGTCCTCTCTCTATTTACGCTTATTATTGAATATTTCTATTACAGGTATCGGTTTCGGTAAAATATCAGTTGGTTTTTAGAAAATATCGAAGGAAGGGTCTAGCTAAAGAAGATACGGCAAGGACTGTGGAAGTGGTCCCCATGGAAACAATCGAACGGAATGGCACCCAAAAAGTATACAACAACTAAACATCGACACTTTGATGATATTTTAGCACTCCTTCGGAACTACAAATGGAACAACGCTAAAACACCGTCGCGAAAGCCACTCCGAGCCTTCAAACACGATCTCCCACACAAATCAAGCATTCCAATTCTAACATGAATGATATACCATTCCATTCCGTGTATACTTACTACGGGTATTAGTTAGATGTCTGTATATTTGGATAAATCTTTTTCTACTTTTCATAGAGATTCAGTGTTGCCAATACAACCTCGGAAACAGATGACAATTAATTAGGGATGGGCGGTTCGGGTGAAAGGCGGGATCCCCAATATCAACGGGGACCCATATGGTATCCACGAAACTCAATTTGTGCTAGTGGGCTGTAAATGCCACCCCCTTCCATTTTGGGGGCTTCACCAGTTTCGGGAGCTGCCTCGAATCCGCTAGCTATCTTGACTTTCTTATGTACCCAACACTTGCTATGAGCAGCGAAGCCAGTTCTTCGTATTGTGATCTTGATGAGACGACGAGGAAGCTGTCAAAGGTATTTTCATTCCAACAAATAATAATTTAATAAACCCCTTTAGGCTGAACGACGGAAAAGACGACGTGCCACACCTAAATATCGCAATCTACATGCGTCACGAGAACGGTAGTCAATTTTTCAAAATATTTTGAGCTATATGAAGGGTTACGAGGATTTAGACGCAACTATTCTTCAAAAATTGTCTAGCTTCCCCTCACCTAACCCAAAATAAATATTGCTGTTGTGGTGTCCATTCACTATTCACAATGCCCACACTCAGGCGTTGCAGTATTCGCGTGGAATCGTTCAACGTGGCCTTTGCCCAGCTACGGGCTCTTCTCCCAACACTACCAGTTGAGAAGAAGCTGTCAAAGATCGAAATCCTACGCCTGTCGATAGCATATATATCGTATTTGAATAAGTTATTGGATTTATAGATAAAATCACGAATTTTATTGGACCACGAATCGTAAAGGACACAACTAAAGGCATGTGGGACGAATCAGAAATGGGAAACTGTTATTATAAGGGTGGTGGAAAATATGCATAAGTCAGGTTCTCATTGGTGAGGGGGCAATAACTTTGCAGCATTTGGTGTTGGGTTGTAACGCTTGTTTGGTGGCTTGATGAAGTTGAGGCCATGTCTTCAAGATGAGTGGGGAGTTGGTGGGAATTTGGATGCAATGATTCCATTACAGCTACACAAGGTGCGTAGAGATGGACCGGCGGGTTGGCTGAAATTGTTAGTTTTATTATTTAATCTGCTTGTTAGTTTAGTACTAGGTCTCATTTCTCTATTTTTAAAATCCATGGCCGATATTATTTTTAACCATTATTATATATATCAATAGCTAATCCGTCTATTAACCTACGATTTGTTTGGAGTGCCGCCAGGTTAAGCACGTGATGATCGAATATTGGCGCCGGATGAGCTTGTTGAAGATGATGCGCTTGTCTGGCCTCATGCTCATTTATCTCCTGAACAGGAGCCTCGGCCTGTAGCGCCGGAGGTTGATCCGGCAACTCGGGCTCCAATTCCGGTGGATGTTGCGCCATCTGCTGCTCATGTAAGTGCTGCTCATGAGATTGAGCCGGTGGCGGCATTTCATGATGATGCATAGGGGGCTGATGTTGCCGCATTTGCTGCTGCATTTGCATTTCCTAAAGAATGATGTATCGACTTATTAATTCTTATACCTGTAGATCTTGATAGGTCCCGAAAGGATAAGCTAACGGGAGATCCGGGTGATAGCCAACAGTGTGATAGCGTCGGTAACTTTAGAAAAAAATAGATTTCTGATTCAAGCTAAAATAGGAATACCCGTCTTTATCCTTGATTTCCTTGCGTCTCCATTTAGCACGTCGATTTTGGAACCAAACCTTCAAGCGTAATAGGGCTATTTTTAATTTTATCATACCGTAATCCTGTCCTCGGGGATCTCCAAGTTGATCGCCATAGCACGCTTCGAATTTTGGTCGGGATAGTGAGAAGCCTAAAAAAGATAAATGAATTATTTTGAAAGGCGTTGGTACCAAGAAAGCCTTTTCAAGTATTAAGGATTGCTCTTCAGTGAAGTTAGTACGAAGACGTCGTTTCTTAGCTTCTTCGCTCTCATCTGAAAATAAATTCATGATTTTTGGCGTAGCAATACGGCTTTTTAAGGATTGGTTTTGATATCCGTCAATATAATAACCAAAATTAACCCACCAAGAGCGTCATAATGCTTGCGGTAGTTATCGAAATTCAGTCGATACGGATCTTCGTTGCCCGGCGGCTGAGTATTGAGGCGTCGGTGGAGCATGCCACTGCATGTGGAAGGAATTACAGGAATCGCCGGAGGGTAGCCGGGCCAGGCTGGGCCCTCCTCCATCCCCATATATCAGTCAAACAGGATGGGGGCAAGAAGGAGCTACAGTAAGACGCGAGAGTCCGGGGAACTTGAGGGTTGGAAAAGCCAGGAAACTCGTGATGGCTTTGAAATGGGAAGAAAAGTATGGAAGCGTTGGTTGAGGGGTATATTGGGGGAACAGTTCGCTTCAATTAGTGATTGTTTGGGGGTGGCGGGTTAGCACCTAGGGTTACGGACCGTTATGAGCTCATTGCCGTTGTGCCTCAGGCGTCATTTGGAGGTGTTAGTTTCTATTAGGGGTTTTTTCGGCCGCCCTTTCAAGATATATGCAATGAGTCTTTTCTATTTTAGTAATCGTGAAAATGGTCTTTAGAAAGTAATTGAGTCATTAATAGTTTTAAAAATGCTTTATCCTGCTTTCAGCATTTCGGCTTCATTCTAGGCTTCTATATTATATTCGAAGAAGGCGATGGTTTTGAAAGTTATATGATATTAAATTGCTATTACATAGCCGATCTAGTATAAAATACAAGCTAGAAAATATTATACCCCTCTCAAATACCCGCCACGCCTCCCGATTTAACCCCAATTTCATATCACCCCTTCAAATTTAGAATCTGCTATATTTATACAATCACCACCCTAAACTGACGGAAATGACATCCAATACCCGGTCAATTAGTTTGTAGTCCCGGTCCAAAAGCGGAATCAACCAATAAGAACCAACCGTCTATTCATCAACCGCTCCCGGATCTTGGCCCGAATGTCAGCCACTTTTGGTTGTGAGTGCTAGTTGTGGTTGACAACTATGGTCGACTGCCAGCTACCGTACCTTCGGGATCACGGGAAGCGAATACGGGTGTTGTGGTCGGAATCGAAGAGGTGAGGAGGGCTGTGGAAACGGTGGCCGACGGAATTCCGGTAAAGTCTCGCCAGCCCCGTGGAGGTAATTGCTCGGCCGGGGTGCGCGGGGGATGCTAATTTCCGTTCCGTATGAATCCCTCTGACCAGAGTTTGCGATATCAAAAAGTGCATTACTCAATAATATCAATCAAAGTTGGTATGACCTAACGGCTCTGGCTTTTTGTACACCACTGTTACGTAATGAAAAAATGCTCGTGACTCCATTTTTCACACTTTTTTCATTCAAATTGTTATTCTAAATAGTAGCAAAGCGGTCGATTTTTGGGAATGCTATATTAAATAATTAGATAATGGTTCAATCATCATAACCAGAGTTCGGTGTATTTAATTTGGAATTTTATACTGCCCCGATTATAATGAGGAAATTATCTAGCGACTGGCCTATGCAAATCTATACAATCTGCTCGTGCTACTTACTATCATCCTGTTTCACGTTGTGCAACCCAAGCTAACCGTAGGTTTTTGCGAACACTTTATTAATAAAGCAGATGCAAATCATGTACAGCCATCTAATCACAATCATTGGAAGCATCACAAGGTTTGCATTGGGAATTTGTGCACCGTTGCAGAGGGTTATGACATAGTTCATGGATTTAAAGTTGGTAGGTTGACTAAAAGTTGTGATTGCAAAGTTTTCAGCAAAGAATATCGAGCAGGCAAGATTTTAGGAAGGTCTTTAGTTCTTTTGCGGTAATGGGCCGGCCTCGCCGTAGGCCGAATATGGGGGTGGTTGGTTGTTTTGAGGCTGAGGCTGGGTAGGATATGGCTGTTGTGGGTATGGTTGACTAGGCATTGATTGGGGATACGGTTGTTGCTGGGGGTATGGTTGATTGGGGGCTTGATGATAAGGTTGTGTGGGATATCCAGCTTGGCCGGCAGGATATGGAGCAGGTCCATCGACATGAATGGCCGGACCAGCGATGCCAGGGTATGGTGGTGGTGATTCGTACATGTAGACCTCCCCGGCTAAATAAATGTAATTTTATATTAAGTTTTATCTATAGTAGCGTTAAGACTAAACCCTAAAATATTCTTTACCTGGTGGCTGCTCCGGGAATACGTGAGTCGGCGCGGTAAATCCATAATAATTGGTGTTCGGTGGGATCACATAGCCCGGCGGGGCCGCATTATAGTTCCCAGGAGCCGGAGCGTACGAAGGAGGAGCGTCGAAAGGACGATAACGTTGGGCTAAACAGAAAAATGAAAATTTTTATTCAACTTTACTTACCCATATCAGCGGCTTGCAGTAAAGCCTGGCCAAAATCAATGCAGCCGCCTTTCGGGAACGACAGTTTCCAGGTGACCTCACCATCGAAGTTACCGCCAGGTTGAGCTTGGATGTTGCCCTAGAATTAATAGAATCTGGGCCAGTAAATGTGTGATACCTTCAAATAATTCGGGGAAAGAATTGGCTGCTCCAAAGTCACATCACGAAGTGCGAAGAAAGGCATAGAGAAGGAGCGCATACCATCGTTCATCTGGCTAACAAAGATCATCTGAAAGAACTCTTATTCCGCCACAAGTTATATCTTTGATTGATGAATATATGAGTTTGGGGTATTCCAATAATATAGGCATTGCAAAAAATTATTATCCGCGGTGTTTCACCTTTAGCATGACATTTTAATAACCTACGCGATGTGAAGTCAAGTAGAGCGCTCCAGACTTCTTGCCCTTCAATGCGGTGGCGCTACCATGGTTGAATGACATATTCACAGCCCTTGTGTAGAGCAGAATGCTATTTGATAAGATTATTTATTAATAGGCTCACTCACGCTTCTCCATTGTAGATCAGCACCCCTTTTCCATCAGGAGTATTTGCCGTATTCAACGACATTGCAGCTCGAATAGGGAAGATTTATGAATTTCCAAATGAACACGATCAAAAACAATCGCGAGCGGGGGCAAAAGCCATCCGTCAGCAAATACTGAACAACAGAAAAATAAGATGGCTTTGAGCGCATGCTTTCGATGCGTGCAAGGTAGCGCCTCGTAATAGCGCCGGAGTGGTGGCGAAATCGAAATCTTTGTACCTGTGTTTCACATTTCTGAATGGCGATTTGGTGTAGTGAGTATTAAAATACTTCGAACAAAACTTTATCTAATGTATCACACTTAATCCGTTCACTAACTAAATATAGTGCATTTTATCACAAGAAATCCGGGAATGACAGGGAGCAAACGACAAGAATTGGTGGCACTGGGATGTCAATCCTTTTTATTTATCTTTTTTAGAATTTTTAAGTTATGGGCTCAAAAAGTTGAATCGAAAACAAATCAATACAGATCGGCTGTTTCAAAAACTGGGCTTTTAGGTGATTGGTGAGAGTTCCTGAGGACGGCAAGGAGCGGGTGGATCATTTCTTGCAGGTCCTAAAAAGACAGTTTTAGATCAGTTATGCTCAGGTGTGATCAAACCTTGAAGTAATTCTCGAGTGAAGCCATGCCGTGTTTGTGGAAAAGCTGATGCTTCAGTTTGGAGAGGCCAGCTGGATCAGGGGAGAAACCAGCGTTGTTGACCTAGAAATAGAAAATTTATAAACAAGAAACTCATAGAACTGTTCGATCTGGAAATTCTCAATTTTAGTGTAAAATATACCTTGTAGTATTCAACAAACGAAATGTTAGCCTGGGCCAATGAACGGATGGCAAGAGGCTGGGGGAGAACCTGGAAAAGTATTATTAGCAAGCCATTTTTCTTTGGTATACCTCAGAATGGGTAACGATCGGCAAAACATTGGTCTTCAAGTCTCCTCCAAACATCTGCCTAACGGCAGCCAGCTCATAGATGAATGGCCACCCAAGATTCACTTCATCGTGACGAAGCACAATTGAGATCGCATCAAGACGGAAGGCTCCGGCAGCAAGAAGCTCCTAGGAACACATTATTTTATTTCGCTATGCAAACTTACATTTTTCAGCCAGTGCTGAATAAGGCTAGAGCATGTCTTCGTGCCCTTGACGTCCGGGATACCAGGGGTGTCGACGATGGTAAACTTGAATGGCAAAACAGTGTTGTTGAACTCGTAAGCGGTCAATTCGGTGGTTGGGGCATGATGCTGCGAGACGACAAATCTAGATTTGTCGATTACTGGTTGGTTTTGAGATGTTGGCTTACCGGAAAGGATTCTCACGCTTCACATCATACAAATAGTCGAGCATCGAATCGATCAAGCTGCTCTTTCCAGATCCAGCAGGGCCAAAAAGAAGAACCGTCTGAGGAAGGTAAGATTTAGAAGGTCAACAATCACTCACCTTGTCGTCAGCGGTTGGGGCTTGTTCTCCACCGAAGACGAACTTCCTGACCTTGGGGTTCTTGGCATATCCATGAACCTCTTGGTGAGCGGGAACGATGAGTTCAATTCCGTTCACACCATCGACCCAAAATTTTAGTAAATCTACGTACAATGTGATGTCTTACTTGATGTCCGTGGTGTCGGACGGACGCAGCAAGGTGGCTGATTTTAACCTCCTCTTCAATGATCGAATCGCTGCTCTCTATAACGCTAAATTGGTTGGGAATGTCAAGCTTACTCGTGCTGCGCTTTCCGATGCTGGCCGGGACGCTGGTGGCTGTGGAGTTGGTGCGGCTGTGGTGATGATGATGGTGATTGTTGTTGTGATGGATCTGGTGGTTGTTCTGTTGGCTGTGGTGCAGATCAGCCAGATCGTAGTAAGGCTCATCGTAGACATGGTCTGAGGGGCGGCGGTGGTTCTCAGAGTTTGTCTAAAACCTCGGTTTTGAAAATTTGCATTTAGTATCCTTTGAACTTAAATAAAGGAACAAAGGAAGCTAGCTCACTCGGCTGGAATTGCGTGATGGTGTCTTTCCAGCATGAGTTTGTCGTTGGCGCAAGGCTTCAAGCTCCAATTTTTCCAGGCGGACCTAGGTAATCAAAATGTTAGGTTTTTCCGAAACACCTACCCGCTCCTCGAGCAGCGCCTCGACTCGCTTGGCTTCCAAGATCTCGCTGTTCAGCTTGTTTAGCCTCCAGGTATCACCGGTATGCACCGGCGCTGTAACAGAAGCCGCGGCTGGGGCCTGCTTCTGAGAAACACAAGATGAAGAACGGGTTTATGACCCTACCTTCTTCTTCGGGCGCTCATAGGCGACTTCATTGTGTTCCAGGGTCAAATCTTGGCTCTAAAATCGGAATTTTGGCTGGTGGAATCAACCCACGTTCATCTTTCCATCACGATCGTGGACATCAAAGTCACCGAAACGTGTCTCAGCTGTTGAGATTTGCGAGTCGATGGTGAGGGTGGAGAAACGACGGTTGAAGTCTATTTTCTGAACGTGAATTTTGGAAATTTAATGCATACCAGTAACGGCTGGCTTCCTGGGTTCCAGCTGGGCGACAGTGTCGTACTCTTCGGATTCGTGGTCCTGAATTTAGGTTTCAGAAGATGAATATTATAATTTTTTTGTCTTCCCTCATAAATAGTAAAGATAATGTGCATACTACCTTGATGGTCGATTCGGTACGGCCCGACAGAGTTGAGTCACCGGTGTGGACGCGATCGCGGCCAGGTGGGTGGAAGACATCGTGGTGGTCCTAGAAGTCTCTACCCAAATTATCATGAATTATATACCGCGCCCAGGTCCAAATCAGCCATATGAACACCAGAATGGCGGGAAGAATGACGCGAATGATTGGAGTGATTGGAGTGTCTCGAGGCTTGGGAGTGTTGAGAATGGCGGCGACTCTATGAAATTTTTGCTAACGTCTGAAAAACAGAACTACCTGCGGTGCGGGGCTTGGGGGCTCCGGGTGAGCAGCCAGGTCCTGATCAAGATGGTCAAGATGGTGGAGGGCCTGCATGAATGTGTTGGGAATTTCGCTCAATAAATATGGCAATGCGCGTGCATTCGTTGTTCAAGATAACGAGTCCCGGAAAAAGCCGCTTAGGCTTTGCAAATTCGCACCCACCTCGGCCTCATAGCTGCGAGGGTTGGTGGTGTATTCGACGGGAGCTAGGGTCACGGATTTGAAGATCTAGACATCTTGTAATTTTTTGAAGTCTCCAATTTGCCTCATCAAGCAGATGATCGCTGTGCTGCGAAGGCTGCGCGGAGATGGCAGAAGCGCGACGCGGCTGTGGTGGTGCCTGAATAAGATGAAATTGAAAAAACCAACAATACCAAATCCATCGCTGGTCGATAGACATAAAAATAATACAAAGCGGCTGTGCACAGCCAGCTGACCAAGATCTCTAGCGCGTCCACATCAATTGCTAACCCCATTCAAGGCATTTGGTGGGTGGTGATCGAGGTTGGTAGTGTTACAGTAATATGACTCAGGGATCGATCAGGGGATGGTGGTTGCCGGGGTTTCGGGTTCGCCCTCGGGCCAATCGTATGCGAATGGTATGCGTGTTTGTGGACGATTTTCCGAGACCGGACGCGGAGGCCCACAGACGGGGCATCGACGGGTCGAAGGAAAGGAGGGGGCTTCTGAGTCAACGCCCGTAAAACAGTGCCATTTCGGGGTGGATGGCCAAGAGGGGAAAGGAGGGGGGTTTGGCGTATTCATGATGATGGGAGCGGAGGTCGGGTCGATGAATCGTATGTCGAGTTTTGGGATGACGAGATAAAAATACAGAAAGCGTGTTTTTGGATTGCAGTTGGGGTAACGGGTTTTTTTGCGGTAATACGAATTCCACAACAAATACTAGAAAATCTCCTTCCATAATTGCGAATTTTAAGTCCGGAATTCGAATCAGCATATGCAAGTTGTGGTATGATAGATGTAATTAAAAATTTTACAGTTAGTAGGAAATTTCGATTGTCTAAAAAATGTGGCGCGCGATTTCTACGTTAATGACTTCTAAGCTTTTTCCAGATGCTCTCTTACGCTAACTTACCGGATGCGCATTGTGGTACCCGACGTTTGAGTGCGTGGAATGGCGGCTCATTTCCGAGTGACGTGATGACTCGGTGGTAACGGCAGAGTCGTGACGCTCAAAATGTGATTCCTATCAAAACCGTACTTTAAATATCGAATCAACTTACATAGCGAGACTCCGAGGTGTACGTATGGTTAAACCCGTTGCTCTCGGTAGCCAACGCGGCAGCCGGATGACTCGGGGGCGCGCCAAAAATGTCGTCCAGGTTGATGTCGGCGGCAGAGGCCATTACTGAAGAATTTTTGAAAAACTTGAAATGTTTTGTGGCACCAAAACAAAACTATCAAGCCGGAATAAGAAGGCGTTAGTAATAAAGTAAACATGCGGACAGCAAGCAACAAAAAGGGAAAGATCCTGGTCTGCCATGGTCGTAAAGTCATCGCGGCGCCTACTCACACAAATATCCATATAAACTAATCAAGCAAAAAAAATCCAAAATTAAAAGCCGGCGTCATTGATTAGCCTTGCGGGGCCACTGGTCTCCGTTCGTGGCAATTCCACCCCCTTTCCACTGCCCCTTATCTTCCGAGTCTCAAACCCCGAAAAAGAAGCCCTTTCCACCCCCCTTTACAACCCGGTCGATTTATAATCCTAGATGCAAATAAGTAATGTATCTTTTTAAAACATCAGCCGTTTCGAGCGCTTCCCGGCGGCCAAACCCAAATCGGCGGAAATTCCCACGTTTTGGTGTTATCGTATTGGAAAATGCAAATATGTCGGGAGGGCGGCGTGGAGGGCATTTTTTTGAGAAAGGTAAATAACATGGGCTGTTGAATAGGGGTTATGAAGCCAAGATTTTCTTAGGGGGATTCTGGGGGCCGGGGGGCTAAGAGGATTTTTGGTAAAATTCTGACAACACGGTACTACCGAGCCCCGGGCCCCTGATAGGCCCTTATCACCACTTCACCTCAATGCCGTGTGTGTGTGCCCCGGGTTGGCCGTGGAGAATTTTGAGCTCTCCCCGGTTTCGGGCTGCCCCACCGTTTATAGTTGCAAACTATGCTTGAGAGGGATAATATATATTGACATATTTATGCACACGTAACGACGAAATGTTTGGCGAAACCCGAATAAAGTGATGGAACCTGGATTGGATTCTCTAGCTAACCGGGAGGATTTTATTATAATGTAAAAAGTCTTTTGGACATTGAGCAAGTATCAATCGGTGAGCGTTGTTGAGTATAAGTTGATTTTTCTAAAATTACAAGGTCACTTGTGGATCGTCGGAAGTTCGGTAAGAAAGAAAGCGTTGGTTGGTTCCGCGGAATGTGCAGAAAACACAGGGATCTGGTTGTCAGACTTGGGCGATATTTGTGTTCAGTGGCGAGTCGTCGTCGCCATATTTCGAGGTTTCCCTGGCGAGATGCTGGGTGAAGCCGTTGCCATTAAATTTCTTCGACTGTTTGCTTATCGTCGCCCGGGCCAACGATTTTCTTCTGAAAAGGGCAGAGCATTGCGGGGTGTGTGGGAAATCTATCTGGCTAGCGAGACTATCGACATAGAAAAAAAACGTTTTTCGAAGTATCTTCTCACAAATTTCATAATTTTTGAGAACCTCACGTTTCCGCTTAATCTTGCCAGAGGCATCTTACCAAAATATTTATTTACCTCTGCCGCTTCACCACCCGATTGCATCTATGATAGAAATGACGGCTGAGGTAGATGACAAGTTGTAATAGAGATATCAAGCTACCGCCAGCCCATAGGGAAAATTGCCCTGGAAAACAAATTACTCATTCGCTACCCCAGGTCCAGGTAACAAACCTCCAATCTGAGCAATAAGCGATTGAAGCGGCATGGCGATGACGTGTTTGATGACGGTGTATTGTAGATCTTTGTAGTACACCTGAATAAAAAATTTAAGGCCATTTTTAGGTTACTTACATCGATAATAATAGTGGATTTCAAGCGCTCCCAATCTTCGTCTGTTGGTACAAAGAATCGCGCCTGGATTTAACAGTTCAGTGTAAATTTTTGGCACCTACCGATTGGGACGGAAATTTAGCGTAACTGACGTGCTTGTCGTAAGCCCAATAAGTACAGGGTGGAGGACATTGGCTGCGACAAAACTAAAAGTTCAACGGGTTATTTTCGGGACTGCGCAACCTACCTTCGTCAATTCAGTGAAGTTAACATTTTCAAAGGATTTCAGAAAACAATCATAGTATTGCGTCGTCGTGCACACTTCCGTCTTCCGCGGCGATGTATCACCGGCCAAAGAACAATTGCATAGGTTTTCTGCATTTTGCAATAGGCACTTCTAAAACTAGAATTAAACATATACTAAAAAAAATTTTACCTCGAAACAATAAACTTTACTATAGGATTGATTGGTTTGTTCTTGACACATATATGCTGGTGGATCATGCATGAATTCATACTTCACTGCGGAAATCGGGAAAACTGCATGTACACCTAACAACTCCAAAATAACTCCAAAAATTGAAAGAATCACTAGCCTGGAGGCACGAATGTAAAATCATGATCGATACCCCGTCCTTGTTCAACAAGTTTCACGATTACCCCGTCATTTGGTATCTAAAGAAATTACTGTCACTCTGAAACCTCGTACTTGATTTGCACCCAATGCATACAAATCAATAGGCAAATTGATTATTATCCGATCACCGGAATCGAAGCCATCCCTGTACTGTAAAAAGTATGATTTCTAAGCCAAATATTAATTACCTGGACTCCACCAGGTAGTCGAAAACATCTACCAGCCGAACTTGAGACATATGTTGCTGATTCGCACTTTGATGTGTCTTGAAAAAATGCGGAGCAATCGAGCGCAGCCTAGAAGCATACCTATAATGTTAACTTCCAGGAATTACCTTGTCTAGAAATTCTTTATAGGTAATGTTTAGCCTCTGGAAGAGCTGTTCCCTCTCCGTTTCGTAAAAATCCAGGTTATTTGCAATTTCGTTAATAGTTCTAAGATAGAATTAGAGCTATGTTAAATGAACCCACGATTCTTGAAAAGGATGGATCGGCTGGAATGGGAAAGACAGCTCCAAATATTGAGCGAAACCGGCAGACACGTTTAAGCTCGTCAAATAGGACCGGTTAAACCGGTTGAAAGGGCAGATCACAATGTCCGGAACCAGAAGCTCAGCTAAAAGTCAGATACAAAAATTATATAGCAATAACTTACGCGCTTCATAAATAAAATAGGAAACGACGACCCGTCCAAGTAGATACTCCATTATTATTGTATAGCAGCCATGGACGGTAAGAATTCCAGCGAGAATTAGTAGAAGCATCCATGTGACTTTCAATTTGCATGAGGACGTGAAGAAAAGGTCTTTTAAGCCATGTACATTTGTGTTTTCCTAAAAATTAAGGTGAGCCTAGGCTTGTAAATACCTTTAACAATTTCCACGAATCATCTCCGTCCGAATCATCATCATCAAGGGCAGTAGACGATCGTCTTCTTGGGGATTTGCTTCGAAAACTTAATATAAGCCTTGGAATAACAATAATACAAAATTCTTTACCTCCGTTTCGTCGAGGCCAGCTTTTTCTTGAGCTTCTGATGTTCTCGCTCCAGGCTTTCTAACCTTTGAATACTAGCTGTTAACGTCTCGGCATGGTTGCCCTTTATACTTCCGTTGGCTGACGGGTTCATGTGCCTAAAAATGAAGTATGTTAGAATGGCCGGGCCTTTTTTGCATCCCTCCTATTCGCGTAAGAAAACAGGACATTCAGGCGGGGGGCCCTCCAAATGTTTTTGGCTGAGGCGCTACTCCTCTCCATTGACACCTGATACATGCGGAAACCTATTTGAAGTGTCGGGACGGAGGTGGGGGAATGGAGGTGTACGTCAATGAGGGTAAATAGTATATAGTAAATTATCGGAATTTTGATGGGCAATTAATTCGAAAACAAGTACAGTTAGCTTTTTATTTCAAGGATAAACTTCGTGAAAGGTAGTTTATTAAAAGTATGGCGCTTCTCAAGACCTAAATGCTCCAAGAAACTTATATTTGCAAGGCAATCCTTAGATTTATATTTAAATAAAGTATTCTAACCGCCCAAAAATTAAGTGGCATCCAAAACAATTATTCAATGTTGAAAAGCGATATATACAAATAGATAAAAGTTCGTTATGATTCCAGGACTAGAAAAAACTTATGTCAATCAGAATAAAATTATATTTAAATTTAATTGAAATTTCGGGCCGACCAATAATGAACCGGAACTCAATACAACTATTCGAGGTTCAAAAGAATAAAAAATAGAAGGTGGTCAGAAAGGCAAGCTGCTTGCCAAGAATACTGCACGTAGCCAGCCGCCACCCGCCGTTTTTTGATACCTTACCGGTGCAACCCAGCTGAAACCTGACAAAATTTACCGCCAAAGTAGGGGGGCGGTGTCCAAGAAGGCCAAAAAATGGCACCAAGATCGGCTGGCCGGGGAATTGGGGTGGAGGGTGGCCGGAGTTACCCAAATCGAATTCACACTCAGACATGCGATCCGAACACAAAAACGAGATAGGCATTTCGAGTGGCCGGCTTTGGAGGAGCTGGAGGGGGGCCCCGGGCATTAGGCCAATCCGATTGGGGCAGTCCGGTAGGTGGCAGGGGGGAGGAGGATTTTTTGTGTTGGTGCGAAAGGCGGTGGTGACGACGAGGCGAGGCAGCACAGCAGCACCCACCCGGCGATTCTTTGGCGCGGCCGTTTAAAAAGAAATTATGCATGCCGGGCGACTCGGATTACAATGGCGCGCCGCTCCATTTATGGGTGCCAACGGATTTCCTGGATGTTCAAAATCCTCACTAGCCGCCTTGAGGAAGCTCGAATCGCAATGATTTTTATAACTTTTGCAAGCTAGCTAAAAGGCGAAAAAGCAACTTAATTTTGTTTTCCAAAAATTGTTAATCTACGCGTGATTACGTGTTTTCAAAAAGTGCATGTGGCAAGGAAGGATCAGCAGTTAAAAGGTGAGGGTTTACGGTCAAAAGGTTTCAAGTAAAACACAAACCTCCTGAAACGAAAAAAGCATCTTTTGTCACTTGATAGATACCTCCGCCGCCAAATCCGACTTTTTTTTGAGACACCCTGTGGTTTGTAACAATTCGCTTCTTGTCAAAAATAATGGAAAGTATAATGAAAAGATGTGTTGTTCCGCACTCATTTTCCAAACACCCCAAATCCATAACAAGCGTTCCATTCGATACCCAAAACAAAGAAGCGATCCCCCGGGATCCCCCGGTGTGCTCCCAAAATTTGGGTAGCCCCAAATTGCTGGTTTTTGCCGGGGGTCCATATTGCATCGGAAGAGATATGGGGTGCAAGCACCTTCTATGTTTGAATTTTCACAACGACGGAAGGGGCGTTGGCATAAAGAAGGAAGGAAGGGAAAAGGTTTGCTTTTCATAGTTGATTTTGGGAGTTTAGGTTACTGTAAACGTCGGCGGCCGGATATCCGGATTTGGCTTGGGTTCAAAAGGCAAATACGTTGCCATTTAAAATGACGTTTGTGATGCGTTTTGAGAAAAACAATGAGGGCTTGATTTTGAACCTGAGATTCAAAGAAAATACCCAAAACAACGGTTCGTGAAATTGGAATAAACATCCTCATCTTATTGCCAAACAGTCAAATATCTGAGCTCTCCGTGTCTATTAATGCACCGTCAAACATAAATTTTTTTGAAGCAACCAAAACACCTCAAGTCTCAAAAAAATCATGCAAACGCAAGAAATAAATTATCCCTCCTTCGAAAAAGTGGAAACTTCAAGGAAGCGCAATCCTTTCTCAAAGCCCACCCAGCAATGCGACACACAAAAAAGGACACCACTTTTTATCCGGGAATAATTAACGGACTTTGCCTGGTCACCCCCCCCGTCCATAGAGAAAAGCGCAATTAGAAAGAGGAGGGCCCACCACCCCACTTTGTAAAGGTTGTGCCTAGTAGAGCCTGGCTGGAGGGCACGACGCGACGCGACCAAAGTGAGAAGATGATTGACATACCCCGTCACGGGTCAAAACTACCCTATCTCACAAACAAAAAAAATTGCTGTTCACGCCTGAGCGGTGGAAAAGAATTCCGTGGCGAGCGTTTTGGTGGACTCGGTTTGGGGGGTTTGGGATAGTGTAAATGATGGAGCCGTTTGCGGGAAAGGCTATTAGAGGAGGCCAGCGTTGGCTTGTGGCTGGCTGGTGTCTTTCGGATTTTATGATGCTCGGATTGCCTTTTTCGAAATGGATTTATGGGGGAGAAAAATGGAGGAGGAAAGGCCAAAAATATAGCATTAGAAGAACGAGATGCGCCGTGGCTTAATCTGTTGAAATTAAACTTGAAAAAGCTGGGACAGCCCATAGTGTTTTCGTATTATCAGGGGGACAAAACTCTTTGTATAGATCCAATTTCTCGAATATATAGGGGAAGCATTCTTAAGCCGTTTTTACTATGTCACACCTAAAAGCTTTACAAATTATGATTAGAAAATACAATGGATAACGAATCGGCTCAAGCTCGAATCGAATCGATCTAATATCGACTACAAAAATCAGTCGAAGTTTTGTCATTGTTTTTTATAGTTGTATTTCTTTGATAAATTGACACAAAACACTATTAAAATGCAAAAATACAAATAAAGGAAATTATACCCCCGATAATACAATAAAAACCATTTATCGTATTTAATACTGGTGTTAGATTTCCATAGATTTCCTTACGCAATGCTATAGGAAAATCGATCCATAATTTTAGGAAGTAATTTGGAAGTGGCAGAATCACCAGCAAACTATAAAAATCACAAAAAATACAAGCCTCGTGGGAACCCTCCAGACCAGACCCGCCTTTTTTCTAAAGTTAAAAGCCCAAACCCTAGGGTTATCTCTGGGACAGAGCAGCATTGTCGGCTGACTTGCCGTGGAGATGGATGGACCCGATTGGACCCCGAGAATTCCCACAAAAAAGCACACAAGAAGCCAAGGTGAAGGACGGAAATAAATAAACACCTCTATCAACGGCCCTACACCGCGGGAATCTTCCTACTGCTCCCTAACAAACCCTATCAAAGCAACAGGCCAGGGTCCGTAACTAGCAGCTTGCTGGAGTATAGACCTTTCGCGGAATTGCTGAACGCTGGGTCTGGGGCCGCTGGCTAAACACTCCACGAGGGAAAATGAATATTTTAGTAGAAGTAAGAGTGCCACCCGCGACTATTTTACATATCGGCCAAGGTTGGATTGATTTTTGGAAGGGTGCAATGAAGCAAAACACAGACGTATGAAAGGGTGCAACCGGGCGTGAAGAGTAATTATTAAAATCTGGGGAATTATAATTACAGGTTTTGGATTTAGAATAAATCTTGGATTGTTAAACAAGGAAATCAAACTGGATGTTGAACCCCTTCGAAATCGCGAAATCAATTAGAGAGCCTGATATATCGACATCATTCTCCCCATGCTTTGATTCGTCAGCTGTCTACCGAGGCCTTTCTATTGGGTCAAGAAGAAATACTCGGGATTGCCATGAGGCCGGGATTCAAACAGGAAGAAACATAAACACAATCCCGGGATAGAGGCAGACAGCCAATGAACAGCGGTCCCAATTTAACCGTTTCTTAACGAGGGCTGAATGAGCAATTGTTCGCGTTTGTTTGGTCATTTGGAGCAAGGGGCCCGAGTCTCTGGGAGGTTTAGGCTTTAAAGGTCGTAAAGGTGGACTATTTAGGTGATAGGAGGTAGGAAAGATAATATGATAGTTGTAGAAAATCGTGATTGTTGTTTTCTGGTTTCAATTTGGGACAGATGTGCGTGAAATCTGGTTGAATGATGGCCGCCTGGGGGCAAAGCGTCGGCAGATGACAGCGCGTGGAAGGGCTATCGCAAAAAGGGGGGCCAGGAGAAAGAGACCCTGAGAATCTGCGTCCATTTCCGGTGAGGTAAAGCGAATCCGGTTTCAAAAATAGGAATAAGAATTTTACAGGGGCGAGATCCATAGCCACCACCGTTAATTAAGGGTGTATTTCATCGCTTCCTTGCCATATTTCTTAAAATTGTATCTTCTTGCCTTGCATACCATCCCAACTTTTTTGAAATAGACATCGTATCTAATTTTTTGATTTATCAATATTGGGTCAAATTATGCACTTTTTTATTTAGAAGAATATATACCTCCAGACTACCTTTTTCCCCCGACAAGCTCAAACTAGCCAAAATCAGCATCACCCCGCTCACAGATCACGATCGTTGCCATCCCTCCCCCACATTATTTTTTTAATCCTCCGCTGAACCGCCGTAACGGATGACTAGACCATTGTGGCCAGTCAATAATTGGCATGGCTATCGCTTGTTGCAGTTTCACACCCTTCTAAACCAAAAATTCCACGAACATGGCCCCCTGGAAAAAGCTGGGAATTCTCCTTTTTGCCTTCGTTTCCTTAATATTCATTGCCAGCTATTACGATCCAATTTCTTTAAAATGCGAGGTAACTCAGGGTATTTAATTGTAATAAAAAGACGCTTTCAGAATCGCTACTTGACCACAAAGAATGTACAAAAATATAATCGTCAAAACCAAGAGAAAGCAAAGGGAGACGCGAATCTCAAGCAGCTTTCTGATATAAAGGCTCAAAATGAAGGGGTGCTATTTGCCATTTGAAAACAAATATCAATCTAGGCGCTACCGGAAACAATGTTTAACCCCAAAGACATTTCGAAGGTATGCGACAACTCAACGAGTAAAGATCTCACCTGTATTCCCGGTTTTATACCTTTCGAAGCAAAATATGTGGTGCGTCATGGTTTCGAATTTTGAACAGTTGTCTAGATTTCACCTACTTATAAAATGGCCACCTGTATAATTCAAAAATCAATGTCTACAGTTATGGCTGCATTAATGTGCTATCTCTATAACGAAACAAAGTTCAAGGAAGCTGGAAGGCAAATTTTGAAAGAATGCCATGATGTTCGGTGAGTGGTCGGCTACCTTAATCGTTACAAAGCAGTTCTTTAGATTTTGTGCCGCTAAAAACGAATACGGTTCCATCAAGCATATCCGGCGAAAATTTAATTTACAACCGGATGATTGGAGCCTGATTATGATCTCTAGGGACCCGGTGGATCGGTTTCTCAGCGGTTTCGTCGACAAATGCATACGGTAAACAATTAAGGAAGTCGCCAAAACGCATTTTTCAGAAAACCCAAAGGCGACGGGTACTGTAATGGGTGTGGAAGGAATATGACGTGCTTCTTGATATCAGAATATAATCGCATCAAACGACAAATTGAGGAGGATCGATTTCCAAGAACATTTGACGACCGCCATTTTTTTCCGCAGTCTTGGTGCGTTGGGGTCAAATTAAAGGAAGGAACCAAAAAGGAAAGGAGTAAAAAACCCTAATTTTCTTCATGGGTGATTGAAAAAGGCGGCCTTTGTGTAATTTTCACAAAAAAAAGTTCGCGGAAAGGCACAAGACTGAGGCAGGCGCTTTTTGGCATGGGGTACTTGGGGATCTGAGTCGGTGGAAGCCGGAAAATGGTGGGATTAGGTAAAAAATTTGGGAGCTATTCTACGGGATGAGGTGCGCCAAATTGATGTCTGACATGCGGGTGAAGCCATTTTGACAAGGGTATGGGGGATTTATTTTGGATTGGGACCAGCTTGAGGAGCGGATTGGGCGTGTTTGAATTTGCGAACAAGGGTGTCTGCTGTACGTCAGAGGTTTTTGGGAGAATTTAGGGAAATGAAAGGGGATTTGGGCTTTATGATGCGTGTTCTTATACTAATTGCCGAACGGAAGTTTCCGGGAAATTAGGGGAAGGGTTGGATGGCAAGATTTCGTTTGAAAATGTGATGTACGGACTTGATATTTTGTTCTGATGGTGTTATCGCCAAAATTGATGACGTAATGCAAGGAAACTTAGCCGTTTAATAACGATTTTCCGGAACTTCACCCACACCCTTGGGACTGACTAAAATTAAGCAACAATCAACAAGCTACCAGCATAAAAACCAACTCGGGTCTGACCAAAAAGTTGAGTATCTCGGGTCATGCGGAACCAGTGGTTAGGGCCCGCGGTTGGGGTAGGCCCCAAGGCGATTGTCGCGTCCGTATGTGCAACAGATGAGTGATCGAGGGCATTTGGGTCGGTGTCTCGTAAAAAGGAGGGGCCAAAGAGAGGTGGATGGGGGCCAAGGCGGCTGCTCATGCGCAAAAACAGGGCCCTATCCCATCGAAACAGTAGCTAGGCGAGGCGGGTAGAGCTTGGCGGGTGGGCATGAGCTCTCTTGGGTGCCGGAGGGTGTGGGATAAATCACCGGACACTCGCCAAGTGTGAAGAAGTAATGGGATGGCGGACGTAAGGTAAGGGAATACGGGATCGGCAAGGGGGGTTTTTGTCGTTTGAACTTTGACCGGTCAGAGTTAGGCATGCGGGTGCTATAACATTTTTACAGAAAAGGCAAAATTTATCTTTTTAAGGTCGACTTAAGATTAGGTAGATTCATATAGGCTCCCTATCCCGCAAAAAGTAATGCGAATCCGGTATGAAGAACTGCGGTTGAGACGTATTATAAAAATGTATTAAAATTACAGCAGGCGGTGGAATCAAATATCAACACCAAAAAATGACTCAAAATAGCGGTTGTTTGGACTGTCAAAATAATTTTTCTAGGTTTTTCGGCCCTCTACCGAGTGGCACCCTTTTTAAATACCGGTTTTGTCGAAAATGGCCCCTGTTCCTTAAATGCCGTACACCTCTTTCGGATTCCAGTCCTGATTTTTTCTAAATCCACAAAAACTAACGTTTCGCCCTCCCAAAACTGCTGTTGAACTTGAACCCGCTGGTCCTACCTGCTGCCGAACTCTGCTCCCAAAAATCGGCGCTCGATCGTCAAAAAAGTGTGCGCATCGGTGTGCATTTTACTGCCCGGGCAGCCAGGAAAAGGACAATATGCGTTGGCAGCGTTTTGACCCCCGACCACCCGCAGCTTCCCCCATTTCTAGGCGCTGCAATTTGAATCAAGAGCGCCAGCGGTACAACGTCCTTCACTATTCATCAGATGCCTCCGGGGCATTCCTTGACAGCCTCATCCCACATCTTCAGGCACAACAGGTTAGCTTGGAATATCGATTCGAGATTCGGATTTAAAGCGCACGTCCAGGGAAGGGCCGTGTACTCGTCCCAACGTATACACCCTATGGACGTAGGGACCGCGCGCACTGCCTGCCCGTGCTGTGACAGGCCATTCCCCCTCCTTTGCGGCGTGGGGCGCCCCTCGCCCCCTCGCCAGGTTGTAGCTGTGGCTGACTGGTATCCATCCGCGCCTCCCGAGCGGGGGGCCCGGGTTCGACCCCCGGCCGCGGCGAAAATCTTTGCTTTTTCCAAAAAAAGTCCCTGAACGTGCCCTTTAAATAACTCTTTCCGCAGGTTTAGTAAAAAGTTGTTTAGGTGCCTACAAGTTCCATCAAATTTATCAGAGATCAACTATCAGACGGAAGAACTGTACATAGTACTGTAGATTCTAGCGCTAGGTATTATTCGATCTTTCATCCAGATTCTCCGTTTCAGGCAATTCCTCGAAAAACGATTACGCTCGAGCCCCTTCCTAATGGAATACGTCGTCCGCATCTTCTATTCCGACTTTAAATATTTCAAATTCCCGCTCCCAAATGGCTTTCAATAAAACCGGTTAAGATTAATGAACTTTTTATTCCAAAATTCACAAAATACAAAATAAATCTCGCGCACGATCAAAAGCAGTGGGTGCACACGGTAAAAGTTGGGGGGTGAGAACATGTGACATGAGAATATTGTCTGTGTGTGGGGGAAACTGGCTGAATGGAGTAAAAAGAAAAAAAGTCTGCACAAAATCCGACGGATGGAGAACATTTGGGTGGACCAGTAAAGTGGGAGGGGGTCGACTATAAAAATGTGGAACTGAAAAATTCGTAAAGACAAAGTGAAGAGCATTTGTTGGGTTTGGAGACGGTGGTCAAATAAATGAAGGAGGTTGTAGATACAATTTAGTGGAGTTCGTAGCGATCGTGGTTGTAATTGCCATAATCACCGAGGACGTTGCGGGGGTAGGTGCTAAAAGGGCTTATTTCAAATTGTCGTGATTTCGAATACCGAAATTTTGGTACTGTGCGAATTTTAGGCAACGTATTTATGAGATTTTTCAGGAAAAATTCGACGCTTTAAAATTCCGATCCTCTGAATTTCCAGATTCCAATAGAAAATTGAAAAAGTATCCTACTATATATAAAAAAATAGTGTCTGTGTGTGTGTGTGTGTGTGTGTGTGTGTGCATTTGCATGCAACTTCCGTCACCGTGTTCCAGTAGTATCTCAAGAGGGGAAGTACTTAGGGGTATGTTCGATACGTCATTAGGTGCGTCATGGCCTGGAGATGACTGCACACATATCAGATTTTACAAAATATGATGTTTTCGACATTAAAATTAAGTTTTTCATGGAAAATCGGACACCCCAATTTGTTAGGATCAAATTAGCATGCACCGGAAGTCGCGGTAGCCTATATAAAGGGACGGCAAGAGCATTTTTCATTTTTCGTCATCCGAATCCGGGAAAATTATGCAAGCCAAAAATATCATTGGAGAAGACGGGGCCAGGGTTGAAAAGCCGCGAAGCGGTTTTTCAACCCTGGTGCTAATTAAAAAAGTCCAATTGCGCTGAGCCCCTGAATAAGGCTAAACTATGACTTTCAGATTTTCAAACGCAAAAACTCACCCATTAACCGGCGCCGACGGTCCCCTCCACAAAGGCTGAGTAGCCTCATCAGCAGAGGTGCCATTTGTATTAGCCGAAGTAGTACCCGTACTCGGGTCCGTCCGCTCCCTAAATAACCTTCATCATAAAATCCTCCCCTAAGCTTGTAGTGATGTGTCGGTTCTAGAAGAGAAGCCACTTTTTCACCTCCCATACCCAAAAATTCTCCCCTCCGGCTTCTCGTCTAGTGTTTTCGAGAAGAAAAGACTTCCTGGTATGTTCTCTAGCACTACTTCAGAAGAAAAGAAAGAAGTTGGGGAAAATACACGAAAGACTCGCAGAGGGCTTACCACTGTAGGAAAGATACGTATCTAGAAGGGGCATATTTTGACATATAGACTTGCTGCTGGATAATGATAGAACTACCCTTTTGGGGGGCTATGATACTGGGTTACTGAGGGTCTGTGGTGTAAAAGAGCTCGCTAGAAAAAGGGTGTTATTGAATGGAAATTGTTTACGTGTGAAATACTTACCGAGTTCTCGGGTTGAAAACATGGGTGCCATAGATGTCGACCGGGATGTTGGAGTCATTTTGGCGGGGGAAGAAAGGATCATCCTCATCAACTTCGACGTAGTCAGACGGGCTGAAAAATATGAAGGTTAAATGTTAACTTATGGCTTTGCTTTAATTAAGCGGACGCTCAAACAAAAATTCACATGCAGGTGTAACTGAGGGTGTTGAGGCGGAACTACAGGCTATGCCAGCGCCCACCGAAAAGCGACCCTTTTGATGTCGATGGGTCGTGGGCCGAAGGTTCGCTTCTCGCAACGGCGACACCCACTCAAAGAAATACAAAAAGGACTCGAACGAAAGACGCCGATAAGACAGTATGTTACACACAGGTGTGGTGGCAAGTTTTGTGCTTTCTGGGGGTCAGAGACTATGTGGTCGTACCTTGCTGTTAGAAGGAACTACACGTAATAACGATTTCAGAAAGGATTTTTGCTTCTTGGACGAGAGACTTTAAACCACTACAAGCCGCGAAAGGTGGGGTTTGACACAGAGCCACTCCAAGTTTAGGTTTAACCAAGATTTAAAATGGATCATAACTTAAAAATGGCATCTTCAGTGTTAATTGACTATTTTAACCTTTGAGTGCTTGTGAAAAGACCAGGACATGATTAGCATGAATTGCTTTCTAGACAGCGACAGCGCACTGGTGCCGGAGTGCAAAGGAGTTCGGGCTCACCCGGTGACAACGACTTTCAAAAATTACTCACAGCCTAGTGAAGAGATGCCAGGTTTTTGAGACGACAATCAGCAGAATGAACAGCATCATGCCAAGGAGTACCAAGGTGATGAGGAGGAGCCCAGCACCAATCCTAAACGAATTTTAGGTCAATTTTTTCCTTAGCTTACATTGCACTATCGCATACTCCTTTGTGCATAGCATTCACATCGATTTTGTATTGATAGCAAGCCAGTGAAGATTGCAGAGCACCATAACCAACCAGAGAAGCCGAAGTATCCGTAGAAATTAAAGCCGAAACGTTCGCAACCTAAAGACTACAATTAAACATAATAGATGCAATCCCTACCTCTTCACTGCGGTTGAATGCGGCATCCAGCAACGAGTCGAGCTTGGTCTTGGTCGACTGGATGTAGTTCAGGTTGTCAGTGATGTTCTTGAAGCCAAGTACCGGCGGGGTCTAAATACTAAACTTAAAACTTAAATTTATTTCCTTACATTGTCGTGGGTGGGGGCTGCTTTGCATTCATGGTAATATTTAAGGGTGTCGATGAGCTTTTGGTTGACGTTTTTTTGGATGTAGTCGTCGCCATTGGTGCAGAAGTCGGAGAGGCCCTGGGGTATATTAAAAAGGGTTTGATGATTTGCATACCACAGTGGCTGGTAGAACGAAGGCAGTTAGCAGCCAGACGACAACGAAGACGACGATGCCAAGCGAGGAGAAGATGACAGCTCCTTTCTGCAACATAATTAGGTATAGAAAAAACTTAATTGATTCCCAGCATGTATATTATTTTTCTTTTTCTCACCTTCGACTGCCTGCAAAACGAGATAACCCCAGCGAACAAGACGCAGAGCAGCACGGATTGCACAATCACCAGCAGCAGCCACCTAAATCACGATGATCTCGTTTGCGAGCGCCTTCCGAAGGCTTTTCGTATGGCGGTGTGCGGGGATGTAAAGGGCTAAGGAAAGAAAGAAAGAAAGAAAGAAAGAGCTATTGGTGACCAGGATGGCTATGGCGGTCCCTTTGTGGTGCGGGCAACGAGCCGTGAATGTGAATCGAATCACCGGAGGGGTGGACGACCTGGACGTGACCACCCCCCCACTGCAATCAGTCTGGTTTTGGGTACCAAAGGTTTTTACTAGTATTGAGTCGTATTTTGTCTGAAAAAGTGGTGTTAGTTCGGAAAGTGTTGCCCACCTTTCCAACTCAATCCTCTCTCCATATTCCCGAGCCTTATTGAGGAAGGCGATGTCAACAAAGCTGGTGTCAAGCTGACGCAGCATCTCCATGGTATCTTCCATTGAGTCTGAGATGTTTGTCATCATCCCATCAATCGCTGTGATGAGCTAAAATTTACTTTAAACGAAACAGGTTCAAATACCTACTGTTTGGTTAACACCTTTCTCCTTCCTCTTCCGGTCCACAACATCGATCAGATCTTTGATGTGATTGGTTGCATTCCCGCAGGTGGTATTCAATCCGGCGCCCTGGAAATAAGGATTGAATTCCAAAAATGCCACAATATACCTGGCTACGTGCCAATGTCAACGACCGTGTCACGTCATCCAGTCCATTCAACGACGTTGACACGCTTCGATTGATTTGATCATTCGCGAACAACGTGAAGCCCAGGAAGACACTAAAAAATGATTTGATCTCCAACATTCATCAATTGGTCCCCGCTTTTGGGTCGTCAGGCGTCGGTTAGTAGGGTCGGGTGGGCTGGGGATGAAGGCGGAAATTAGTAAAGGGGCTCCTCCGGGACAGCCACTTAGTCATTCTAGCCCCTTCAAGGAAAGCATCCGCGGCTCTCACATTCGAAATTCGAAACGGTCCTCTAAGCCCATCCGCTAAAGTGCTGTGGCCGGTGGTCAGCGTTGGGATTTCCGAAAACAGCTGGCTAAAACTATAGAGCGATGTAGAGCGATCCCGACATTTTTAAATTTCCCTAGTATACATTTTTTTTGGTTTCGATGTAGACAAAGCTGCCAGGGGGCTTGAGTGAGTTTCTGCAAAGCCCGCCCCCCAAAAAAAAGTCTCTACTCCAAATGCGACACCCCATTCCTATCTTCTCAATCCCGATTCTGCATATCTTGACATAATCTCAACCCATCCCTCCACCCACTTGTCCAACTCTTGGGAACCTCCCCCGTCGAACAGATTTGGAAGCCCCCGAATATCATATTAGGTCGCCCCCTCACCCCGGCCCGCCGTTCCCCTAATGCAGCCTACGAGGTGGGAATCCTGGGAGCAAAGAATTGTCGAAACTCACAAGCAAAACACGGAGATGACGAACAGGGCGGTGGAGAGTCGCTTCACCTTCCTACGTGACTTCACTGTCGCATCGTGGCGACGACAGCATTGGCAAATCCAGATCGTGGCTAAAGTGCAAAGCAGAAGGATCAGGATTGCCCCACATAGAGCCGAGAGCAAGATGAGAGACTGAAAAGGAGGTTTATGAGGATTCAACAAAAATGTTTCTTACCTCAATGTAATCCCCTCGAAAGTCCAAATTAAAGATCGGCTTCACCCGCTTGAAGTGGAAATTGAAGTGCGGGATGTAGGAAAATACATCGAGGATGTACTTCACAACCATAGGGCTGTGAAGCTCCATCTTCTGAAACAGCCAAGTGATGAGAATGAAGAAGGCGAAACCGGCTTTTTCGAGAGCATCCATGTCGAATGAAAATGTATGGTGAAATGAAATGACAAGAAAGACGCGCACCCGACAGACGTCATCGTTTGCATAAACACCGGTGATTCAGTGAATTATGTTTTTATTTCCAGGAAAAGGGGCTATTTTTTGCAATTTTGCAGAGGCGTCAAGAAACTAGAATATAATATCGCGTCAGATGATGTAAAATTTCAACATTTTTTGAGAAAGATAAAGCAACGGGTATCGTTGATTTCTGAAGCGACAAAATAAGAAAGTAAATGTTAGTCAGGAAGTGACTAGTCCAGGAGACAGGAAATTGAGTCACACTTTTCCGACCACTCTATGAATTAGGACATGAAATCGACTCTGACAATCTAAACCTCCAAAAACGGTTACGCGCCGCCAGAAAATCAATGGCAGCCGTTCGAGGCGGTGTGTAAATAAATAAAGATGACCCTCTCTTTCCTTCCTGCGAGGCGGGCGGGATGTTTAGGTTTCGGATTGAGTGACCTGAAGGGGGTCAACTGGGGGGTCTAGAGGAGGAGGAGGATATGCCCTAGGGCTATGTACTTCATAGAGAGCTTAGGATAACCACCGATTTCGGAGCCCTTGGGTTTTGTTGATTGCGGTGATCATTTGGGATAGCTTGGCGCCAATTTGAAAATCTGTTTTCCGCTTTTCCAATGCCAACAACTTCCAAATATCTCAAAGCACGACAAAATTGCTTGGATCTAGCCAGAAATCTGAGGAGGTAAAGCTGGGCCCGCCCGATTTGCATAGGACCCCAAATCCAGCCGGGTACCCTAGGCCACGCCTACCAATTCGCTCTACAGACTACACACCACACACAAAAATTCCACCGAGTGTGGCGCGCCTAGGAAGTTTCTGGGATGAATTCCAATGCTATTTCGGATAGGATTTGTGGGTGTGTCCTTCCCTAGAGGTTTAGGTTGACAAATTGCCAAGGAGTTACTAGGGCTACGAGTGGGGGCAGTTGATAACGATAAGGGATTCGATTGATATGCCTTTTTGCGAGGGAACGAGTTATGGATCGATATAGAAAAATAGGCGCATTAATGGCAGGACGGCAGAAGAAAATGTTGCGAAAATTAAATTTTTGATTTAGAATGTTGGGTTTTATAGATATTCCTAAAACGTTGAAAATTACGTAAAAAACTACTGCTCGCTTTTAGCTAGGGAAGTGAAAAACAGCCGGACCCTGAAGAAAATCGCGTGAATTAAAACCATAACAAAAGCTTTTTGAATAATGTGAAAAATGCTGATCTTTTAGCTAGAGCAGACGAAACCAGCTGGATATTGCACTGGCTGGCCCCGAATTTCAAAAAAATCCCAAGCCCCCGACACCCCCCTCCATCTGGAAGCGTGAAACAGCATATGAACCGTCCCCCACAAAAAATATGCTTGCCGATGGGCGCGAGCGCCCGACCCATAGGTCCGGCCGCGCCCCGGCTATCGATCAGCCGTTTGGGGTGCAAAAGAATCAAAAAAAGAAAGAGCCTGTGGGAACGGTCGGGCGGGCCGTCGGCACCTGTTCGGCCATCTATCCGAGCAAGAGCGCCCGCTCGCGCGCGAGCTAGCCCCTTGCTCACCACCCCTAAAACCCTTTACAGTCCCTTCCCCCTCCACCAGCACCACCACCAGAGTGCTCGTTTACGGGGCACGATAAAACAGCCGGATTGGCTGGGAACAGTTTGGAATATCTCCTCCCAGATTGCGAACATCGCTTCAGGAAATGGACGGCACACTTTGGCGGATGGTAGGGGGAGATCCTGCGGGGCGCACCGCGGTAGAAACGTGCAATTTGGGCGTTAATTGGGCACTGCGCCTGGGCTAATTGGGTATTTTGGGGCGAGGATGATGGGGGTGGATTGAAAAAGTGGTGCAGGAGCTGCAAAAGTTGGGAAAAGGTGGCTGATATAGAAAAAAAACGACAAGGACAACGAGCATCAGGCCTTCTAAAGTTTTTTCCATCGTATAAATTGTTGACAACCGGTCCAGCTGTCGTTTTAAATGTAATTTCGATGGTGACATAAAGGGATCAAGAAGGCCCGTGTAAAACTACCAATGGCAGGAAACCAACCGGAAACACGATAAAAGAAACGCATAAGACAGGGGTCGATGCAAGAAGGATACGAGCCGTTTTATGCTGATTATATGTTATGATATTCGTGCTATGTTCATATTTTTTAAAGAATTGTTTTGTGCAAATGGTCACAGGCTTCTTCCTAATAGCTTTAATAGAGTGTTCCTTCCTTCAAAAAAGGTCAATCTCCAGAAACCTAACATTGCAAATTCTCCTTCATTGTCCCCCGTGAAAAGAAGCGTAATGGAATTAGGTGTTCAACAGAGACATCCACGAAAAGAGCATGAAAAGGAGGCGCGCGGACGACAGAGGCAGAGGTCTCGGCTGAAGATGCGAAGAAAAGGATGGCTTTTCTCGTGGTAATCAATGCAAATGGGTATGGGAAGGGGACAGCCCCCCAAAGGCCGAAAAGGGGGGGGGGGATGGAAGGGTGGCGACTACGCACCGATACGACCCGCACCCCGCCAAGGGTGCCTCGAGAGGCCATCAAACGCCAATCCTGCCTGGGTGGGCTGGTTGCAACGAAAAGCCTGCCGAGATAAGCGTTGCCGATTTCCGGTAGCTGTGTGTGATGATATGATGGCTTTAAATTCAAAGGGATGGGAGACAATGTTGAAATTGGATTGGTTGACGTCAATGGAATGGCTTGCAGCGGTCTGCGTCTGAGTGGTTTTGAAAGAAGGGAACGGGCAGGAAAAGGAAGTGTCTTCAAATCTTCGACAAGTTGTTACCAGGCTTCAACGCTCTAGATATTCAAATCGGGAGCTTTCAAAGCGCCGGCTTCCGTCCATAGCTAATGGCGGTTGGTGCCAAGGGCCCGGGGGCCCAGGGAAGGGACCGAGTGGCACAAGGGCCAATTGTCCGCATTAGGGGCAGTTTAGATAAGCCTCCCTTGGGAGGAGCAGCCGTCCACATATGACCACCCAATTCTCTGCCGCGATGAGCGATGGGAACGAGCTTGCCAATTATTGAGGAAACCCGGAAATGGCGCTCTTTAGTTGTTCCACTAAGGCAGTGAATTTATAGCATGGAATTTATAGTATTTATAGTAGGTGTATAAAATTCAAAACTTCAAATTTCTCTCATCTAAGGTCGAATCGAAAAGCCGGAAAACGGAACAGCTACCCCCCCCGGGCCTCCTCCTCCTCCGAAGCAAAAAGTTAATGGAAAATTGTTGACGGCAAGTGCCGAGGGGCCCGACGCCCTTTCCGGCTCCCCCTAACAAAAACATCAACCGCCAGTCACCACAGGAGCCGAAATCGAATTAAAAGGATTTGAAACCCTCGATTCCGCTCTCAGCCCCCAGATTCCCGCCGCGGGCTTAGAGTATGTATAGTAGACTGCACGGGCAAAAAATTTGAAATGCAGCCGGGGTGCAAGGTGGTAAGGGGGGGAAAAGAGGGGAAAAGAGAAAAAGAGTGCTTTGAGTCCCCGGTGGAAATGGCGGGCGGGGGCCATCGGCGGGGCCAGGGTTCTCGAGAGAATGGCGCTTCCGCGTGCCCTTCCCCTTGCCACGGCCTTTGTCCCCGAATAAGCTCGAAGGGCCTCCCGCGCGAATTATGGATGTCCCTTTACAATTTGATTTTGGGACTGGTCGTGTCGGGGAAAAACTTCTAGGCTCGAGTCTGTAGTCTTGAAGAGGGGAAGACCAGAAATCAGAAAAAGTTTTTACATCGAGTAAAAGAGAAAGTGTGTATGTTGTAATATTGTGTCAAGAAGCAATTCATGCGCTTTTCTGAGGACATAGTTTTCGGAATTTTTGCTGGGGATTTTGAACCGGCGGTAGTCTGGAAACAGATAAGCGTCGTTTTGGAAGCGGGAACAAAAAAAGCATAGATTTGAGTTTCTGATTCAAGGCGAAAATCAGTTTTTGTTTTTTGGAATCGAAATAAGAGATTAATTATTTTTGAATAACAGCATATCCTAATTTTTAGGTAATTATGAAGACCCGGCACTAACAATCTAGAATTTAAAAAACTCAACCGGAAACGCCATGCAAAAACTGCAACATGAGGGTGTTCCAGGCAAGGGAGCCAGAGCCAATTTATGCTAATTGTTTGTTTTTATGCTAACTTTATGCGAATTGACATTCGTCGTCCTCAGCCCTTTAAACGGTCTGGTTAGAAATCCGGCGCGGCAAACTGGCTAAACTCGCGCTTTTCATCCCTTGTGAAAATCCGAGCCCCCTCCCCCTCAAACGCTCCAATTCGTGAGAAGAAATCCCCTAATAAGGTGGTTCCGAATCGCGAACCAGTTGCAAGGGAGGCTGAGCGTGCGACATGAAGGGGGTCGTGTTGCTAGGAGGGAATACAAGGGTGGGGAATGGTGTTCAAGGGAGTGGTTGGGGGTAGAATTAGTATGTATTCAGGGGAGAGGCCTTCGCTTTTGTGCAAGGGAACACCATTCCGCACTAGAACCAACCTGTGTAAGCGCAACCCCCCACGCGTAAAGTCAATAGAGTGAGCATTATTGTTGAGTCGGGGGAAATATTACTTGGTGCGAAGTTTGGGATGGTAATATTGTTTTAGGATTGGTTTCCCGGATTAAAATTGCAAAAAGAGCCTCGGTTCATAAAAGGAGCCGTTTTTTGTTCTTTTGCTCCCTGGCCAAAAAGAGCAGTTTTAGGCCAAAACGGGTTTTTCTGATTTAGCTGTTTCGAAGGGGGTTAAAATTCCGAATGATTCAAAACCTAAGAATGATTATGATGGATATCTCGTACAGCTGAACCCAGCAAAAAAGCGCCAGCCACCCAAATTGCAGCATCGAAAATATGCATAAAGGCTTGAACAGCAGCGCAATATAGAGTTTCCATCGCCAGCTTTCTCCCGTTCGCAGTAGTGAATCGAAAATTGGTGCTGGCCTGAGGTTGGCGTTGGTGGAAAGGGAACACCATGGGAGGGGCGGAAGCAGCCGGGCGCATATGCCCCCTAGAGGACACTCCAAATTGACTGGGGCGGACCCGCAAATGATCGCTCCCCCCCCGACTGCACCTAGCCGGTCGGCATGTCGGCATTTTCCAAAAGAAAGGTAAGAAATCTTCTGGAAGCCACGCCCAACATGCTTGGCCAATTTGTGGTGGTCCTGACAAATCGGGCCACTTAAAAGTGCTGGATGTATAGCTGAGGGGTCTAAAAATGCTACAGTTGAGAGATCTACGAGTCGTTAGGGTGGAGAGGGATGGATTCTGAGGTTCCAAATGTTGTCAGGTCGGTATTAAATGCTAAAGAGCACTTAGCAATTTTTCTACTCATGCAAAAAATGACGGATGCTCTTACAAAATTTTGCCGAATATAGTATAGAAATTCATCATCACCAACCATTTTTGTGCACAGATGACCGCCGAAAATAGGTCTATTGTGCGGCGTATGGATACGCTGAGGGGCTAAATCGGATCACATGGCGGTCGTGCTTTCGGGTCGCCCGATACGAGGTGACAGGGGGACCCGTATGGAACGGATATTACAACTCGACCGCTCGCTTTGAGTAGCCGCCACTCACGAAGCACAAGTAAAAACCGGCATAGGCTAAGGGCGAGGGGCTGAGGGGATTTTTTAACAATTTAGAGAAAATTGTAGCGAATGGTATTTTTGAACCTGGAAGAACTTCCTAGGAAACCTACTTTCCACATTCCAGGCTCCCGACATCCCACATCGTCGTCCTTCACCTTGCTCATAAAATAAATCAGACATGTCGGCCCGTCACATTTACACCGAAATGTCTTTGCCCCCACACACGCGATCTATGCTATTACAGGAAAATTGAGAAGCGAAAGTTTTACACGTCTCTTTTGGTCACAATCAGTAATTCCGACGCAAAATCTATCCCTTTCCGTTACTCCGTGGTGCGTAATGTCCGCGGAAAACGACCGAGTCAAGTGGTTTGAGAGGGAGGAGCATCAGCCGTAGTCCATCCCTGGACGTTATTTGCCACACCGATAGTCTGTTCCAGGCGGGAGAATGAATAAGCTTTTACTCCTCCTGTTTGTTTTTATTAAGGTTTCACATTCAGTGGCTGACACGACGGCATCACCTGACGATTCTAGCTCTACTGCTATAACGTCTGCCGACTATGATTTAGTTCCAACTACATCTGCGATTACAGATGCTACTTCCGCCTTACTCCTGGAAACCACTTCTAACCCTCTACCTGACACTACTCAAATTTCGCTTGCAACTACAGACGAGACCCCCTTAAATACCACTCCCGAAAACCTTTCCTCGTCAACCATAGAAATTGACGAAGATCAAGACCCTGAAGACTATTTTGTCACAACCGCGGCTACGCTACATTCCACTACAAACGACATCCCAGATTTCGATGATGAAAGCCGAGAAAATACCACGAATGATCTCGACAAAAAGCCTGAAGGGATCATCGACTGGAGTTTTCCCTACCCGCCAAGCGATTTTACCGAATATGTGCGGCGCGGGCAGGTAGGTAGCTAATAGATTCTGAAAAAACTAACACAATTTAGGCATTCGCCCGAAAATATATTGGCTTCAAAAAGATGATCAAGCTGCGGGAAATTGTCCGACGGATTCGCGCCAAAGGAGGTGCGAACTGTGTAAAAATCGCTAACTGTTTTCTAGGTGGCCCAAAAGCCATTCATCAAGCGGTCGAAAAGTATGTGAACGATATTCTTACCCCGGAACAAAAGCATGATTTGCTCAAACAACAAAAGGAGCTAACCAAGACTTTCGGGTTTCTTTAATAAAATTGAGATCTTCGTTATATGTGGTTTGCGTTCTAGGTTTCAAGGCAGTGAAATTTATCAAAAAGGCTCAATAAGGCAAGGCAAATCACAGGTCGTGCACATGAATAGAGGATGAGATCACAAAAGCTCTGCTTTTCCATTATGCCGTTCGGCTGTTATAGCGTTTTCTCCGATTTCAGGGGGTTAGGAATTCTTCTTGCAAGTAGCAACGGCGTTACAAGAAGTGCTGCGCCGAGTAGATAACATTTCGTTGGTCCAAGCAACCAGAAAACTATAAAAATAGCAAGGAATTTGTAAAAAATGCTCTTGTTTGAGGCCCTGAATTTTACGCCTAGCTAGTCGCACCTCGGAATTGCGTATGCTAATTAGTTCTGGGGCTGCGGTTGGCAAGCTGTCAGAAGGAGGATGAATTTAATTAGCTAGGGTTTGCTAGGTTTCTTGCCAAGAATAGCATCTCAATTATGTTACGTCTGTGCAAACCATACCTGAAGCAGCAACCAATGGACCAAGCGCCCTACTCAACGCTCCGATGCTTCGAAAAACTCCAGCCAGCGCACCATGGTCCTTTGTTGGATGGACATTTGTGACGAGACATGTCAGACTCGTGACGACAGTGGCTGAGGCTTGAATGGGAGATGCACATCCACTACCCATAATTCTCCTCACCGATCGCGTACAGCGCCAGCCCCGCGTAAAGCACCAATAAATTTTGCGCGATGGCACAGAGCACGAAGGCTGGGATGATGCATAGCAACCCAAGATTTGTCAGGGATTTTTGTCTAAAAAATTCTCTTTTTTCCTTCTTCTCCGTCCCTCGCAGGGCTTTATTAGCATACCTGTGCATTGGCGTCTTTCGCACGAAATGGCCTTGAATCGGCAGCATCAACAACCCGGTGAAAAGATAGATTTTACCTTGTTGCATACTGAAAAACCTCCGTATTTTTGAGAAGTTAGGTACCTATCAAATCCAAATCGTTCATGGGTCAAGAAAGGCAAAGTAAATTCCAATCCCGCATACAAAAATAGATAAACAAAATACACTAGCCCGATATCTTGCATCTCCTTCTTTTCTGAAAACACATCAGCATAAAAAAAATAATCACTTACTGTCAACTGGGGCATCGACAGCTGAAAATTTAAACAATTCCCTGGGGGCGACCAGCTGCTTCACCCGGGTGAGATTTGTCGAGGTTTTGGTCTAATTTCACGGATTATTAATTGCTGCTCGATTTACCGCTTTCTTTCCCGTTTCTCGAATGGCAAAAAGTACTATCAAGAAATAGATAGTTGTCATGGCAATAGAGAAATAGGCTGGGGTTGTGTAGAATTCACTGTCTGGGGCCATTTTTGAGAAGAATGCTCCGATCATTGGGCCAATTAAGAATCCGATTGAATATGACATTCCGATGACAGCCTAAGCAGTTGGTAAGTTAATCGGAAGGTTTGAAAAAATCGTACCAATCCTTTTTGGCGTTCCTCAGGCTTGTAAACATCGGTGATAATGGCAGTTGCGACATTTATGTTAGCTTTGCTAAGGCCTCCAATAATTCTTGATAGGACAAATAAGGAGAATGAGCTCGAGTAGAGCCATACCTAGAAAAGAATGGTTTTGCTTAGCAATATAAGCCAATTTTATTAACTTATTAAATTGCCAAGATTTAGTTTTTTAACTAATCCGCTTCGTCCCTAATTAGATTTTCCCCGCTGTGGAAACCCTACCACATGAGATGCCACCGTGCCAAATGCCGATAAAATCATCAGCGGCTTCCGCCCGTACACGTCAGACAGCGCGCCCAGCGTCGGTGAACAAATAAATTGGAGCGAAGAAAATAGCGAGCCGAGCAGCCCTTCAAAAATTAATCTGCACTGTCTAGATCTGCCTAAAATACCTCCAAAAAACGAATTATGATATCGATCATTCCCGGGGACGCCCAGGGTTTCCTCGAATTTTACCAGGCCCCGCTGTATTGTGTTGAACAACCAGTCCTATATTCAAAAAACCATTATTTTAAAGTATATAACAAATTGACACTTACGTCTTGGTTTTTAGAATAATAATTAAGAATCGATGGAAATAGTGGTAATATGCATGTAAATGCCAGCATATCTGTGACTAGGGCCAGGAACAATAGACCGGTAACCTTTTTTGTACTGGCCGCTTCATTTTGCATCTAAAAATACGTTTAAAAGATAGAAAATGAAAATATAAACTAGAAATATATAAACGAGACGGAAACTAGTCGGTGGGTCATAACAATATGCCTCTAGTCCGGATAATGAAATGCAAATACCCCCGCGGCATAGTGGGTGGCCAGTCGCCGTTTTATGGCCGTTCTGAGGTTAATTGCAGCCAGCCGAAAATTCAAAAAATGCTCAGAATAGACAAAAGAAGAAGGAAAATTGCCGTATTGGGAGGCTGGAAAGAACAAGGAAGGACACGATGACGAATTTTGCAAACTGGAGCGGTCCAAAAGGGGAAAACGGCATGTGATAAGAGGGCGTACTGAATTTTGTGGCAGTTCTTGGATTATTGAGAGTGCGGATGAAGAAGTTAAAAAGATTCCAAGGCGAGATTGGATCATGAATCGATCGGAATGGACCGGAGGGGAATGGGGCGAATGCATGGCTGGGATGGAAGGGTTCTGGCTGGGACTGTGAGGTCAAGGAAATTGGCAGGCCTTTTAGCGGTCCCTTGATAAAAGGGTCAGGTATTGGGGAGGAAGTTGTGGCAAACGTTAATAATGGAGAGGAGCATATGTCTATTTTTCCTAAAGTCTTTTTTTTTCTGTTTTTCTTGGCCTTAAAATAATTACTACCAGCCAATCGGTTTTTTAGGCTTTTCGGAATTTATCTGATTGTTATAGACTTATCATATCCACTTTTTAGCAAAAAGCAACTCAAAAATTTAACAAAAAACTAGAGGATGGCATTTTTAATCTTTTGTTGGTTCTTAGTTTTGGTAGAAGCGTGATTTTTACGTTTTTACGTAAGCGGCAACCCGCAATGCATGATGAGTCAGCCGGAAAAGGGGAAACCAGGTAGTTTCGTCAAGAGTTTTTTCCTCGTTGCTTTGCTAGGTTTAATCCACAGTATTTTTTCGCATCGTTCTAAAAAAGAATCGAGTACTTTAAAAATTCGTCTACCTAAAATTACTGATATAGGGTTGTTATGAAGCCTGATAAGCAAAAATTCAGACAGTTTTGCCAAAGATCCACCCGGATTTGTCGCAACGTCGGGGCAAAGAAAACGGCAGAGAGCATTGGGCGCGCCCGTGGAGGGACCGGTTTGTTCTGGGTACTTTCCTGGGCGACAAGCCGTCTCCCTGACTGGATCTACTCCCTCAGAGCCTCCCGCGAATTTCCCTCTCTATATAAAGTAGATTAAATCCATATGAAACGTCGCAATGCCGGTGCGTTGTAGTGCGAAATAGCATAGGGGCCCGTAACTTCATTTTTATTCACAATAACATCAAGAAAATGGTTTTCAAGGCTAACTAACAATATGGCAATTCACTTTTGTACAGAAACTTTTTTTATGGGCCCACAACCACCCACACACGTTGACGGAAGGGTAAATAGTGAACATAGCTTTTCTCGGGAAGTGGAACAGATGTGTCAACAACAGTTCAACTTCCCCCCGAATTTCTATCCGCATTTATGGGCGGGGGGTTTCAGCAAGGGGGGGGAGGGTGAAAACGAAAAGTTATCGAGAAATATGGTGACCCTCTAGGGATTACTGGATTCGTGGCCACAAATAAATAATTGGCGTCTCGCTGAGGGTGCCGGCAAACCAGAGATTATTCGTGTTCACGGCCCGGGCTTCATCGATGAAATTGGTGTAGAAATGGTCTAGAATACAGACATTTTGTTTTAATAAATAAAGGAAAAATCAAATTAAAATTTTTAGCATAAACACCTACCCGAGAAAATCTTGTTGTTCAGCTCGTAGACCGGCTGGTTGGCGCCGCAATTCTCCTTCGACGTTCCGTACCCAATCAGCTCGCATCCAGTCCCATTAGTCGTTGACAATTTGTAGGACATCACTAAAATAAATTATATAGAAATTCTAGGTTAACTGACGCCCATCCATACAGCTGAAGAATGGAATCAAATCCGGACAAGCAGACGTATCACCTTCAAAAGTCGCGTTCAGCAGTGCGCCCGGGGAAACTAAATTGAGAATTAAATCTTGTAGATTTTTGATATCGATATACTGTTAGAAACTCACTTTGCATATTGCTGTTGTACCCCTTGTAGCCGTCGATGAAATGCGGATCGGTGTGGTAGATATGCTTAGATAGCCCAAAAGCATAACCGCGTTGGAGGTTGGCATAGTCGTCAGGGTAGACGAAACCGGCAGGTAATCCCATTGTAACTACAAAGGGCGCGGTGGTGACTTCAGCGATAAGGGAAGTAACTGATACTTCCGTAATGGCTGTGGACGCTTCAGCTATGGTACGTTCATCAGTGGTTGCTTCTGAGGTAAGTGTTTCAGGTGGATTCGTAGCCGCTTGGGTTGTGAAAATGTCAGTCGTGATTGGTTGTTGAGTAGAGGTATTTTCTTCAGTGATCGCGACTGTAGGGGTTGGTTCTGTAACGGTTGTTTCCATTGTCGTAATCGCAGCTTCAGCAGTAACGACAGGCTCGGTTGAGAGAAACGAAGTAGTCAATGCTGGCTCAGAGCTAGTGGCACTTGGTTCAGTAATATCCAAAAGTGTCGTGTCCTCTGTTGCAATGGTTATTTCTGTAGTTACCGACAGTTCTGTAGCAGTAGAGTCGACGTTGAGCGTCGTCAAAACAGTAACTTCTCCCTCAATTGCCGTGGAAGACACTTCTGGAAGGATTGTCGTGATGACAACATCAACTGTCGTATCTACAGTAATCGATGAATCGGTAGCATCTCCAGAAGTAACAACTTCAACCGTGCTTGTGATGTCAGCGACGATCGTGGAGGCATCTACAGGCTCCATGGCTAGACTAGTAGCTTCCATCATTTCTGTCGTGACTTCCAGTTCTATTGGAGCCACTGTGGAGGGCTGTGTCACTTCAGCTGCTACTGTGGTGTTCTCATCCGGCCCCAGTGTTATATAATCCACAAATGTTTCGGTCGTCTGACCATTATCAACACGTATTGGAGTCGTAATGGCGACTGGCGCTTCAGTGGTCAACTCGGTCACCCCTTCAGTGATATAATCCACAAATGTTTCGGTCGTCTGACCATTATCAACACGTATTGGAGTCGTAATGGCGACTGGCGCTTCAGTGGTCAACTCGATCACCCCTTCAGTGATATAATCCACAAATGTTTCGGTCGTCTGACCATTATCAACACGTATTGGAGTCGTAATGGCGACTGGCGCTTCAGTGGTCAACTCGATCACCCCTTCAGTGATATAATCCACAAATGTTTCGGTCGTCTGACCATTATCAACACGTATTGGAGTCGTAATGGCGACTGGCGCTTCAGTGGTCAACTCGATCACCCCTTCAGTGATATAATCCACAAATGTTTCGGTCGTCTGACCATTATCAACACGTATTGGAGTCGTAATGGCGACTGGCGCTTCAGTGGTCAACTCGGTCACCCCTTCCAGTGATATAATCCACAAATGTTTCGGTCGTCTGACCATTATCAACACGTATTGGAGTCGTAATGGCGACTGGCGCTTCAGTGGTCAACTCGATCACCCCTTCAGTGATATAATCCACAAATGTTTCGGTCGTCTGACCATTATCAACACGTATTGGAGTCGTAATGGCGACTGGCGCTTCAGTGGTCAACTCGGTCACCCCTTCAGTGATATAATCCACAAATGTTTCGGTCGTCTGACCATTATCAACACGTATTGGAGTCGTAATGGCGACTGGCGCTTCAGTGGTCAACTCGGTCACCCCTTCAGTGATATAATCCACAAACGTTTCTGTTGTCTGCCCATTATCTTCCGGTTTTGGCGTGACAATGCTCACTGGAGTCTCAGTCGTGATATTTGTTGATCCTTCCGTGATATAATCCATAAATGTCTCAGTTGTGCCCCCATTTTCAACCAACGGCTCCGAGCTGACTTCAACTACGGTAATCGCATCTGTAGTGTCCGCCACATCTACAGGTATTGCGGTACCCAGCAGATCCCCAAGGGTGATTGTTTCAACAGTTACTTCATTCCCAAACGACACCGTGAATGATTCACTCACTGCCGCCGCATCAACTTGATCTCCTGCGCCAAGGATATTCTTGAATACCTCATCCATCCCTCGGGTGGTTTGAGCCACTACACTAGCGAATGAGTATAGCAATAATATAATTTTAGGCAGCATCTTGAGAAGGCTCCGAAAATTGACTAGCCAAATCCGGCGGTGTTCTTCGTGCCGTGGCGGATTTGAAAAATGCGGCTTCGAGAAGCCCCTGGGCCACAAAAGCCAATTATCGAGGCCCGATTTCACCTGGGGTCTTAACCCCGGCCCGGCAAATTGAATGCACTCAAAAAGTAGCTGTTTGTCGGGGAAATAGCACCTGTTCGTGAGAGCCAACGAAACAGCAATCGCACCCTAATTGGGAGGCCAATAAAAAGTATTAGTCGGAAAATGAGTGCGTTGGATTATTTTTTAGTTGTCATGCGAAAATATGTCTGGAACTACAGTCTATTTCGGGACGAATCACCTTATTCAAATTTAAGGTAAAAATTCCCAAACCAGTTCAACTTTATTCACTTATACCAACATATAAATATTTGTAACATCGTCCTCAAAGTTTAAGTAGCTGCTGATCTACATGCTTGGGTGTTGGTTCAGATCCTGTTGCATTGTCGAAGCTGCAGAAAGCTGTTTAATGAGATGTTTTAAAGTTCCCGGTCATGTTATGTTTATGGCAAAACCAATTTCAAATACCTTTAATTCTATACTAATTTTAGAAAAAATCGGATATCCTGGCTGGTCTCTGTAACCTCTTCACCATCATAAAATTCATCTGTCAACGCAATGAGGCCACCTGAAATTTATAGAAAAAAGCTGTTTGCTTACGGCTTTGAACGATTTTCTTGTTTTGCCACCGTGTCGTCTCAAAGTTAATGTAGCGATGAGTACGATTCAGGCACAAGGTCCCCTGCCAAACAATTGAATTGGCACCTGGAAAGCCGTGGTTTAATTGAAGCATAATCGGATGTACCAGATATCTTTTTGAGTCCATCTTGTGGGATTGTCCATGGGCGTCGATTGGGCGGTTTGGAGCCAAGCCAAATCGTGACTGAAGCCATATTAGTGGTTGGTTTTTGTTTCATTACTCTGGTCGGGGTTGGTTGGGTTGAAGCCGTACCACTCGATGTTGGTTTTTGCCTCCAAGCTGTATGTAATTTTTTGAATTACGGTAGCTGAAACGCAAACCTTTCTGACAGGCAAATGTGTCCGAATATAGTATTACTAACCCAAAATAGATTAATTAAAAGGAATACCACGTTAGTTCCTGCCATGCCGTGGGACGTATGTTGTTTTGCAATCAAAAAATAGTTTATTTGGAAGGCTAAACACAGTGAGAGCGAGCTCACGAGAAATTCGTGGAATGGGAAACAGCACTCGTAACGAATAGGGTACAATTATTTGCAAATTTAGGATAATTCAACGGAGCTGATATTAATGTGGTACAATCGACGCATAGTATTCAAAGAAATTATAGAAATGTTTGGGTTCACGGCATGATAAGTAAGTTTCGCATTAGGGCTTGATCAAACGTCGAAATATTCTGATTCAAACATAGCTAGTTCTTCCGATCAATCGACATAATCGATGTTGTTAATTCAGATGGATATCCACAAGGACCAGAGGAAAGAGCCATCATTGACAGCTTTTGAGCCTTTTTCTTCTTTTTGTCAATGAGTTTCGTTTTGGGATCCTTCTCTGGTGATTCGATATCTTCCACCTCATCATCCTCAATGGCCCAAGGCTGGACATCAGCTGTAAAAAACTTCTAGACACATCCAAGGAATTTACCAGTGCCAAAAATGGCGAATACAAATCCAGTTGCAATCGAGATACCGCCGATGAATAAGATAATTCTATTCCATTCGGCCGCGCTTCCCTACGTAAAAATGAGATAAGAAAAGCAAAAACGTACCGTAGGACGCAATAGGGTAATAAGAATCGGGCATGCAATGCGCCCAAGAATTGCAAAGAATACAGTACTACCCGCTAGCGATGCTGTATGTTGAGGGGCAAGCGATAACATGGAAGTGAACATTCCACTAAACCAATTTGAGAATAAAAAGCTGAAAAAACGTTGGTTTACCTTGAGAACATCGCTAGGAAAATCGAGGATACACACAGGATGACCAAGACATATTCAGGATTCTGACAATTTGCAAAGAAAATGATCGAAATCATCCCCAATCCAGTGCCAAGGTTTGCTAAATTTTTTAATAATACCAAAATAATTAACATACCCATGAATTGAGAAACCTTGACGGCCGTTGTGGGCGTGATTTTCCCTCTACGCTTCATAGCATCGATTCCGAAACTGTACGCAAAGTTCACGACGCCGTTGATGATGTAGGGGATGGCGACGAAGTAGCCATTCTAAGAAGAGTTCTGGAAATATGAGATAGTTCCTACCGTAGTCACGCTCAACATTAGCACTTCTTTATAATACGTTGGCAAGTAGATTTGAGAAAATGTTGCGTAGATATTGATCGTGAATTGCGCAAGGTTCTATAGATTTGGTTTTTACAATGTTGCAGTAAAACTTACAATTGCCCAAAATGGAGCTGATGTCCAGATGCCCTTCCATGGTACTGAACTTTTCTTCTGAATTTTTTATTATTTCTTGCAGATGGGTGGAGGATACCTGGACTGGAGTTGAATTATTATTCTCAGCTAGGTAACGACGCTCCTCTTGACTGATGCGTTTGTCGGTTTGTGGAGAGTCTGAGGCCAAAAACCACCAGATAAACAGCCATCCGATACAACCAAACGCTAAAAAAATGAATTACAATGCTTTCCAGATTTTCAGACCGGCTGCATAAGAAATCCAGGGCCACCCGAGTGTTGATTTACACAAATAACCGGCAAGTGGTGGACCAAACAACATCCCGAGGATGACCCCTAAACATCTCTCCATGACGACTCCTTTTTCTAATTTACCAGTATTTTGCAACGAAATCGCCGTCGATCTTTCATTAATGGGGAACCAGGAAGCCAGTAGACCGCAGACAGCCGGGTGAACGAAGCTCTAGAATATTCAAGTTCATGGAAAAAGAGACTCTCCCACCTCGGCCACACCGAGGACCAATCGAAGGGCAAAAGCCGCCGGAAATCCGACGATCAGGACGGATTTGGGGAAGAGGACTGATGAGAGGGCAAGAACGAATATAGCCACGGTCAGGGTATGGTGGCAGGATGCGCGGGAGATGTACCAACTGAAAAATATACGATTTTAAATACAAAAATAATTTTAGATATATTATTAAAGATCGTTCAATCCTATCCTATTTAAATATCTATCAAAATACACAAGTACTTCTCAATAAAAACTCACGTGGCAATCAAAACTCCCGGGACAGCCCCGATAAAAGCGCCGGCGAAAAGTAAGCCCTGCTCTCCTTGAGACCAAATTATACTTCCCTAAATAATTTTAAGGATTTTAATGGTCTTATTACTCCATAATCAATAACTCCAGGAATTGCGAGATTGCTTGCACAGGCTCCACTCATAGACTGTTGCGAGAGGGCCGCCTTCTCCGTCCCATTGTTCAACATCAGGCTGATCGCCGTCGAGTTGAGCATGCAGGGCAAAGAATAAGCGATATTTGCGCGGCTTAAAAATACGCTTTTAAGAAACAAAATGTTAAACTTACGAAAAAACCATTGTAGAAAAGCCTATCATAATTAGCACGACAATTTGGAGTCTTCTCGTTTTTGGATGGAAAAGGGCTGAAAATTGTCATAATTAGAGATTTTACTCGGACGAAGAACTACGCTAAAAGCTTACGTGATTCCGGCACAACATCCATCTTTGAAATTACTGACACACAGCTCCACCAAAACCCGCTTGCAAAATTGTCAACCCTGAAAAGCTGTTTCCAAAATTGCCATCAGCCCGCCTCATGAGAAACGTTTCAATGGCATATTCAATTTGAGAGGGCCCAAACGTGGAAAGGAAAGGGAGACGAGGAAAGAACGGGAATAAACAGATGACGCTCGGGGTTGAGGGTGAGGCCCGGGGTGAGGCCGCGTGCACCCAGCTGAGCAGAGGGGCCCACACCACCACGAGGAAGGGGGAGACCTTCCATAAATTGGGGCCCACCCCGCTACGTCGAAATCCGTTTTTGACGCCTTGAGTCCTTCCAGGCTTTGGTGGAATGGATTCCAGATGAAGGAAGGTGAGGCTTGCTTTTAATGCTGGATATATTTTTTGGTAAAATTTTTACGTGGGCTTTTTTTGGGAAGAAAACCCATGACCGAGTCACGCTGCTAATTCCCTATTCCGCCCAGTCCGCTGCCCCTAATTGCCCGAGGATTCGCGCTAATGCTGCTCGGTTTTGAAACGAGGGTTGCAATATAGGAAGCGTTTGGGCGTTTAAGGAAGAGCACTAGACAGAAAACCTATCCCATAAGGCCTTTCGTTAAAGTTCATTTTATTGCGTAAGGTTTATCACGAATAGCAAAACCCCTAATACCTACGATAAATATTTACTTCTCCCCCCAACCGCCTAGACCCCCTCAGTTTTGAAAGTGTGTGTCCAATTCCCCTTCCAGCTGATCTACATTTTTTTCTGGGAATGGGGTACACGTATGAATCACCGTTTAAGACAAGCCGTGTACTTTCTATTACCTTGATATTACCAAAATAACAAGGGCAAAATGTAAATCGAAAATTCACGGGAAAACAAGGGCAAACTGGGTAGGTGTAAGTCGTAAGAAGGGAAGGTGAGGGGGGCCCTCTTTCCGGTCGGGGGCTTAGCCCTTGGGTTCTCATGGGAGGCTTTTCTTTATTGTCGCCATGGCTTTGCTAATTTTGCGCGATTGTCGGTGCGCTATGGCGGGAGAAAGTGCCATGACGCCTTGGAATGATGGGAAAATGGTGAAAATATTCGAACCACCGGGCTTCAGACATGTCATTAATTTTCGGTTAGGCCAATAATTATCAAAATGCGTTATAAAGGTATTAGAAATGCTTTCAGTACATAGAAACGGTCAGTATACACACAATATATACACAAATGTACACACAAGTGTACAAATACAAGATTCGCTTAGATTAAATGAAATAAGGTTGAAGGAAATCGTCAATCTACTCCACAAAAGCACAAAAAAGGCCGTACCTTACCTATACCATAGCTTTCGCCTGTCGCTTATAAATTTTGATGATTTCAGCCTGTAACTGAGACAAACTGTCGTTAAAACTATAAACTACGAAGTACCCGGTTGGCTTCTATGGACCCCCGGGTTGCGAACAGGCGTGAGGGAGCCAGAAAGCAAAAAGATAAACACCAAAATGGCCCCCGCCGAGTCGAACCAGCCACTGTCCAAATTTATCGATAACTCAGAGCTCCTTTGTGTCAAACTGTCCATTGATGTGGGGGCGTGAATACCTGGGGTGACTGATGAGATTTTCCAAATTTTGTACCATCCCCCCGATCAAAATACTATATAATTTCCGGGAAAAATCCGGGGTGCTTTGTGGTGGTGGGGTGATGGCAAATAATATGTTGGCGCCGGCCAGAACTCAAAATGGCGTCACCAGGCTGGGTGGCTATTTCAATCTGCGCCACGGAAGCTGAAGCTGCCCGCCATTGCATAGGTCTTCGAAATTGGGAAGCGGCCACCTGTTAATCTCTGTCCGGCGATGGTGATAAGGAAGATGGACAGCCGGAAAAAAGGCTGAAATTTAGCAAGGAGGGTGTATTAATAGGGCTTGAGGGTGGTAGTCTGAACCAAGGGTTGTCAAGGACAATGGGTGGAAAAGGTTGAGCAATTTTTGCAAAACTTTTTGCAATGGAGATGTGTTTTTGACGTTGTTTAATTAGAGGATTCTGCGGGGGTTGAAGGTGTTGCACACACCATACATGCTCAGCCTTTCATTATTAAAACCATCCCTAATAAGAATTTCATTAGGAGTATCATATTAAGGGCTCTGATTGTTGATAGATGGTAATACCGAAAATTGCCGGAAAATTCACTTTTTAATCAGTTGAAATACTTAAAATTACGTAATGTGAACACGCTAACTATGCAAAACTATCCTTTTCAAATTTTATATAAAATTCTCGAACAAATTTTATGGGCTTATATTAGCGGAATTACGGCATCGTTCCAGTTGGTTCCTTATCAAAATTCTACTTATATCATTGAGCTAAAAGTGTAGAAAACTACTAAATTCCCGACGTCCTGCAACAGGTATCGAAATTTCAGCCTCCGGATCCCAAAGGCCAAAAAAATCCGAGAAACCGCAATGAAACGAGGAAGTGAACGGGGCGATCCAATTTACTGACCGGGCCCCTTGGCATCTTCTTGGCCTTTCCGGTGGAACAGAGGCGGTTGTTTTGGAAAGGCAGGGGATGAGAGGGCAGGGTGAGAGGGCGGGTTGGTTGGGCCCTCGGGGCCCCCCCGTCTGCTTTGGGCCAAGGTGGGCCACGTGAATGACGAGCAAAGTGCACGACAACGCCCGCACCGGATATTAGAGGGGGGGGTTGAGCACGAAACACAAACCACATTCCAGATACAATTTTTGGGGTTATATTTTGGTCCCGGAAGATTCAGAGTGTTACAGCTTTTCATGACAGAATTGATCGGAAAAACTGGCATGGCTACAGCCATTATATTTACGCATTAGGAAACCCAATTCCGTGGTTGTGCGGCTGTTATGAGACTGACGAACTCTCCAAAGGACATGCTCAAAAACCCTTGATTTATGAACTTATGCAGCCGGAAAGCACTTGCTAACGACCGGCATGACCCCGAATAACAAGTTTGTTTGGTGTAGCCATATGCCAAAGGCGGTAGCCGGTGGAATTAATAACTCGATTAAATAAATTCCTTCAAGCGCCTCTGCATTAAAATAAAATAAATAAATAGATATTTATTCCTCATCAACCATTGAATCTGTTTGTTTGCTGCTAGGCCTTGATTGAATCACCTCGGATCGATGTGTATCCACAGTTTTCGTTTGGGTAGAATCTGAAAAGATTTTTTTTTACAAGACTAGAATTACGCATTGAAGCGGAAGTGGTTGGCCGTGACCAATGGCGCGTCTGGGGTCTGGAAATGGAAGGAATGCTGTGTTCGGCCAGGTCATCCATTCTTTCCGTCGGTGCCCCTTCTGTTGCCTCTTCTATTGTTGAGAGGTTTCCATCTAAAGGCACAGAAATGATTAAAACAATTTCAAATATGCGATTACCATGAAGGTCCTTGAGAAATTCATGAGTCAGCGGTGTAAATAATAACTCTTGAATATCCTAAAAAATTTGTATGGGAGCTAAGCTAAAAATTACATCCAAAAATTGCACAGTTTCCACCTCATGTGCTTTACATGGATCCGGTATAACCATTTCACAAGGGACCATTTGCTCTTCGTAATTTTTTGTATGATGTTGGAGCTGAATCATTTTCAAAGTTGGACTAAGCAGCTGTAACTTGCTTTTTTAACAACTTCCGCATCATAAGTCTTTCTTTGCAAGGTTAGAATAGCAATTAACTAAAAAATATATAGGAATAAGCTTCTATTAACTTGCTTGATCATCAGCTCTAAAGAACTGTTCTCGAGCCCTTATATAGGCATTCCACATAATCGTTGTTATTGATCTTGCGGATTCAGAAGCTTTTGCAATTTTCTGAACCCAATTTTTTTGAAATTGTTGGATACTTTTGAGCCCTCAATGACATCTCCATTCTCTAGCTCATCTTTTCCATCGTTTAAATGATTAACCAGTTCAGCAACTTTAAGCAAATTGGCCTAAAGCTATAAAGATATCGTTTTATTCGCAAATCTTACCGCTTGTGGTAATTCCTGCGAAGAAATGCTTTCAATCAACCCTTGCAGAAATTTTATGACTATTTCTGCTTCCGTGGTAAGCCTAAAGACTATTTTAATAAGGAATATAAAGCCTTTACTTGTTTTCCGCACACAATATCATCTTTTCCAAGGTTCTAATTTTTGTGTAGATCTTGATAAAGAACGATAAATTGTCGCCCGCCGAAAGTAAGCTTTGTCTAGCCGTAATCCTCGTTGTCGAAATTTCGAACCACGTTTCTGTCACATTTTCTTTGTTCTTATTGGTGATGGCATCTGGAAACAAAATGGTTCTGTGGCCGGTGCAGACAAAAGGACAGTGAATACCGAACTTTGCTGTCCTATCTAGCGCGAGATAAAGCCAAGCAATGGCGTCGATCGGCTTGGCGGGTGCTTACCATGGAACATTTTAAAATGAGCAGTGGCCCCTTGGACATCGCGCTCCCAGAAACCCGTTAATTCCATGCCTTTTCGAACACATTCGTTGTATTTGTTGACCAATAATGTTTGGGGCTAAAAATGAATAAATTTTTTAAAGTACAAAAACCTCTTGTAAAGAACGTGCGGTAGCTATCAAATCGGTTAACAGCGGGCTTGTCTGGAACGCAGGCCTACAAAGATATATGGTAAGTAACACAGGGATTACTGTAATGAAGTCGAGGTTCCGGTAATTTCATCCAATCCAGCCGTCATTAGTAATAGAATATCAGAATTCACGATGCAATCTTCGATTCGTTTTAGTGTTTGGTCCTTTTCGATATTTTGAAGAAAAGAGCTAGTATAGAAATATTTCTAAAAGAAATTGAAAGCAATTTAAACTTGAAATTGATACCTGTATTGGAAGCCCATCGAGCGATGCGCCTTTATCATTATTAAAAACGGAAGACGATATAGAAGTACGCTCTGATGTAGCAGCATCAACGGAAGAAATCGAACCGGCTGGCATTCGATGTGCCCATCTATCGTCCTAAGATCATAAACTAATACTAACATTAGTAAAGGCTAATACTACCCGGTCACAGACGGCCATTTTTGGACACGGAAGTATACCACCCATGGGGAATCGACAAAATGGAATAATATGCCCGCCGCGGAAATTTTAAGGAGCCCTGCTGACTGGGAATGTGAACTTTTAAAGTAAAGCAAGGCGAAGAGAATTGAACAATGGCTTCTGGATACAATTAAATGTGAAAGAAGCCCCGCCAGGGAGGCGTCTTCGGGTTTGGGATTGACCGCCAGTTTTTCTTATAGAAAATTTATGTGGAGAAGAAATTGTAGGAATCGCGGTTGCTGTCCGGTTCGCAAAATTCTTTGTTATGCCGACGTAAACCGAATGGTCCGCGTGGAATTGAAAGAAAATTATATTTTGTGCAAATACAGGGATATCATTTGTTGTTTGCAATACTCACCCCGCCATAATTCACATTTGTTCTTCCCGTCAAAAATGCAGAATTCATTAGCTCGGTCGAGTTAATGCAGCCCATTTTGGGGGGTACCAAAGTGATCCCTGAAGTCAGCAATACATTTCCCCCCTTGGCCGGGAAGCCCTAACACCGCTTTCTCGCGCCGCGTTGTCCAGGGGATTTCCTGAATTTTTGAATAAAAATACACCTTCTCCCCAGAAACAAGCACAACAGCATATGGCAGAATGGCCGAAGATTAGAAAAGTGAAGCTATTCGTCGTCTGTAGAAAGTTGATAAATTTGCACACAGTTTTCTTAAGCGGTTTTGCTATTAACCGAAAAGCAAATTACAAATTGCGGAGTGGCAATGTTAAACTGCAGAGTCATTTTATCCTTTTTTCCTTGTCTATAGCCCCCGGGGAGCGGAATTTTTGTGAAAGATCAATTTGAAAATATTACCCACGCATTTAACCTGGATTTTCAGACTACAGCATATTAATTTTTGCGATTTGTATATGATCCATGGCTTGCATTTTTCATCGATTCTTTTAGTCAAAAACCGTGATCGGGATGAGCGGAAAGATGTCATAAATATTAGCCACCTATTATACCTAGATCTGCAATTTTTAGACTTGAGGTTATCAACCTGCTGCGGCGTATGACAGCGCTTTGATTTCTTCCTTAATTCTTAATAGTATGCCATTGAGTCATTTGCTTAAAAGCCATGATCGGGTCGAGCGGAAGGGTGTCGTGAAGGGGGCTTTGTCACTCAGTCGAAACGGGAACTCATTCCCCACTCCTAAATGGTATCCGATGGCCTCCACGAGACGGACGAGACGGGGGCGAGGACCTAAAGCAATGGACGGAGAAGCACTCGGGGTGGCGGTTGCTTTTTTTCTTGCTTTTAGTCTGGCGCACCGAAAAACACGTTTCAGTGTTGAACACTTTTTCTTTCAATCCTAAAGGTTTCCTCATGAAAGGTTTAGGATTGAAAGTAGTTTAATGGGAATGTTTTTCTTCACTTGCTTAGCTCCTCGAATCCAAGAACCAAAATCATTAAATTAGTCGGTCCACGGAGCCTAACCCGATTTCCGGCCGATAAAAGTGTTTCGAAAAAAGAGGGTTAAGAAGGCTTTTACATAAAAATAACCTGAATTTGAAAAATATCTGATTTTTAATTAAGGTCTTACGTTTAATGTGATCTCAAAACTATTGCGCATCAAATAGAACTTCAGCGTGCCACTAGTTGCGGAATGTACATACGCAAGAGTTCGTGTGAAATCCTGACCACAGACATTATTTCTGTTGATTTTAAAGGTATTTTAAGGCAAACCTAGGCATTTACTTCGATAAAAGTAAATAAAAGTGCGTCAAAAATTGTTTCCATAAATTTTAAACCTTGGGAAGCAAAAAATTCTGATCCCCTTCCAAAACCAAGTGCAATCGGATTGACCAATTTTTCTGAGGGCAGACGCCCAAACTGATGCTCGACATCAACAGCCATAAGCTTTTCCTTGTGACCCTACCTCCTTCCAAGTAGCCGTACTCCTTCGAAACTCCCCCTCAATCTGGGAACGCCCTCATCCCCCCTTGAATATCTGCGTCGAGGTGATGAAAAACCTGCCTTTCCACCTACATCCCTCCAAACACCCTTGACTTTACTCTTTGGCAGCTAAAAGATTGCCTCAACCAAAGGGCAATATTAAGAAATTCCGCGGTTTTAGAAAGACTATTTATCTTATCTTCGCTTAAGCATTGTCAACATGATCTTTTGAAAGAATTCCATCCTCGCCCCGATATGTTTGGAAGAGCCACATGCCACCTGAGGCGCATTCCTTTATCACTGGCAGCCATGTTTACCCGGGCGCTTATTCATTTAATTGCTTTTTTAACGCCTTCGTCAGATGGTCGGCGAAATGTACATGGTACGTTGAGGTTGATTCACTTCGGCTAGACAAAAACTTTCTTCTGTGGCGAACGTCCGGGTTCTTGAATTTGGGAAGGTGTTCTTGGTTTGTATGAGCTCTGAACTCTAAGAATTTGTGGCTAAATTCTATAAAACTTTTCGTATAAAATCCCTGGGTGATAGTTTCCGCTCTCGTGATATTTCCCGGAGCTGCTTTCAATTGAAGCACTTTGGCTGGTGTATCCGTTTTTACAAAAAAACACTTATGGTCTTCTGATCGACGTGTTAGCTATAGCAAAGATATCCCCCGGAATTTATTTTTTTCAAGGTATTTTCATGGATTCAAATTCCGAAAAATCGCGCGTCGCTAAAAAACGAATTTTAAAACCTCGCGCTCAAATTTCACGGTGCAGAATGCTAAAAAGCCAAACTCGAGAACCGATTTGTGAGCGCCGTTTGTCAGCGGCCCTTTTTGGACGGATAACTAGACGAGCTGCAGGGAAGCGAGCCCCTTTTTTGCCTGGTTGACTGGACATCCGCCTTGAGAACGAACCAGTAATGACCGCGGCCGCTTGCGCAATCCGCGCCTCCACGCGTCCCACCCGCCCATATAACCAACACCACCAGATAATCGCTTTTTTATATATCAATAGTGGGCGAAACATTGAGCTTTCATCAACTTAAGCCACTTATCAACCCAGCAATTCTGCGATTTTTTTGATTTCTCAATTTTCTGGCTTTCTCAAGGCTGATTGTAATTTTTGCATTTATTTGCATTTTAATCCTAAATTTTTAAAGAATCAGATCTGTTTTGCAAGCTCTACAACCTTTACTTACCTCTCTAAACTATCGATAACCCTAAATACACGCCTACCGGTTTGTGACCTTGACCTTCGAACCATTAGTAAGGTGCCATGAGCGTGCTCGAAAAACTTCTTATCTTTCGAACATCCTTCTCCGCCTCCTCCCTTTTCTCCACTTCCGTTAAAATGTCGCTATGTTGCTTGAACCATTCTTTTTATCTGTCCACCCCTCTCATAATTTATATGGCAGTTCGAAAAACTGTTTTTCAGCTACAACATTTTCAACCTTTTCATCAAAATATGTGTTTGAATTGCGAATGCCTTCAATGTTGACCGCCATTAACAACAATTTCGGTGAGTTTGATTTTTGGGGTTTTTGGGGAGGTGGTGGTTTTCGTTTATTTTCATCGCTATTGCCACTTTTGCTTGCTTGCATAATTGGCTTTGTCAGATTTAAATTTTCATTTTGTGTTCGTAGCCGATTTTCGTAACAAAGCCAATCGGGTCTAGATGTATGTTTCTAATTGGCTATATCTATTGGCGGCCGGCTAGCGGCTACGATTTAAAGTGGGTTGATACAAGCGATAATTTTAATATCTACTTATATTAATATTTAATGGGGTAGCGCCTCTTAAGCGTTAGCATCGTTAGCATTTTATTGAAAAACTATTTAAAACCGTATTTTAAATTGTTTGTCATCGGCTCAGGATCAATATGAGCAATAAAAATCGATTAATCCACATTTATCATATCGATCGACTCCAAATTAAAATCCACCCAACCAACCGGTGTGCGCGAGAAAGGGCATTGTGTGTGAGTGTGAGTTAGGGCAACGGATCTCGAGCCCTTCGGAAGAGCCGGTGATGGCGTGGGCAGGGGTTTGATGGCCACGGGGAGGTCCCCGGGGGCACATTCAAGCATCTCGAGCCACACGTCTCTGTTTACTCGACAAGAGCCCTTCCATTCTTCCTCCACCTCTGAGCTTTCCAAGGGGGGGGGGGGCTGGACGGAGCCCTATTCCTCGGCAAGCCATGGCTTCTTCTCTATATGACCCAAAATCAATGCCGACAGCTTTTCTGGAATGGCCCCGTTATGGCATCTCTTTTTGGCCCCTAATTGGGGGCATCAGATTGGGGAGGCTGTCATGGGCAGATAGACCTTCGGGTTTTGAAGTGGACCGCGGCAGGGCGCATCAGGCACTTGGTGGATGCGGTTCGGCTCTTTTTGGTCTTCTGGCGGCTTGTCGGGCCGCTTTTGGGGTCTGGTGGTGGAGATTTCGGAATAGATATGCATTGGTCTTTGGGCGGATTTAGAACTGCCTGATATATGGAAATACTGGAAGGCTAAAAGCAACACTATGGCTGGCATATAAAGTTTATAGATTTTAGCAATAAATTCAACCTTTTTCGCAATCAACTTGTAAAACTTTACTCTACGCTTAGCCGAAGACTCCCAACTGTTTATCGCTAAGCTTTTTATTTAACATTATTGTCAGCTGCAATTCAAACTCTTCGTATATTTTTTTGATCCTCAACCGAATGGAGGAGGGAAAATCTCGACCAAATAGCCTAAATGTCGAAAATTTTTGGAACCTAGGCTGAGTGGTAAAGCAAAGTCTAGCCAAATAGGCTTCTAAAAAATAGCCAACCTCCACTGCTTTGATAGTTCACTGCCTCTCACCTCTTATTCTTTCTAAATTTTGCTTTCAGGATTTCCTTTATCTTTTTTTTTCTTTTACAATTTTTTCTACAACCGTTTTTTGTAAGATCTTCGAACCACTGAACCGACCACCGACACACTGCTGGCCCTTTCGGCGTCCCGGGGACCCACGGTGGTCCCCGTCATGCAGGACCGTGGAACGTCGGCCTATGAATTCACCACAAATATTCCGCTGATCGTCGTCAATCAAATCGAAGATGCCGCTGCTGTTGATGATTTTGCGCTCAGCAGGGTGGCAAGGCCATTTCTGCCTTTACAACGTAAGTATATGTCAGCGATGCATGCGGCTGGACTCTTGGCAAATTTTCCCCACGCGCGAATGACATGGCTCACTATGACACCGACTGCGTAGTAGGCCCCTTTACCCCAAGATTAAAAAAAATGAATTGTTAGTAACCTAGCTGCCAGCTTTGAATGAATTTTATTTTTGGATTTTTGAACTTAAGAGGGTCGAATATATAGTTAGAACCGTTGAGATCTAAGCTCTCACTCCTTTCTTCCGCGAGTTGAGTTTGAGAGCATGTAGAGGGACGCCACGCCAAATTTATTATATTTATCGGTATATCTTCCCTAACTTCGAAGTACTTGCAACATATTCCAACCATTGAGGCTCAATTGTTAACCTCCTGCAAATCCGTGCTGCAAATCCATCGCCTAACTAATTCAATTTACAACAATTCCCCTGGACAAGCCCTGTTGTGATCTACTCACCACACAAAAATGTGTCGCCCCTCCTCCCAATTCGATGCGTCAGAACTATCGAATAACGTAAAACATTTGTCGGCCCCGAAAACCACCGGCCTTCCATGTGAGTGTTTCTAACCTCACCCTAAAGCTGTGACGCTGCTAATTGAACGGATTGCCCCCAGGAGCTCGTTACTTCTGGCTCCCGAAAATTCACCTGCCCGATCGGCAAGACGCAGGCTGTCGGCAGAGTTGTTCTCGGTTCCCGCTCACTCATTGAAACGTCGACTGTCTCGGTCGAATACACGGTCCGAGGATGGCTCGTCCGACGTGCGTTTCGGAGGCTATTTTGGCTAGTGTCGTGCAGTCCAGTCAGCTGACCGAGTTGCAACGGCTTGCGTTGCCTGCATTTTCTTCTTCAAACGATTCACAAGAAGATGGAGCTATGACAAAGATTCGGAGGCTGAGTTGGAGGTTGCACAGGAAGAAGAAGAGCAGTGGGAATGGTAATTGCATTTTAAAAAATAGCGTATGAACGTTTATTGGCCTTATTAAAAACCTAGTTCGCGAACCAAGAAGGCACAAGTAAATTAGCATCATACCGAGTTCTAGCCTTAAAATTAGCATAAATAGGTTCGGTGGTCTGTTGCCGGCCTCACTCTCTACCCCTATTTTGCATAATTTTTCCGATCCGTTTTTCTGCGAAGGCTGGATCTTCTGGGATTTCTTTATCCGTTTAGTTTATTACATTGCCTTTAGTTCAATCCGATCCTTAACTGTAATTACCATAGTTAGATTTATGAAACACTTAGCTAACAAAAATAGTAACAGCAATTTGCATTTATTGTAAGCGTAGTCAAAATGAACAAAATTTTAGATAGGTTAGACCACTCTTTGAAAACTTCGAAAACCAAATTTTAAGCAATTTCTAACTGGCTGGGGCGTTTATTTTCATCTCCCATTCCCTTTCAAACCGTTACGAAAACTTCATAGGTTCATTTCCACCACATAAAAATGAAAAGGAAAGCGTGAATCTAGCTGACCCAACAACCAGGCCAAGGTTTCTTTAATCGCAGGGCCATTGCTTTGGATGCGGACCGGGAGGGACAAAATTCAGCCAATAATCCGGAGGCAACCTTGGCGAGATGTACCCCCCCCCCCTTCCCCCATTTGGTATCCAACCCCCTACTCGACAGGTATTGAAGGGGGGTAGTCTTCAGGGGGAAGAGAAGGTAGGGGTGTCCTAAACAACAGACCAGACCATGGAGACCTTATTCTTTCTGTTCTTCTTCTTCCTTCCCCCCTAGGGGTTGACTTCGACCCTTATTCTAGTTCCTGTTTGTTTACGCTTTGGTTGTGGAATTTTGCGCTTGGATGCCTGTCGGGCTCGGTGGCTTTTGGGCACTTGGGAGAGTAGAAAGTAGGCATTTTGCAGTAATGCTGTGCTTTGCTCACTTGTTCTTGGTTTGTTTTGTGGTATCATGCTTCTACACAAGTTTTGGGATTCTCTATGCGCTTTCGCAAACTTTTCGCGTTTAATTCAAATCTAAATTTTCAAGTCAGTAGATGCCGTAAAACAAGCAATATGGGGTTGCCCAAGCTCTAAAGGTAATATTCAAGATTTTGATATTATAACCTAGTAAAATGATACCATATTATCCAGCCTATTTTTCGATTTCCAAATAAAAGGATCTGAAACCGTGCAAAAAATAATTTGCTTAAAGCTTGTTAAAATACAGTAGCCAAAACTTGTTTTTTTCTATACGTGATACTATAGATTCTGAGTTGTAGAAAAGCGCACAATATTAATACCAACAAAACGATAATTTAAATTGCCTAAAAACCGTTCAACCACAATGCAACCTTGACTGTCATAAAAATCGTGGGCAGTTGCCCGGATATGTATGTGCGTGAGGTGGAAAGTGAGCGATCGGCGGGCGCGCCGGAAAACAACTGGTGTGTGTATGTGTGCGTGTGGTGGTGGATGTCCAGTTTGGCGCCTTTCCGCCCCTTCGAGCCTTGTCCGAAGCGCGCTTCCCCTAGGATTTCACATCCCGTGGCGGCGCGGCTGGTCACTCAATAGGCCCATTTGTGAACGATCCACGCTTTTCACTTTGTTGGCTTTTTAGCGAAGGTCGGGGCTAAAAACTGCTTCGCGGGGTTTTATGATACCTTCTGAGCATCATGAGAATACGTAGTTTGTATAGAGCTTTACAGGTGCTGACAAAAAATAATAACCCTGGATCTGCCAATTTGCGTTAATTACTTTCACTTCCGGTTTATGCAAATTGTTTCCGAACAAAGTGGGTAATCTGGATTTTGAATAAATTTTAAATGATGTCGATAGAACCTCCAGGCCGCCATAGGTCACCACAATTTTTCAGCTCTTACCCCAATACCATATATTGTTTACAGCCGTCATTTTTGTTTCGTTGCCTCTGTAGTACGCAATTAGCCGACCCAACTGAACCTGATCGATAGGCAAAAACCACCGTTCATCCAGCTGCTTTTGTAAGGCCCCCGGGGGCTAGGGAGGCCACGCGTCGGGCTGAACCTCAAACCCCAGCTGGCCCGCCCATGGCCATACTGCAGGTGGTGCCCCCGCCGGCCTCGCTTTTTTGTCGGTAGCTGACAGGAAATGCCAGGACATCGGAAAAACGAGGGCAGGGTGGTGGATAATGATACCCCGGGAAAAGGGGATGAGTCGGATTTCAAAACGTAAATTAAGTCGCAAATCCGTGTCGAAACACCTCCATTTATTCCAGTAATTCCGCGCTAGAAATTTGGGGTTTTCTTCATTACACCAGAAGTACGAAAGTGCTGTGAGCCGGAATCACTAACACTCATCATCCAGGAATCACATAGTTTTTCTAAAAATCATATTTTTTGCATGATTCATTATGTGCATGTGGCATAACCATTCGCAATATTTTATGCGAGAAATTCGGATTGAGAAAAAATAGGCTTACCCTTTTTATGAGCAAATTTCGAGGGGCTGATTTCAGCTGGAGTTTTCGGAATTCGAGCCTATGGAATTCGGGGTTTTGCATGAATTCTGAACTTCGATTCGGACTTCGGAATTCGAGTATTCCCGATTTTAAAACCCCGGCATACGGTACCAAATTGCAGATTCCATGCTAAACCAGAATACATTTCGATTTCCGCCAAAATACGGGTTTGCGGTGCGAGGGAGCGGGGTGTAGGGGGATAGGGTGTCGCCGTTGCATGTGCGTGTTTCGCGGAAGGTGCTGTTTAGAAACGGTCCCTACATTCCAGGGATTCTTTTATTTGTTGATCGAAAAGGCTTTGCGGCTACGGTCCAGCAATTTTTATGAAATCAACTATACCATGCAATTAGGGCTTTATCTAAATCTTTTACGTTAATTTGGATATGCTAATTAAGGACCTGTCTAATCCCATACTTCGAGCTTCTCTCGCTCCCTTTAATTTAAGCTATAAACTCGTTTGTCTCCATACCCTTTGATCTATCACAATGCCCGTTTGAAAGATGCCACCTCGGCCATCCGGCAGAGCCCTGAAACACGGATCCTTCCCCAAAATCTGGTTAGCCATTTGGGGAGCATGCGGGCCTGGTCCTGCTAGGACCCAAACCCCGGCCCAGCCTTTTCCTCTTTGGCCTTTTGACTGCGCGGCGTTGAATTGGCGACTGATACAAGCTTGGTGGGCCTCTAGTGCGGCCCTTGATGTGCCCCCTTCTCTATCTCGTAGTGCTTGTCTTAAACCCGAATTTCCTGCTTTGCAAGTCGCGGGGCCCACGCGATCATGTTATAGACGCCGATGTGTTAGGGGGAATGTTGGTTAAAAATATCAGGGTTCTAGAAATCTACATATTTTTGGAATTAATTTTACGATGCGAATTGCCAAAATTGGTGTCTTGGTGAAAGTCTTGAAACTGTCAATGGGAAAATTAGCTTTATCTTGACAGGCCCATAAACATATCCTCATTTCTGTGGAGTCACTCCTGTAAAAATGGCATTCAAATGTTTTATCTCCACCTTTATTCACAAAATAGTTCAAATACAACATCCAATGAAAACGCTTGTCATCTATATAAATGAGGTTCTGCTAGGCCAAATTGCTAAGACAAATCACGTATTAATGCATATGGATTTCTCGAGATGACATATCTGAAGCATCAGCTTTACGATATTCCCATTTTCGTGTCAAAGTTGTGCAACCGTATAACAAAAAATTCGCTTTGGGCTCCTCATGTTGGTAGATACATCAGTTCTCCCTGATAAAAGTCTGCAAGACTAGAAACATATTTTTACCGTAATTTTCCGCTCCAGAAGGCTTCTGCCATTCATTTTGACTTGTTATTCCACTCACCCCAAATTTCTGTTTTCTATCCCGTTCCACCAAGTAAAGGCAACTTCCTAAAAGATGAAGAGTGATGCGAGGATGGGGTTGTTGGAATTGAATGCTGACCCTCCCCTTCTTCCTCTTCTGCTCCTTCTGCTTGAGTGGCCGGAGGGTCGGGCTGACAAATTCGTCTAGAGGGACCCCCATGCACAGATAGCCCGGGGATTCATATTTGGGGGTGTGGATGCGCGCGTGGGAAGAAGAAGCTCGACTCTGACCCCCCTTTCCGGGGGCACCCCATAAACAGCCTGGACCCAGCTTTTTTCTTGTTAACATCATTTCAGAGAGGCGCTTTGGGGGGTGGGGGGTGGAGTAGCTTCCGGAATGAATTTCTCGGGTTCATGGGGAAATTATTATCCTTGTTTACTGACAATTTTGAGTGATTACATGCTGGATTAATCGTTAAATCATAGAGTTCTGCAAAATGCAAAATTTACGTATATTGAGTCTTGACAAAATTTTTGAAAAATCATGGTTTTTAATTCTTCTTTTTCAGGTGGCGCCCCTTCAGGGGCTATGATTGAGCGCTGTGTGGTGGTCCAGAGGCAATCAGGTTCGTAGGAATTCAAATTCAAATTTAATTAACTTTTTCTCCAGATGGCTATGGACTAACCGTGTCGGGCGACCACCCAGTCTTTGTGCACACCGTCAGCTCCGATGGGCCTGCGTTTTGTGCGGGCGTTCGGCAGGGCGATCGAATTGTCAAGGTATGGCAGCTGGTTCTGTAATTTCATCTTCTGTGCGCCCAGGTCAACGGGATGCCGGTGACCACGCAGAATCACCTGGACGTCGTCAGGATGATATCAAGTGAGTCGGAAATAGATGGTGACGGTTCGAGGGGTGTTGACGGTAACGAGGGGATTGTGTTGAAAAAGATTTGTTAAGATTTAAAAATAACTGAAATTTCTGTACCGTTTTTCAGTAAGTTATCTGCTGAAAACAGATTAAACCCGATCTATTTTGTGGCTGGAATTTCGGCACCCAAAAATAGGGGGCCGATTGTGCAAAAATCTGAAGCTCCCTTGGAAAAAATGAGCTTATGGGTTTATCTTATAGGAAATGCTGTATTTTAAGCTAAGTACTGATGTTACGACAATTTTATATTTTACGCAAGATTACGCAATTACGCAAGAATGATTTTATCCCTCCAAAGATCCGCTTCCGCAACCTTCCGTTACATGGACCGGATTTACAATCCTGGCATAGACTCCCAGCTCCTCGCTTGAGCACCCCCGATCACTATACCATTGGAAGCATTGTCATCCACATGCTCCCCCCGGTCATCCACCCCCAAGCTCTGCGGACAGCTTATCGAAAGGGCCTCAAATTGGGCGGAAGTCGCTTGTCTTGTTCAATGCCTCAATGTCCTCCTCTTCCTTTCCTACCCCGGCTTCTTCTCCTTCTTCCCATACCAGAAGCGGCGAGTCAGTGCCCCGGGTCGGGGGGCAGCATCTGCTGGTGCCGACAAAACAAACGAGCCGAATTGGCCACAATGGGAAGATTGCGTGACCCATCCCTTTCAGTGATTTCCCCAGCTAGGGGTTGAAAATGCGAAAGTTTAGGGAGGGAAGGAGTGTTTAGCAGAAGTCGGGTGATGAAGTTGATTTTTGTTCGATGAATCTTTGGGGCAAGTTTTAAAGGGACAGGAAAGATAATATACCTCGCTGGCGTAAAGGCATCAAACAAACCATATAGAGAGGTGACAGTATAAGGAAGGCCCGTGTAGGTCATGTCTCGTTTACAATTTGCAAAGAACCAAACGGCAATGCTATTCCTAAAAACCGATCCGAAAAGCCAGTTCATGCTAATTTTCCAAATAAAATCGGCTGATGATAATTAACCTAAGGTTTCTTGATTTCTTTAAAGATCAGGGAAAATTAATAAGGCATAAATTTAGGTGGACAAACGCTGGCTCTAACTCTCCTTGGAAAAGCACCAGACCCTGGAAGTATCGGAAGCTACAGCGAGCATAAAACCGAATACACCAAACCAGCAGCTCCGGAACCAATGCCTACCGTAACGCTTCTAAGCTAAATTTTTAAATCGCCGCGTTTTAGTTGGAAAAAGAAGAATGGAAGCGCCGACGAAAGGAAATGATCGCCCAGATGTTGGAAGAAGAACGACGCCACGTCGAGGTCAGTCCCCTCGTTTCCACTCAAAATGTTTACTCCCTGTTTACTCCCTGCCTTCTATTTCCTAACCCACCCCCTATATTTAAATCCATCCTAAAATAGGGTATCCCCGCTAACTCGTTCTCCACGATTCGACCCCAAAATATGAGTGCAACGGGATCCAAGGCGCTCTGTTAAAGGCCAAAAAAGAGGAGATCCCTCCTCCTCCCCACCATCAATGCTTCGTGATTGGAAGAAGCGGCGGCCGGGTTCTCGTTTTGGGGTGCCCACCCCAAAAAGTCTGTCTCGTCGACACCAAGAAAGTTGCTCCAAGTTGCCCAAGAATTTTTTTTGTCCAGACATATCGACCAAGATTTTGGTGCCACGCCGTTGGCACTTCATATAAACTTGATGGCATTTGGGGTAGGGGGGTGGCTCTAGTTTCTTGGCGCGGGGCCCAGTCCTTTTTCGCCGCCTCCCCTGTGGCCCGTGTGCTATCGCGCCAATTTGTGGAAGACGGCGCTTAAATTTGAGCTAAACAACCGGGGAGCCTCGGGCGGTGGCAGGGGGCCAGTGGAGGCCAAGTCTTTTGGGGCCTACTATTCTGCGTTTTGGAACGTTTCTAGGAAGAATTTTTGGAATTTGGTCCCTTTAACGGGTGCTAACTATTTAGGACGAGGGAAACAGTGTCGTGTGATTCTGATTCGAAAAACAGAGGGTTAAAAGAAGAAGTTTCCATGCTTTCGGTATTTTTGCGAGCTTTGTGCAAAAAACAGGGCACCACGTGGTTGCCGAATAGGAAAATTTGGGGTGGAAAGGTTAACATTTTTCAACAACTTAGAAATTTTTAGGAGATTTTTTATATCATTTGATAGTGCATTACATCTATATACTACAACCTCTGATTTGCTTTTTAAAAGAAAAATATAAATTAAATTTGCCCACGTATTTTTTCGCAGTCCCTAATAACATAGTACCCCTAAGCAAGAAAAACGAAGTTCTGCCCCGTAATTCCTAATAAAATCTACTTTTTGCCTGCTTTATGTAGTATGGCTTCAAATGCTGTTTTCTCTAGGAGCTGCGTGAATCAGCGGAAAACGGCGAAAAATTGGAGAAATCCATCCGCCGCATCCAAAAACTGCAAACGCAGCTGCGCGGTGCCACCCCTCCCCGTCCCCCATCGTTGGGGGCACTGACGAATACGAGCAGCAATCTCTGGCTACAGGTTTGCATTAATTTTGTTTATTACTTACTTATCCGCCTCCTATTCTCTAGGGCGGGCGTCGCGCTTCTGATGGTCTGATTTCGGACAGCGAAAACGATGAGGATATGTTGTCCGTAAGTTGTCATCTAGAATGTTCTAATATTTGATAGCTCCTGCTGCGATACAATAGCAATATTTTAGAATGAAGCCACCGGTCCCTTCTCAAATATTGTCGAGCTCAAAGGACATCCAGCTCATCTGGCCGTGTTCATCTCCTATCTTCTCAGCAACGCCAGCCCGAACAGCCTGTTTTTCTATCTGATCACTGATGCATATCAACTGACCAGTGCTTCGGCCAAGGTAGAATTTGGAAAAGTTTTGCTTAGCTGTTCATCTAGGAGTTACGCCGATGGGCTTTCGAAATCTTCACCACCTTCATCGTGCCCAACTCGCCGATGGCAGTTCCGAACATGGATCAAAACATCATTCAACCGATCGAAAGGGTACGGAAATTACATCTACATGAAGGTTATGAATTGTTTCAGGCAATCAGCAGCACCGCTAGTGATGTCCGGGATGCCGACGCAGATATTCTGCGAAAAGTATTTATACCAGCCAGGCAAAGAGCGGAAGCTGATATCCGAGACCATCTGGCTGACTTTCGGCTAAAGCGAAATATCGGTAGGCGATTCATTGCTTTTTTTATCGAGAATTAAGGCAATCTCTTCGATGCTGCGCAACTTGGCGAAGCCGCCGATGATTCATCATTGGAATGGAGGCTAGGCGAAAGCCTGCTGCTCCGAGCTTTGGAAAGTACGGTGCGGGCCGCAAATCCAGACTACGATCTCTGCTCCGCCACTTCTCAAGCTCTCCTCTCATCGCTGGCCACATTGATCAAGGTATCGATTTTTCGATAGTTCCCGAATTACTGTCATTAGTTTGACTCGGAGTCCAGCGGAAATAAGGTAGAGAATTGTCAGCACGAAGGTTTTTCGCGTGGCTTTGTATAATTTTTGGGAATGACTGCGTTTTTTGAGGAATGGGAATGATTGCTTAGCGCAGTACGTTTTAATTCAAACTATTAAGGTGGTGCTTTGCTTGAAGCCGAATGTTCCACACTGGGAGCGGCTTCTGGAAAAGTGTCCAACCTTCGTGACGAAGGACAAGGCTGCAAAGCTGAAGACCAAGCTTCCGTTGAAGAAATCGGTACAGGTATCTAAATTCACGGAGATTTAAGAAAAACCTTTTTTTAGGTAAAGGGTCATCAATTTACTTTGAATCCGGTGAATGTCGTCCACTATTGCTACCAATGCCGCGACGTCATCTGGGCCATGCAACCTTATGCATATTTCTGCACAAGTAATAAAAAAAATCATATATTATTATTATTCATTTAGATTGTGATGTCGTTATCCATAAGCACTGTGCCATTTCATTGGCTGACGCTTGTTATCCGGCGACGAAAGGAAAGTCCAAGGAAAATAAGGAAAACAAGCTGAAGCGTCCGAAAAGCCGCGAAGGCAACGACGAAGATCGGGTAAAAACACATCAATTATAATATTTTATTTTGTTTTCTAAAGGTTCGTCGCGATGGCAGCCTTCCCCGTGATATTAGCATCCAAAAATTGACACCATCCGACTCCGGAATTGGAGCCGAAATGATGCACGAGAAGATCGTGGGTCGCAGCCAGAGCATGAGAGGCCGGGTGGGCATTTCTAACGTAATATTGGGTCGAAAACTATATTATTATCAATTTTTGACGATGACCCAAGTTACAAAACCTTTCCCTTAAACGCCCCATCGCCTCGAACTTCTACCATTTCACCACTGTCGTACTGTAACGTAGCTCCTGCAACCGAACACTTCTCATTTCCATTTTCTATCAGTAGCCATTCTCATTTTTAGCGTCGACGGGCTCAGCTGAGCCTTAGGTTCCTAGCCGTGAGTTTTGGATTTGGTGCCACTTTGTCAACTCCTCTGTAAACCGTCAAAATATGTCCAAAAAGAAATTTGAGGAACTGTCAATCCCTCTGTTTTATTTCGGAAATATAGTAAAATTTCGATTTCTTAGACGACGAGCGAATCTTCAAGTGAAGCTGGCAAGCGTGGAAAGTCTGCGCTTTCGTGGGGTACTGATTTGACTCCCGCGGAGGAAGAAGCGGAAATTATCAAAAGGTAATGGTGTAACCGTGCGACCAAGAAATCTTTTTAGCCACGTTGTCCCTCGTGGCGTTCTCCCTTCAGAACACCGAACGAATGACAGCGTGTCTCGGAGCAGCGGCTTCAGCTATCCTGATGAAGATGTAAACCCCAATTTGGATACAATCAAAAATATTTAGACGAAAAAAATGTACGAGAGGCTTCAAGGCGATCCGGATCTGGATGTAAGATCACCAAGTTTTTCGCAAGCCAATGATTATTAGATGGACATGGAACTGCCTGAACTTCAAAGTCTGGTCAGCGCCGAGGTCTATCGCCACTTGAAGCCGAAAGAGCGGAGTCGACAAGAAGTCATCAACGGTGAGGCCCTACCCCTGATACTTGTTTGCAACAATACCAAATAATCCATGGCGGTTTTTACGGCCCATTCGGCAGGAAAAAAAATCAATAAAAAAGTCTAGGAACTCGACTGAATACCATAGTTGCTCCCTCATGCCTAAACTGATATTGGGTCCAAAAAGCAAAAGGAACTTCCCATGCCGGGAATCGAACCCGGGCCGCGTGGGTGAAAACCACGAATCCTAACCACTAGACCACATGGGAGGCTGGAGAGGTCATGGGGCCGGCCTATGTGCGGTCGGTGGCCCCGGTACCCTGCACCCAATGCAAAGGCAATCCTCGCGGAAAGTTTCAGATTTGTCTTTCGATTTTGAGGTGTTTAGGGTTGTATTTTACATTGGTAAAGCAGAATTTATTTTATTCATTGCCACCCGTCTTGGGAATGAAAGGCAACAGCTTTATCAGCTAATTAACGTTGCCAGTTTTACTTTGGAAATCAACAGCCATATAACTTCAGAATTGTTCAACACCGAACGAACGCATGTGCGGAATCTGAAGATTATGTACAACCTCTTCTACCTGCCCATCGTCCAAGGAAATCTACTTGCCCCCGATGTTGTCTCATTGCTATTTTCGAATCTTGAGGAAGTACTCCAACTGCACAAAGAATTGAACGACGACATGAAGGCTGCCGTCGAGGTTTGGCAAAAATACAATATTTTCAAAAGAAAGCTTGATTTAGCATTGGACTCAGGAGCCCAACTCAGTCGGGTTTTACGGCGATGTCGGCGAACTTCTCTTACGACACTTTGAAGGAGAAAAGTTTGAAAAGTTCCAGGCGGCCACAGCAGAATTTTGCAAAGACCAGCAGCATGCGCTTGAGATCTTGCGCACACTGTAAGTATCTGAAAGTTGCACTCATTTCTTCAGGTACCCGAGATACAAAAAGGACAAGTACGATCCACTGAACCAGCTCTTCGTCACAGCTGAAAGCCATCCTTTGTGTAAAAAGCAGCAATTTAAGGTATGTCCCTAAAGAATTACCTCCAACAACCTTTCAGGATATGTTAATTGTGGAAATGCAGCGTGTAACAAGATATCCACTTTTGCTTAGTCGCATTTGCAGTCATTCGGAAGAGGGGAGCGAGGTTTGAAAAGCACCAAAATAAATATATTCTCTAGGAAATGACCAACATTGCCAAGGCTACTGAAAATATCCAGAAAGCAATTTTTGGCATCAATCAAGCCAAGAAAAACACGGAAGACTTCAGAAAGTAAGCTGACACTAGATATAGATTTATAGAATTTTTTAGGCTACAAGACTTCCAACAACGGCTTGACACTTCCCCGTTTGATAAGGAATCCAATGGATATGATTTTGCATCGCTCGACCTTACAAAGTACCAATATCCGCCTTGTTTAACTCTTTTTTAGACATCAACTGATCCACGAGGGAACGCTTATGTTCCGCTCAAACAACCGAAAACTCGTGGAAACTCACGCTATCCTGCTCGAGCATATGCTCGTCCTCCTCACCAAACGAAGCGACGGCCACGGGTTGATGCTCAAGTTTTTGGAGCCGTCGAAGGATTGCAAGTGGTCTCCATTACTCCCACTGCATTCCTTGGCTGCTGTCGATAAGCCCCAGGAAAATCGAGCGATCGTGCTGTTCTACAACTCAACGGCCGGAGCTCAAATTTACGAGCTTGTTGCTCAACCGACCGAGCTGAGGAAAAGGTACTGTAAAATAACAAAACCAAAAAAAGACAAAATTTTTAGCTGGCTGCAAAAGCTCACCAAGCAAATTGACTATGCGAAGAAAGCGCACGAGCAGGGATTAGGGTATGGTTTTAGAGCCGGTATTTAAATTAAGGAGTTTTCTAGGCCCGTCTTCAATCTGAATGCAGGTGGTCCAATCGGCCGTTCAGCTGGTTCCGATGATGGTCAGATGACGAAGGTCGACAAAAAGGGCGAATTTTCACCATAAGGCGTTTAGGTGAATGTGATGACCCATCCTCGTCTGGTTTCCGCCAAAGAGGTTCGAGTCGAGCAACCCACCATATTGGAACAAGCAAAACCGATTCTAACCCCGATTGAGCGCCTTCGAAGAGCTGATCAGCAGATATTTGAAGGATTGGCAGAAAAGCAAGCCATTCTTGCACAGTTTCTACCTGGAGATAAAGTGAGCTAAGGTATAGCTTCCTAACGCCGTTTTTTTAGAATGGTCGAAAGGAAGAGCTGGACAAGCTGACGGAGATGCTGAGTGGCGTGTCCGTGATGGAACTGAAGAATCTCGATGCTAATGCCTTATTCATGGCTTCGATTGTGCACGGGAATCGATTGTTGGATGCTATTAATCAAGGTTTGGATTGTTAAATCCCAATCATAATTTAAATTTCGCAGGAATGATGGCGCAAAAGATCGGCGAAGATGCACACGGTGCTCCAGTCATGGAGTTGACATCGGCTGAAAGGAATCTGCCATCAGTCCCTTGCTATAAGTTAACGGCTATCGTTGCTCCATTGTTGAATACAATCCGGGTAGGATTTTATTTTGAACGCGTTGCAAAGCCAAAACATATCTCGGGCTCGCTGACCACCGCAAATTTAGGCCCAAATGGCGCAGAGCCAAGAAAAAGCGGAGCAGCACGCGCACGGGCTGAGCGTCTCCGAGGAGACGTTGACAGAAGTGAGCAGCCTTCAAACGGAACCACCAGAGAGGAAGCTTGTCACTCGAAGGCTGCTGCCAACTAATATCCCACCACAGCCACCGCCACCCACGTCTTTACCACCCCCGGTCTGAAGAGTTCAAAAATCATGAAAAGAAAGGGGAAAATAAAAATTAAAGTGATTCAAAATCTTTACTGGTATCCCAAAACAGCAACCCCTTTAGCGGTCCGGAAGAAATTTGGATTTGGGTGAATTTTACATCATTGGAAAGGTAAAAAATGAACGGGATTTTTCATATAGCATAAAGCGTTTTCTTGGTATTAGATATATTTCGATAAATCCCTAAATTGTAAACATTGCACGCTCCCCCGTGCCGCCAGAGGAATCACTTTTTGGAACACACTGGTTTGATCGAAGCATTAAAAAAACTCTGGACAAGGTGGTTTTTGAACAAATTTAACCCACTGTATCTCTCCCCCCATTTGACCCACAGATCCTACGTGTACGTCTATCTCCCTTTGAACCACCACTCTATTGTATTTTATTCATATTACACATTCCGATTCGATCTCCAGCCCCCCTGTCCCCAACACTATTTCAAGCATACAGTAATCAACAGCTCATCTACCCTATTCTTATCCAAACATCCACCCTCCCTTCATATGCATCCCGATTGCTCATCTGGACTAGTCTTCCTGTGCCGAATAGTTTTTCCAAAAACTCGTCTCTTCCCCTTTCCAACATTTCCCGGTTGAACAATTGGCCCTGGATTTACAAAGAGAGAGGCCGATCCTTTCTTCCACTTCATTGTGTGGTCCGTTTTTAGGGTACCTTTTTGTGTGACTTTGTCGACAGAATGTCAATATCTTGTTGTAAATTTGGATAAATAGTAAATGTTTTATGACGGCCAATGGGACTACAAAATATCGCAAACTAAAAAACCTTAAGCTCACGAGAAAAGGCCCGGCTCAACCAAACAAATTCTTCACAGAGGATGGATTAATTAAATATTATTCAGGATTCTTGCGTCCAGATTCGCGCGGCAATGGTTTGGTATCCATCGTTTTAATGGAAATCTGGCATCCGGGAAATGGGCAGAGCGGACGCAGTGTAATTGAGTGGAACCAAGCAGGGCATAGCATCCGCGAAGCATACAAAATTCCAGGAGATCTTTAGATAGTTTAAATAAATGGAATTTACGGTTTGTTGGCACATTTGCATGCTCGCATTCTATAGTCCAGTATCCTTTCAGATTCATTAGCATGTTTAGATATCTCGTGTCCGTCTGCCAAGCCCGACAAGTGGTGGGATGGCGAATTCTAGGCTTTCTGTGTGCCCTCCATCCTCCTTCCAAGTCCAGCATCATCCAATAGGCTTTCCCCCTGGGGCTTGTTGTCCGGAAATCCATGAAGCGGCTCTCTGAACCGCCTTGAATTATTCCCCATCCCTCCACAGAACACCCACCCACCATCTCGGGCAGTCGACTGCCCGAATTTCATTTAGTTAACTCAAGCTTGTAGGTTTGGTGTTATATTTAATCGGTATATTTAATTTTACTCCAGTGCCGCCACCGTAAAAACATTTTAGAATTTCATAAGACATTTAAAACTCAACGAACTTTTTCTGATTTGCGGAATCCGAATTTCGTTTAGTCAATTAAACGTTTGTATGTCCTTTTTAATATATATTTAATTTCCAATCTAGGCCGTTTAGGACCCTTACAAGGAGTGCCCTTTTAGTGTCATCGGCAAAACCTTTCGCGACCTACCTCATTCGATAGAGAAATGAATTCTGAACAAGCTCCCGTTGTTCGTTTTTGCGGAATGGCTGTCTCCGATTTTATAAAATTAAAAAACTAAAAACAGCATTTTTGGACCACGATGCTCGCGCCACCCCCAAAACCGCCCCCGGGGGGAAGAGCCGCTCTGACCTTTTTGAATTTTGATTGCGCTGGCTTCATTGGTCAACCGCCATTTTATTTGAAGCAGAGACAATCGAGCAGCCTTTGTGAAAAAGCCTATGTTTTTGAAAACCAAGCGCTAAATAAGAACCTAGTCGGTGTAAGCCGGCTTTTCTCAAAAAATTCACATGAAATGTCCCCAAGGGGTTCCAAGCGTAACCTTATTCAAAAAGCAAAATGAATTGTTGACGCGAGTTTCGAACTTTTGCTTGAATCACAAAAAAAAGTTCGGTAGGCCGTGGTGTTAGCCACTGCGCCACGCTTACTGGTGGTTGGGAGAGGTCAGAGCGGCTCTTCCCCCGGGAGCGGTTTTGGGGGTGGCGCGAGCATCGTGGTCCAAAAATGCTGTTTTTAGTTTTTTCATTTTATAAAATCGGAGACAGCCATTCCGCAAAAACGAACAACGGGAGCTTGTTCAGAATTCAATTCTCTATCGAATGAGGTAGGTCGCGAAAGGTTTTGCCGATGACACTAAAAGGGCACTCCTTGTTAGCAGGCCCTTAGCAGGCCCAAAAGACATGCTTAGCGCAGAGAAACTATATCGTAGCAGCGAAAGTTCAATTTCGAAAATGACCCATTCATTTTTGAACCTTTTCTAGCGTGTTTATTCCTCAGAAACTACTCCATGCTACACTCTGGATACGAGAACATTTCGGACCTTTCCGCGCCCTAGCCTCCTCGAAGCCGAGGAGGATAATGGGCGGCCGACGATTCCCCCGGGGGGCATCTCGCCTTTCGGTGCGAAGCCACAATAGAAGTCAGACGAAAGAGGAGCCCCACTAGTAGCACAACCTCTCCTCTTTTCCAAAATCAATGCTCTCACTCAAGGGCCGCTTCCTGACACTTCCACACCCCCCAGTGAAGGGACCTTCACTTGCACGCTGGGTATATAGCATTCACTTGTTGGCAAATCGGATTTGGTTGTCTCGACTCAATTTGAGCTTGCCTCCTTTGTTCGAAAGCTCCATTAAAAGAAACATTTCAGCCCTGAAGTTCGCCAAACCTTCCTGATGAATTGACCCGGCAAATGGCTAAGGTAAGCACCCGGAAACACGGTCTTACATTTTCAGGTGATGACCCATCCCCGACTTGTTTCCGCAAAGGAGGTTCGTGTCGAACAGCCCACCGTACTCGAGCAGGCCAAACCCATCATCTCACCACTCGAACGCCTTCGGAGAGCTGACCAGCGAATTTTCAATGCCCTGGCCGAGAAACAAGCAATCTTGGCTCAATTTCTCCCGGGAGAAAAGGTTGTTCTTTATCACTTTATCAATTTAAATCATTTTGCTTTCAGTTAATAAAGAAAGAGGAGCTGGACAAGTTGGCGGAAATGTTGAGCAGCGTGGCTGAGATGGACTTGAAAAATTTGGACTCAAAAGCGCTGTATATGGCCTCGATTGTTCACGGAAATCGATTGCTGGACGCGATAAATCAAGGTTGGTTTTGGGTCCTTAAAAAACGTGTTATATATTTAGAAATGGTTTCGCCAAAGCCGGATGACGGTGATCCTACGTTAAATGCTTTGAAGGCTGCGGAGAAGAATTTGCCTTCGGTTCCTTGTTACAAATTGACAGCGATTGTGGCTCCACTATTGAACACGATACGGGTAGGCTTGATTCCTTCAAATAAGTTGACGCATTTTTTGATTCTACCCAAGCTCTACAAACTTGCTAGCAATTAACTTTGAATTTCAGGCACAAATGGCACAAAGCCAAGAAAGAGCTGCCGAGCTTCATCCGGCTGGATTAAGCGTATCAGAGGAAACGCTCACTGAAGTCAGCTCCCTCCAAACTGACCCTTCCGAACGAAAGCTTGTCACGAGAAGATTATTACCAACTAATATCCCTCCCCAACCCCCGCCACCCACTTCGCTACCACCTCCTGAGTAAAAAAACTCACATTATCAATTATGCATTAAGTCCCCTATGCCCATTTTTACGTGTATCAAAAGCTGAAGCCCCTAGGGTTATTTTCTCTATTTCACCGCCTCGGTATTTTTTTTCGTGAACTTGATAGTTTTTGGAGATATGATCTCTTGTTAGGGACCTATCGCTTTGTAAAGTGTAATAAATTTTAAAGACCCATCGCAAGATTGACATGTATTTGAACGCTTTTGACGAGAGGATAGACAAGGCGGTAGCAAGAGGTGTTGGAGAGTTATGTACAGCACTATAATTTTAGATTGTCAGGAGAGGAGAAATTCAAAGTTCAACGAGACGCGCGACGGAGTTGTTGTTCTTCTTCCTGGTGATCGTATCTGGCGGGGCGTTCGTGGTAGACGATTGCTTGGTCTCTGTAAACACGTTTGAGTCCTTAGACGGGAGCCAGTTTCTTAAAAGATTTATTGGTCATAGGAAACGAAAGACCGGTTTTAGTTTTGGTAGTTGAAAGAGAATTTGTAGTTTTCGCATATCAAAAAGGTGAATTTATTTTTGCACTACAAATTCTCTTTCTAAAATATTAATCTAGTAATAACAAGCAGAGACGTTTGAGATGCCTCCTTCGAATTTGGGTTAATAACAGTTTCCGATGCGGAAATTGAACTGGGATATGTGAGAGACAAAGCTGCAGTGGGTTATCGTGGCAGAACCCACGGAAATTGAAGGCTCACAGTTCGTTGTTGCGGACATCTCGGGGTAGTGCCTTATCGCCGGTCGCACGGGAACGGTTGGTGGCGGCTTCGACAGCATCTATCAAGATGCCCTTCAGATTGCCATTCTCTAGCTTGTGCATCCCGTAGATTGAGGAGCCACCAGGAGATTGGACATCATCCTGAATAAGGATATTATAGTTTACGCGATTATAAGTAGGATAGGAAAACTTGCAGCCTTATCTTTTTGTTTGGTTCAAAACACACCTTCAACTGCGCGGGGTGAATCCCAGTTTCCAGCACCATCTTCGCCGCCCCGAGCAGTGTGTGCGCAGCCAGTTTGATTGCCAGCTCACGTGGAAGTCCAACTTTCACTCCGCCGTCAGCCAATCCCTCGATGACAGAGAACATCTGAAAAGAACAGGCTCATATATCGATAAATAAGCATACGTAAGAGGGGCCCGAACCGGATAGACCGGTCACAGGATCGATCCAAGCCTCGGGGAGCTCGACGGCGAATCCGACCGTTGAGAGGAGTTCTCGTACTGAAAAGCAAATAATTTTTAAAGGTAGAATTTTTAATCGATACCTAAATCACCATCCCCATCTCGGCAAGCTGATCCCATTGCAAAACCAGATGCTCCTGCACGAACTACTGAAGGTGTATTCGGCATTACTCGAACGACTCTCGATTTGGATGGCAATAGCTATAAAAATTAATGAGTGTTGGTATATACGTTTTCCGTACCGCTTCCATATTCCGGATGGTGATGCCCATAGCGATGGATACAAGGAGATGCTCCCGGCTGATGGAGGGGGCAATCTCGGAGGTCACCTGTAAAACCGCAGAGTTGCCCGGGGTCAGCTGCGATAACGTACTTTTGGGACGTTGATGGGCTTGACCGCTAGGAAAACAACACCGCTCTTGTGGACGACCTCTGTGTTATCGTGTGTAGTTGTAAGGCCCATTGACTAAAAGTAAGAGCTTGAAAGGTTACAAAAATAATTTCATTGTTTCCCCTAGACCTCCGTAAACCGATGCTTACCTTGCACTGGTCCAACAATTGGTAATCAGTTTTCGGCGAGCTCGCGATGATATTCTCGGGCGCGATTCTGCCTAAAGGATACTAGGTAAATTAATGTATACTTCTCTAACCTGAATTGATCAATCCACGAGCCAGAGCCTGGGCCATCTTGCCGGCGCCGATAAAACCGATCTTCATGGCTGCTTCTTGAGCTACAACAGCCATGGAATGACTGGAAACTGAAAGAATTGAGAATGCGGGAAAGGTTGACAGTTAGTTCATATGCATTAATAGATTAGGCTCGAAAGGCCGAGAGTGCCAGTGAGATATTGACGCACTAATGACTAGCATCACATTTGAAAGCAAGGGCTTGGAATCGAGAGGGATTCTGATTTTATAGCAAAAGATAGAGGGAGGAGACAGGAGGAAAAGAGGGAAAGAAGCTATTCTAAAACGCATGTAAACGTCATTCTGGCGCAACCTTATGCAAACAGTTCGACCTCTAAATGGAGGAGAGTTGATCTGCCAAACACCACGTAGAGGATCTGGTGACAAAAGTGGTGTGGATAGGCAGGCTGAAGGACAGAAGCTATGGATTGGAATGGTGGGATGGACTGGATCTCCCCCCCCCCCCTGGCACTGACTGACCGGCCTCCTCCTTATCGCCTTCTCCCCCCGCCTTCTTCGTGCCCCCCAGTGTTTTTACTATCATTTCAACGCTTTGATATGCCTTTGCCCTCTGCCCCAGACCCTCCATTTAACATAGAGGAACCAGTTATGAAGGTCAGATTAGCTCGAGATAGTTCATTTCGATGATAGCCGATCGGGCGAGTTTGGGTGATCTCTCTCTCCCTCTCTCGCTCTCTCTTCTCTATCCCTGTTTCAAAGTACTACATATAACCACCATAATTTATGACCTCGTAACCGATCTCGCTTGAAACGAAAATGATATGCTCTTTACTTCATAAAGACGCAATCCTCAACATAACCATTTAATAACCAATCCAATTTATTCACATATCATGGAGCAACTCCTCCTTTTGCTCCACCTCCTCCAATTCCTCCTCCTCTTCCTCGTCAGAAGCCTCCTCGGGGCCGCGCCCCTCTTCAGGGTACGAGTTCTTCAGGCAAATGCTGTGAGCCTGGACGAAGCCGACGAAGTCGTGCCTAAATGAAATTGAAATATGGGCCAAGCGGCACACATTTGAATGAGCATGAGAGTCGACGGGTCCCAAAGCGGTGAAAAACGTAGAGCAATGGCCTCTTGGCACTTCGAAGTGGATGACGGGGCCTCGAACACGTCCAGAATTCCCATCTAACCAGGATTTTGATAAATTCGACCGGTTATGACATACCTGGTACCAGGAATCGTTGATGGGGGATTTGCATTCCAAGGGCATACCGGCGTCTCCCTAGATTTGACTTAGAAAGGCAGAAAATGTGATCATACATGGCAAGCTGTCCGGTTCTCATTGGCGGGGAGCACGATAACCTTCCCGTCCGTCGTGGCTCTATCTTCAGCATCGTAGGTCAACATTTCATGGTTTGACACAAAGTCGAATCGGCCTGAAAATAGCGTCTTCCAAGCTGAACAATTTAAATGCGTAATTTGATTTCTACTCCTTTGCCATTAAATAATAACTGTATCTTAGTATCCGAGAAAATATAGCCGTGATGGCACGCCACCCGAGAAGAAATTCCGGATCCGAGTGTGGATTTGTATAGACTATAATCAACTCCCGAGAGTTTTCGATAACTGACCATTCGAGCTGAATCCGACGACGCGACATTGGGCCAAGTAGTCTTTGGGGTTCTGGAAAGCGGCTCCTCGGAGGAGTGACGGGCGGATGGGGAGCAGGGCCAAATGGTTCGGAGCAGAGCCTTTCGGGCACAACTGAATTTGCGTGGAATTAACAAATGAAAAATGATGTTAGATACCTCTTGAATCGGTAGAGCGGCGATACGGATGATTGCTTTTCCTCCGCTGATATCGGCCAAATGACCGCGTCTGTTCTCGATGGTGCCATTACGGGTGAGCACGACAATGATGTCGGGGAGACGTCTGAAATATGGTATATTGAATAGCATTTTAGCGATACTTACTCTCCACCAAGTCGGACACAATGTGGGGCCGTGACGATAACTGACGGGGTGATTATCAGTCCAGTACAAGCCCTTCGAGGTGCATCGGGACCACGTTGGCGAGCCAAAACCTAATTTCAATTATATATTGCCACTATAACAAAAATCTCTCTTACCTTGACGATGTAAGCATGACGACCCCATTCCACCGCATCACCATTGAGAACACCTTCTGTAGCGCCGATTGCCAAAAGTAGAAGACCAAGCAAAACCCTCATTTCGTTGAGCTTCAACCCCGCCGGAAAGCAGAATGGCAATGGCAAACCGGGGACAAAGCAAGAAAATGCAGTGGGCGACCCGAAGTCGACCCTTTCCGCCCAACAAATCTCCATCTCCAATCACAAACATAACACTTTCCGGTCTGTCGAAATGCTTGAATGTGGGCGACAAAGCGGCTAGAAATCTTTATTCCACGTGTTTTGGAGCATCCGGAAATACATTTCCTTTTCTTCTTTCGTAGAATAATTCAGTTGTAGCCCATCCACGTTAAAGATTTGTATATTGTTTTTGACCTTCGGGGATCCGCCTCTTCGTCTCCTTCCCTCGAGCCTGGTTATGCGCAAAAATTCTTGCTTCAAAACAGGATGCCGGAGTAAGACGATAAGCATTGTACCGCACACCTAACATCAGATAAAATTATAGTGTACGTCACACACCTGGACACCTATAATCGTCATAAGTATGTTCCAATATAATTCTTTGCTATTATCCAAAACTGTGGTTAGCAGGATATAAAGGGTCAAAAGGGCAAACTCTCCCGCACAATAATATGGAATTAGTACTTTCAAGACCTATAATTATGTTTGGAGCTTTTCGGATTGCACAAACCCGCACGATGCGAAGGTTTTCAGTAGATTGATATCTCCTAGACACACCCGAGAAGTTCTCGACACTTTTTAGATAGTGGCGCTTGACCAGCGGATTGATCACGAGGAACATCTAAAATATGATTTCTGCTGTCAAATTTCATTGAACTGACAATAATGGCTGAGAAGAGGGCCGCAATTATCAAGCCCACGCTGAAGAGATTCGAGATGACAGCTGTAATAACGATTATTTTCTGGAAATTGCCACCCTACCCGACCAGGCGAGCGGTACTGTTGAATAGGCGAGGAGAAGCTGAAAATATGTTTAAAGGGCGGTATTGATTTTCGTACTTGAATGAAGAGAAGGCAACCGGCTAATACGGGCCAGCCTCCACAAAAATTTTCATAATGTTGGAAGTAGAATGTAGAGACGAATCTTTCGATAGCGAGCGACATCAGCGTGTAGGAGGAACAGCTAAGACCTGAAAATTTCCGGGATACTGAATAGAAAAAGGCAGAGTCTACCTGTATCTGAGATCGGCATTGAGAGTTGCGTGTAAACATTTCCGTAATTAAACCCATTAAGCGAGATAACTACTTTGTTGATACATTTGATCATCAAAGATAGACACGTAGGAAACCCGGGCAGTGCAATAAGTATTAATAATAGATTTAGATGGAATACCTAAAACATACTTATTAAAGTTTATTGAGCAAAAAAACATTTTCACAGAAATATTTAGGCTTACCCGTTTCTTAACTAGAATATATGAATAAAGTATAAATAGACTAAACGTCGTCAGGTCCATTCCCATCTCAATTATCTGGGCCAACGTCAGCGCCTTGCACTTGGAAGTACAAAACAGATCGGACATTTCCTGAATCTGAATCGATGGTTTCCTTAGAATATCACGGGGTAAGCAAAGTTTGATCGTTTCAATAAAGCAAGCGGCACCACATGAAACCCGGCAATTTGTAGCCCACACAGACGAAAATCTGCCCCGGCCTTCGGGCCTGTAGGCCATTAGCAAAATGGGAGTTTTCAGGTCCAGTCGTTCAAAGAGATTGCCCCTTTAGCGCCTGCCCCACGCCGAAAATAGAATAAAACTGGTTTTACTAACGAAATAAGTGACGCAGGACCTGGAATTCACCCTAGAATCGAGGGTGATTCAAGCGGAAACGATGGAAATTATAGGATGAAGCACATTGCGAGGCGGAACGGGAAATGTGATGTCTATGCTTGGCAGGAAGTACTATCAAAAATTCAACACAAAATATCTCAAAACTAAAATTCATAGCCGGCAACCCATGCAGGAAAAAATTCTATTAGGCTGATTAAAACGAAAAAGATGCTTTCCTATCCTCAATTCGGTGACTTGGCCCTAGGGATTTACTAAAAGATTCGATTAGCGTTGCAACGCGCCTAATCGCCCATGGAACACGTAAAAAAACTGAAGTATGGACTCGTCACAACGAATTTAGGCGATCTTTAATGAAGATTATACCTGAAAAGCATGATTTGCTACGCCAATTTTTCTCGTTGCGAGAAGAAAAACCGTCTCAAACCGTTTAAGATGCTCTTAAACTACCAAATAAGGTCTAAAGGCGTGCTGTTGTTCCAATCGGAAGCGGGAACCCCGTCTGGGAGTATTGAAAACTAACCATGAACCTAGATATTTCTAAAACACGATAATTAAGGTTTACCCCCGGCTTCTTGGAAGGTGTTGCCCTCCCAAAAACTCGCTATTCCCGTGAGAAAATACGTTTTAATTCTAGTGAAACAGAAAGCGTGTGCCGGGCGGCTAGCTGGCTCTAATGGTCGGGCGCCATTTGACGCTTGACCAGAAACCCATGAAAAAGAAAAAGTATGGTTGAAATGTACGGTGACGGACGCCCTATATCCGCTGTTCAGCACCCCTGGAGAACTTCGAAAAACGAGAGATGGCGCCGGAAAGGAAATTAGAGTGGATAAAGGGCCATCTTTTTTGCCAGAGATGGAAACCTACAATTTGGGAGCTGCGATTTGATGTGGAAAATGGCGGGGGGCCGTTAACCAATCAACAATTGGTTAGAGTAGCTGGGCGACAGCTTTAATTAAATGCGCTAAAATGTGGGAAATTCAACCTAATTTTTGAAAATACAGATTATTCTTCGGTACATTTTGATGTGGCAAATGAAAAAGTTCAATAAAAATTGGCCAAAGTAGCTGATGAACAGCATAAAAATGATTTTCAAAAACACAGCTTGTAAAGAGCTAGATGCCAATCCGAGCGGAAGTCGTTGAACTAATAGCCTCATAACAACCCACACGACCCCGCCGCGCACCCGTATAAAAAAATTTAATTTCTGTGGGAATCGATGTATTGTTATGAAACGTAAAGACGTGGGAGCTTGTTGTTTGCAAATTTATTGTCTCAAAGGATGAAATCGAGATTACATTTTTAACGAACATCAAAAAAAGCCTGTCTTTGAACTTCAAAATTGATGGAAATACAGATGATATCAATGCGGGTAAACCCGTAGGGGGAAGGCAATTATGCGGTTGTATGGAAAGAACCTGTAGGTGATAAGCCACATTTTGATAATATCAAATAAGACATTTAATAGGGCAATCGGCCGCCGTTACATCCGAACCAATCATCAGCGATCAAGCGCCCACGCGCTAGACTGATTTGAGGATGTCTAAATATGAACAGTTTGCGTTTATTTTAGTGACCTACTGTTTCCCAGTCACTGGATAATATTTGTTGCCAATAAATAAGAAATTTCTATCTTTATATGTCAATGCGGCGTCGATTCGCGGGAAGTCAAAGCCCTAAAAATTCCAATGTTTATCTGAGATTAACAAACTTACCCAAGCCAGGCTCCGAATGCTTTTTGGGTACCCTTTCGGCATCCCGGTGTATTGGTAGCGCCAAAATTTGCGGCCTGAAATTTCAATTGATTTACATATATATTCTCCACCTTTAAAGATGTATGGTCTCCCATCTTTATTCCAGATCATTGCTGCATCAATATGGTCCGGGGTGTCGGTGAAGCCACGGGAGATTTCTTTTGGATATCCGGCTCTTGTGACTCCATCTCGCCCGATAAGCCAATAAAGTTTATCCTGAAGAAGATTCGCATTATGCTCTCATGGTAAAATATACCTTAAAGAAATACGAATGCCCAATCCCATCGCTTAATGCCGCATCAATATGTCCTTCAAATGGCCAAAATTCATCAATTCGCAATGGACCCGATTCGATTCCACCTCGTTCCTTTAGCACCCAGAAATAAGAACCTAAAAAAAATTTCTCTGCGGAAGAGCATTGTTACCTTGAAATGCGTAAATTTTCCCGCCTTTCACCATGGTAATTGCGTCAAGATGAGGATTACTAAAAATTAGTTATTTTGGCTACCTAAAACAGCCAAAATTTAACTAACCTGCAGATATCCGGAAGTTTTAAATCCGTTAGCCCAACTTTATTACGGTCAAACACATCCTTGTCTTTGCCGTAAATCGAAAACAATGCAGAAACGTCATCTGAATCGCATATTTGATTATTATTTTGCTTCAGGCTTATACCTTGTTTTAAATATAGTGAATTTCCTTGGTAATTCTGGTAATAAGGGGCCATAATCGCTTCCATACTATTCGAATGTTTGAGGCCTAGGGAGTGCCCAATTTCATGTACGGCAACCGCATAGAGATCAACGCCGATTTCTGAATTTCACGAGTTTGTAGGTATTTAAATATGCTCAAACCATTTTTATCTAATGCCCAATTTTCAGCATCGTCAAAATGTATATCCCCGCCGAATCTCGGGAAGAAGGCGTGGGCCAGGATTTTTCCTAGATTTGAATCATGTTTTTTATTTTGTAAATTACCTCTTCCATCAAAAGGTTCATCATCTCCATGGCCATTTTCGGCAAAAACAATTTCAATGTGGACCCGTCCGTTTGGTGTGTATTCATAGGAGAAGCCGGCATAGCCCTCCCAAACCTAATCCAAATGTTTCAATTCCGGAGTAAAAATGTCTTACCTCAAAAGCGGCCTGGATGACTTTCTGGACCTTATAGGCCGGTAGTGTTTTACTATTTCTTCCAATTTTCCAGGTAAGTTTAGTTTGATCCCAGAAAGAGCCTAATCGTCTCTATATGTGTATATATTTCTAACCTTACCTTCAGTTACAAAACGCTTTGAGCGTCGTCTCGAATTTTGGTATGGTGCATGATCAACATAATCTTGGAAAGTTATTGGTGTTGGCGCGGAATCTGACAACATTTTGCTTTTTGAAGAGCCTCATGAATATCTAATTCAATTTTTCAATTTTTTTCCTTAATTCCTATCATTAACTCAGAAGTTTTCAATCCGAAACGGACACCCAAAAACCCGCTCCCTGACCTAGTTGCGTAGTACTTTCCACAAAACGATAAATAACCCCCCTATTTGCCGTCTTATCTTCTGTTTTTCTTTTATCACACCCAATGGGTGCCCTGGTCTAATATTTTTCGGTTTCGAATTCGTCGCGGCGCATAGAAACGACCGGGATTTCTTGAAACAGCTGGCCCCCACAAGTGACGGTGTAAAATATGCAAATCAGCACCCCGGACACCGGCTCGGGAATGTCTTTTTACACAACAAATTGGGGCATTTCATGCTTCTCTGCGGCGCTTGAAACACCAATCACCCATTTGATCATGGGCCAAAAGCCATCACTTGTTGAACTTTTTACGGGGGGTACCCATTGGGCTGGGGAAGCGTCAGGGCCGAAATTTGAGCCGTCGCAAAAAAATGACTTTTAACATTTGCTGGCAGGTCACACCTTGCCCCCGGGGCGGACGTCTGAAAAAATGCGACCCATTTAGCGAGACAAACATTAGTCATCGTCGATTGACAATCATGGATTGTTGGTGGGGGGCAGAAGCACTTTTTTTGAAAACAGTAGTCTCTGGCCGAATTGAGATGGCAAGTCAGGAGCCATTTTTGAATAACCACCTGATAAGCGGATTAGTTTGTGGGTCGTTGTTTTGAGTGCGTGGGTGTCACAGGGCTTCCCCATTTTTTTTTGAACTATCATTGAAGCTATGAAAAATCAGAAGAAAAATAATATTTTTGTTATAGGTTGACTTTCAAACTTTCAAATACTCACGTGCTAATGCGGAAATGGATGGCGTGGGAAGGCAATTGGCGGGAGACAAGAAAGACAGTAGGAAGATCTGGAAAAATGGTGATATGTAGGGCAATGTCTCCGATTTACAATCATCTTATCGCGGTGGGACCGGAAGCTCCGGTTCGGCAAATTGTTTTACAACCCGTGTGTGTAGGTTGCAGAAGACATGTAAGTTTCCGTAAATCTTTTTCGGGGTTTGATTTGACCGCTCGACTACAGTTTTTTCTCACGTCCACAAAAACGGGGCACACAGGAAGCTAGGGAACCCGCGAGGTGTAATTAGCCTTATCGCCAGCGGGCCAGTTCAAAAGGAGAGGGAATAGATGTTTATTCCTGTGATCTGACGCCGTCTGCGGCCACAGCCACACGCCATTTTACGACTAATCGCGGCTTGCAGGCTGCGTTTTAATTGCAACCCGTTTCGGGGAGGGTTTTTGGGGTACAAGAGGGGGAGAAGGAGATCACGCTGTAGAATGGCAGACTGTACAAGATGGGGCCAAGGTTTCGAGTGAACTTTGGAATCGAGGAAACGTGCAGGAAAGAGGATTGGAAAAATTTGAAGTTAGGGGTTGGATGGACAACCGAGGAGGTAGATTTGGAAAGGCCCTTGAATAGTAAATAGTATATAGCCAGAGAGAGAGAGAGAGAGAGAGTGAGAGAGAAAGAGAGAGCGAGAGAGTTAGAGAAAAAACAAGGAGGGCAAAATTATATAGCAGATTCTTAGTCGGCGCATTAATCTTTTCGTTAGAAAAACACTCGTCGGCGCGTTTTCATAAGCCCAAAAACCCCCCAATTTTTGGTATTTTCCGATTTATTTCCTACCCCTACCCCAAACCACGACTTACCATTTGTACAAAATAAAGCTGATATCCAATCGTAGTCATCGTTTGCGACCTTGGGCTCACTGGTCGAAGGCGGAGCCGAGGTGGCATTTTCAAGCCCAGCCGGGCGGCAGGAAAACGAACGGCGAAACGAATGTGGCCCCGTTACGGCCCAACACACTGCACTATCGGCTTGCGAACTGCAATTTACACATATGTTGCATGAAGATTCACATTTCAAAGGGAGAAGTGGAGCCAGCAAAAAGCATTGAAAACGGGAAAGTCCATGAGGTGTCTAGTTTTTAAGTGCTTACCTTGTTCACTCCAACAATAACCAAGCGAACTTCTTAGAGTGAAGGTAAGCTAATATTAAGACCCAAGTTTTCGCTTACTGTGGCCACTGACACTTTTTTGTGGCCCGTAAATGACGGGTCGAGATGTGTGATTTTGGGAGCCCCATTAGCTTTTATGAAGGAACGGCTGGCCGGTTATCAGTAGGCTAGGGGAAACTGTGTGGTGGAGCTGCGGTGAGCAATTAGTCCGATCTAAAGTTGGAACTAGATGCCACTTTTTTTGGATGGGCTTTTGGCCTACGCACAATGATAACGGGCTGATTATACGTGTTGTCGGCAACATTTGTTGCTCGGTCATAGAATGAAAAAGTATCGAAGAGAAAGGCTTTGACTCCTTGAATCGAAAATATTTTAAGACAAAACCAGGTTATTGGAAAATGCCTAGACGTATGAATGACGAGCTATCAGAATGACAATCGAGCCTCGAAATTTTTCGCAGATATCCCCTCCCCACAGCTTTTCAAAACATAGCGCCCGTTCGAGCCAATGGGTGAAGAAACATGCATCTGCAGCTTTATTCTCGATCCCGATTCCGAAACGTGCCATCATCGATATATTTTGCAAAATGAGGGTTGTTAACTTTTTTCTGTTTGCGAGGGCGGCGGAGGAGGCCCTAACATGGCCAATTTCATGTTTGTATTTCAACGCCTACGGTCAGTCACTAGCAGAAAATTCAAAAGCGACCAAAGGCAAAACCACGCAGCGTATTCCATGGCATTGCTTTATACACACCATATATTGTGCTTATTTGTGGGAATTCGTGTGTGAATGGCTCACCGGAAGGGGCGTTGTTCGCCCGTTGGCACGTAGAGTTTTATTTACAAAAATATATTTTCAAAACCGGGTCGGCGGGCTATGACGAATTGGAGCGAGAGGTGCTCAGTGATTCGATATGCATTTTCGAGGAATTCGATGAGGCATCGAAGCTGAATGACAGATTTGAAGGGTCGGCGGTGAAGTTACTGGTGTTTAGGCGGGAATGGTCGGCGCCTGGAACCAAAAACTTCAACAACAAAATATAAATTTTTACCCAAGCACATCGAAAATCCAGTAATACGACAGAACGATTGGGACACCGGTTCAAAAATATATAAAAACAATGCCCAGAGGAGGCATGTGCCTATTGGGAGGATTGTGACCTGAAAGTTAGTGCAAAGAAGCTGATGACCAAATACCTGAAACTCAGCCCATGCTGCATAAGCTTCCACGTCATGCAAAACCTTCCTATCAATATACGTTTCATCGTCATAAAGTGGTAGGCAATTCTTCAGCACTAGCAATGATGAAAATGTTATTAACAAAACAATAAGTGCCGTCGGGAGCAAGGCCTTCGAAGCATTCTTCGCCTCTGCTAATGCTCGTGTAGGCGTGTTTAGCTAAAATTAAAAATCCGTTAGGTATACCTCAGGTTTATTACCATTCGACTATTATTAAAAACCCATAGAAATAGCACCAGAAATGTAGCGAGAGCATTTGTACCAAAAAGGAATTCTACTGCGTCTAGGCATAACTAAAAACATCAACTTTTTTTGCATGCTTACCCGCCCAACCTGTCCAGCATAAAGTTCAACGGCAGCATAAGGGAAAATCTGCTCCGAGGAAGTGAGATCAAGGAATAGCCAACCGGTGGAAAGGAGAATCTAAAAGGAGCTGAAAGATTTATTTTTAACCGGTACATAGATCGCCAGAACTCCGGCCAGCAGAGCATAGTTTCTACGATAATTTTCGAGTCTAACACAGGCGACGATACGCTCGGTGACCAAAATGATCGGCCCGAGTGCCATACCGAGGAGCCCAATTATATACACGTATTTGAGACCTATAAAAATACAGTGGCTTTGAAAACTAGGGATACCTAGACTACTTTCCGCGCGAAAAATTTGCCAATCACAGCGATCGTCTTCCTCGATAAAATGGCCAGTGTAAAGTTGGTAGATGCAACTGAGGAAGGCGCCTATTCAAATAGTAACTATATTTGTAATAAAAAAAATAATATTACCAATATTAGCGACGAGGACAGCTGATGCAAATGCAATTAATAATAATCTCTGATGAATATGGAGCCCTTTAGCCAGTACAATAGATAGGATTTTTAAGGCTGTTATGAGAATGGCCAATGGGACGAAGAATAGCTATAAATTATCGTTTCAAAACCTTTCCGAAATGCAAATTCCTGGCTTACCTGTATTAACAACAATCCTCTCACAACACGATCATTCCCAAGAATCGCGTCAGCAGATTCGCATAGTTCACATCGTGTGCAGTTAAGATGAGACAACATCGGCCGATCGGTCCGACAATCTGTAACAAATCCCCAGATCCGAAAGTCGCTATCAATCCCAAATCCCGAGCCCCCACACAACAATAAACACGCGAATTACTAGGAAATCGGTGATCCCCGCGTGCCATGAGATTGGATGAAAAAAGGAAGTGAACGGTGGCGATGGTTGATGAACAGAACATTGCGCACCGTGGGGAAATCAAACCATCAACAGGGCAGTGGTGGTGATTATTTAGAACTTCGGCAAATGATTGGCGTGGAGCTTTCGGTTTTTAGAAGGGGTTGGATGGTGATGAGAATTCGATAAATGGAGATAATTGAATGCAATAATAGCCGGAAACTCACAATTTAAAGTTTTGAGAAGGGCATTGGGCATGGTTTTTTTCGGGATATCCCTATAACATGGATGTTTCACCAACGATCAGTAAAGCTAATTGCGAAATCTGTCTGTTGAACTCGTTTTCGTTGATTTTTCAAAGGCGGAAAGAGTTTTTGGTCAACGGGGGAACCAACAGATGATTGAATTTAACAAATTCGCTCGACAAAGACGCAGATGTTTCCGGAAGTTATCATTAAAGCTCATGACTTTTCAGCAATTTGTTATTTGGAACTATTCGCCAAAGAGAAGAAGTATTTTGGGAGGGAGAGAAATAGGTAGTCCAACGGAGATCCCTACCGAGGCCGCAGAATTGGGAAAGGCACGGTAAGTACATTGTAGTTTGTCTAAAATGTCAAAATGATGTGGGGTGAGTTTAACTCAGAACCGGTATACTGCTTCAGATTAATTAGACAAGACTTGATTAAAGCATACAGAGTCTAGAACACCCCATAAGCGGAACAGCATTTTTGAAAATCACCACCCCATTCACGCCAGCCACAGGGTGTGCGTGGGGTGTGAGAAAGATTAGCCATCGGGGAGATGCACAAGGCATGTGAGACAGATTCCTGCGTTTTCTTCAACAGAGTGGGCTGTGCTTGGATCAATTTCGATTCGGCCTTCCCACCCCAACCCCCAGCATCATCCCTTGTGATGATCGGGCTTTTTGCTGGGGCGCCAGGGATCAATCTCTCTGCCAGTTGGTGCGTGGGGAAGAAGTGGTGGGCGAGTGGATCAAAATGTTCCCCTGGAAGTGATTGGCTCTACTCGTTCTTCTCATCAATAGCATTCAGCCAATCACTTTTAGAAGTCGACAATGTGAGGGGATGGGGGAAGTGGACCGGAATATTTGGAAAGGGTGGGGGTTCATTCAAGTTCGGCCACCAGCGTCATTTTCGTTGACAAGTGATATGTGGGATCCAGGGAGGCGGGAAAAAGTAATTTTGGGATATGGGTTGCTCGAGCTGAAAATCCATAGTCTTTGCTACGTTGTTTTTTTGGTGAGACTGTTGATTGGCTGCCAAGTCCGGGCCGACTTCAATATGAATGTTGTTTTTCAATTTTTGCGGTATAAGCTTCTTGCATATGATTTATTTATTTATTCCAGCGGCGTTGTGACCGGATAATGAAGCTCGAATGGACAGTCGGGAAGGAAAATAAGCTCTGTGGAAGAGAACGGGGAGAGCGACTCTTCATGACTAGTTTGGATGGACGGTAGCTGATGGGGGAGAAGACTAATCTAGGTTATATTATGGCTATGATCAGATCAAACGATACCAGAGCGAGCAATAAGTTACAGGAAATGGGGTGGGGGGAGCAACCGATTCAGACCCGTGTTATGGCTAAAAATGCGTGGCTGGCAGGAGCTTTTCACAAAAATTCCCCAGCTCTGAGGTAAGATTCTAGCAAGCGGTGTACACGTGACAACGCGGATATAGACGAATCAATCTTTGGGAGGTTCGTGGTTTTGGAGGTGTTGGGGGATGTATATCACAATTAAATTGCACGGTGGGGAAAGAGAGGTGAACAAAATTGTTGGGCTATATCAAAGAGTTCAATTTTGTAGCTGCACAAAATAAATCTTTTGACTTAAGACCGAGAAATATCTAGTACGGATGCCTAGATTTGTCGACAAAGTTGTCCCGATAGCCAAGGAACGGTTGGCTTTGCTCGATCGTGCTGCCAGAGTCGTACGGGTTTTCTTGTCTCCGATAGAAGTCGGGCTAAAATGAGGGTTGTACGGGAAGGATGACGTTTCGTTACCTCAAGTGTTCGATAGTGCTGCCCATAGATGGTGTTCTCCATCGTGCGACCTTGGTGACCCCAATAGGGAGAACCAGGTGGCAGGGCTGCACGGCTCATCGTGTTGGAGAAGTCTTCACGCATCCCTGAAGCTCATTTTTATTGAAGTTACTCTCAAACCAACTTGTTGAGTTATGAAAATATTGCTCGACTAGGTTTTAGACTATACAAAAACCATTCTCACCTCGATGCAGATAGGTCTTCTTGCTCAGTGTTGCGGAGAGTGGAGTCTGCAGAGTCTGTGATGGGAAGAACGATTCAAGATTGTGCGTTGTCAGTGTGGCTTTTTGATCGTAGTACATCGGATCTTGAGGCGGGGCCATTGGAGGAGGGATCTGCGGCGGAGGTGGCCGCTTCGAGAGCGGATCCTTCGAGACACACTCCTTTAAAAATCAAATTTTGATCAATATTGGTTTCCAAACCTCTTGGGCACATTTCAGGTAGAGAACCGCCAGCAGGACGAGCACCAGGAAAATCACGGCGACTGGGACAACGATGTAATAGATGATGTCGGTCGACATGGTCAACGGATCTGAAAATATGCTTTCTCTAGTGATCCAAAGATTTCCAAAATCCCTTCCCACATTATGAAACCCCTTCTCTTCCCAAAATATCGTTTCCTCCTCTCCAAGTGGCTCGTTCGACCATTGGTGAGTAAATAATACGATCTGCAACTCCCCCCTAGGCCGTGTTCTCCCGGTTGTATTTGCCGCTTACGCGGCGTGACAACAAGACTTTGGATTGCCCTAGGGCACGCTGGCTTCATACGAAAGCAAATAGTCTCCCAGAGCAGGCCGGCCACCGTAACGCCCCAAGATGGGATTATAGCGCATAGCCACTTCACTTTAAAACACTCACCTTCGACAACTTCCAACTGGGCTGTTTTGTGCACCATCCGGAATGGATGTTGGGTAGATGAAGTGACGACGCAGACATAGATACCAGCATCGCCCTCGTCCACCGTTGGGATGATCAGACGATTCGTATAGGTGTGCTCTCCTTCGCCGCGCCGGATCGGGGCTTCGACCTGAGATTTTAATACATATGGCCCATGCGGTGCGCAACGTACCGTAACAACATTATCTGGCTGATCGAGTAGAAGCAGCATCATACCAAACAAGTTGTTGATTACGGTAGCATTTGGATCTGCTCTGCGTACCATCACCGGGTCGTTCACTTGTTTGAACCACTAAAAACATTATCAGTGTTTTAAAAAAAATTGCAAACCTTGATAATTGGCGGGGAAGGCGCTTTCACTTTGCATTGGAATTGAGCTGTATGTCCCAACTTGACCGACGAGTTGAAGGACTCGATCGTCGGATCATTTTCCTGTTCGTCTCTCGGGATGTAGACTCGGAACACGGCATCGATGCTGCCGAGGTTGTTCTCAACAACGCAACGATAGTTGGCAGTGTGGTTGTAGGTCACGGATTCCACCACAAAGGTCGCAGAATAAGGATCGGCGGCTGCGTCCATGAGGATATTGTCCTTATACCACCGAATCTCTGGGAGTGGGCTTCCTCTGGCAGGACATCTCAACTCCAGCCGATCACCCGTTTTCAGGTGAATCGGGTTAGCAGCTGAATGTTCAACAGCAGCTCCTGGCTGCCATTCGGGTTGTTTGGCTTGTTTCGTTTCGATGATAGAATCCTTTATGTAGGAGGCATCGGAGTCTGGGTCTGAAATTGTAAATTTAGCTCTATTTTACTTTTTTATAAAATATTATGATTGCAGTTTCTGTACCAACTCACTATATACATAAAGTGTCATCTGTATCGTGCGATGCCCAAATCCATTCGCGGCTTGGCACTCGTACATGCCGCTGTCTTCCAGCATAATATTCTTGATGCGGATCTCGCGTTGGTTCTTCGACAATTTAATCCTTGCCGTTCCATCGGGGTCAATCTGCAAGGGATAAATCTGCAAAAACCGCTCCCGAATGTTGGCCTCTATTTTTTGCTCCCCCGATTCGTTTTTCAGGGACGAGCGGGGGGAATTTGAGGTCCGAAAGTGTCCGTTTGAAAAATGGGGTTATTGGGCGGCAGCACGGGGGTCCCAGGCATCGCTGATGGTGATGGATAGGGCTGAATTGTGACACACTGGCCGGCCAGCGGGCCTTCAGGGTGCGCAGTTCCCGAGTTCCATCCCTTTTGGGCTCTTTTGGATACCTTATAAGAGGCGTTTGAGAGGTGGAGGAGCCTAACAAGGAGTCGTTTTTTAGGTGATATTGGAGTTTTTGAACGTGACCTAGCTAGCTCGATAGAGAAAAAAATTCTGAGCAAGATGTCGTTTTCCAAATTTGCTAACCGTATACTGTATTCAATAAAAATTAATTTTAATGAAAAAATTCCTGGACGTCAGGCTGCGACCCATGGATCAGGCCCGGGACATAGCCCACAGCGCGAACCAGCATCCGCATGAGATGGTGGCCTAGTGGATAGTGCAGGCGCCTATCAAACTTTTGCAAAATTATGCTCGCGGGTTCGGAACTTTTTTTGATTAGCTGTTTTGCTTTTTGGTTTTTAACGCTATTGAGGCCATATTTGGCATCACAAAGCAAAAAGCAAAAGAGTTTCACTAGCTAGGAGTCGAACCCGAAGGCAAAAAAAGATAAAACTTGTGAAGCAAATGCACTACCAATATGCCACGCGATCATGGTGGTTCAAGGGTCTGAAGGGGGCTATGTTCACGCGCACCACCCCGAGCCAAAGCTACGGATCAGCTGAGAAATGATGGCAAAATTATGGATTTTCAAATTAATTTTTATCGAATACAATACACGGTTAGCAGATTTGGAAAACGACATCTTGCTCAGAATTTTTTTTCTCTATCGAACTAGCTAGGTCTCGTTCAAAAACTCCAATATCACCTAAAAACGACTCCTTGTAAGAGGGGATATGGAGAGAGAAGCTATGGTATCTGGGTGGTAAATCTGACTTTGGGCTAAGTGGCCGCAAACTTGTTCAAATATATTAGCTCTGGCCTGAAATGAAAACGCTAAAATTTCTAAGAAAAGTGTAATGATTGAAAAAGGTGAATGAGAGTTTAAGGTAAAACGTATACCCTTATAAAGCAAATTTATCTCTAAGTAATAAAATTCAACATTTGGTGGACTGACTTGTTTTTGTTTTGTAGAACCTTATTCAAATTACCTTAAGATCTAATTTAATTTAATTTATTGAAGATTTTATCTTTATGTTTTTGATATTTTTAATTTATCTTATTTCAAAAATTGAATTCTGCCTAATAAACTTTTATTATCTATGATTTATCCATTTTCAAGCATTGAATTTGCTGAGCACGTCTTAGAATACTAAATCCCTAAAAACAAACTTTCGCCTAGGTCGAATTATGTTTGTTTTCCCTCAGGATCAACCACATCCACTCCATTATTTGTGTGTACCCCCCCAGATGCCTGAAGTGGCCCCAAATAAGGTGTTTTCCCCCCGTAGACACCTTCACGCCCTGTATATGCATAGCGAGGTCCCATCGCGCTATCCGGTGGCTGAAGTGTCAATCCGCAAATGCACCAGGCTCTACCAGCACAGCCCTCCCATTCACTGGCTAGGGGGGATCCCCCGCACCTGCATATCCCATATGCGGCACAATGCCACCTCGCGCAAACACTGGCAGGCCCCGGGAGACGATGCAGCGCGCACCAAATACCCCCACGAATTCTCGGGCTCCCCAATTAGGCAATTCATAAATGACCTCCCTAGGTTGGGGCTTTTGTTAGGGGGGAGTTGCACGATGAAATTACGGGTAATTGGGCGGGGGAAACTGGGAATGTTGACTAATTGAGGATGGGCTCTATAGAAAAGATGCGGGGAGGCAGGTGTTTATTATCGAATTGGGCGGAGTTGTGCAGCTGCAGGGTTGATATAGGTATATTAATTAAGGTCGTAGTGATTAGTTGAAGACTTAGAAGGCCTAATTTCGCATTTTTATTAAAACTCAGAGGACAATAAAACCTTTCCCTTTTTTCGAATTTAACTTAAAGCTATGTATTTCAAAACCCCCAGAGATACTTTGCAATCCCCCTATTCCCCCATCCATCCATCCAAATCCCACCCCGCGAGTGTGGCCACCCTGAAGGAACGACGGGGTAATAGATAGCAAAAAGGGAGAACATTGCCTCCCCGGAAGGGTCATGCGTCAACCTTGACTAATAGCCCTAACACCTGAGTCGCGCCCTCGGGCTCCCCACCCCTCAGGAGAGGCCCAGGAGATTGATACTCTCGCGTTCGACATCGCTGGGGTGGTGGTTTATCAGGGGAGATTGAAACCCCCACAAAACGAGCCACTAATTAAACCTCAAGTGCTGCAAATTACTTACCGTTTCACCATTTTTCGTCCATTCAACCATTAGCGAGCTTTTGTCGGGGCTGATCACCGGGCAGGTGAGCTTGAAGTGAGGAGCACCAACCGGCACTCGGAATTTCGACTGCATGTGCTCGAGGACTTGTGGTGGAGCTGAAAATTGGTACTAAGTCTTCCTTATATCAATTTGCATTTTTTTAACTTTTATTCCATCCCTCTCACTTTCGTAGAATAACACGTGTTCTCAAACCCCTCCATCCAGTACCCCCTCCAAATCCGACTGGTCAACGGGTTTCGAGGGTACGATGGGGGGCCATTGCGTAATATGGAGCATGTGCCAAGTGGCCCACCCTAGTCCTCTTTTTCCACTGCTGATCCCCTACTCATCCTTTACCCCCCCCTACCCACCCCATCTCCGGCCCTTCTCCCCCCCCCCAATTTGTGTATTTGATTTCCGGCTTGGTGCACACACTCCATCCTCCGGATAAGTGAGTCGTAGGATATGCCCCCGGGAGGGCAAAATCTGTGACTTGACCCGTCCGTTTTTAGCCGGATGCAATAGGCTAAGAGCCCACCCCCATCCACGGCTCATCATCCATTTTTAAGCCCCTGAATTTGTGATGAAAATGGCTGTGGACCTCATCGGATACTAATGAGATTTTCTAAGGCTGAGAAAGATTTTTTCGTTTCATAACCCGGAACTCTGTCCATTCATTGACATTGGTAGACCAAAAATTTGAAATCGCTTTTGGGGGTGACAGGTTTTTAAGCTGCCTAAGAGCTTAGCGAATTGATTGAATGGGGCGGTTGGGGGGGGGTCTAGGTGTCGAGTGTTTTCAAGTTCCTTATCATAACAAAAACAGGAGGGGTGATGGGCTGGCTACGTCTGGCCGCACTTGGTGGTGGTTGTGCATCTGGTGAGGGCGTCGAATTTCGGTTGGGATCGTGGGATGGTGGAAGGAGAGTATGGTGGGTGCGCCTGTTGCACAGTTGGGTGCCTGCTTGGCACCTGTGGGAGGCCGAGAGATGGGATAGAGGGAGCGTGGGATGATTTGGGTGGGGAATATGAGGCAAATTACCGCCACTCGGCAATGCGCAATCAGTAGTAATTATGGGTGGGCTATGGGATGACGGGTGGGTGAGTCAAGCATATGTCCGTAGGACCCCTCAATTGGGGCCAATGCAACTGGGGAGACATGGCGAAATTAGGGGAAAGTTGTGGTCAAGTGTGTAACAACAGTGGAGTAAGATTTAACTCCTTTTTCCTTGAGCATGTTCTAATTGTTAAACTCCGCCCCGCCTTGCATTAGGGCGCTGAAATACTGAAAAGAGCTTTTTGACGCGCAACAAATGCCTTATCTGGCAAAACGCCAGGAACACACATAACGCATGGATTTCTACTTGTGCAGCCCCCATAAATAAGGAACTAAAGATACCTTTATCTCCCTTTGATGTCTACTTATACCAAAACTACCCTCCTAACATCTTATCCACCCCCTGTTCTCGCCTCCAATTAACCCCTACCCCACCGGACCGCAGTACCATTTTACGATGGCAGCCACCCCCCGGTAGTTGAGCTGACCCCGGAGACCTGTCAGCCGGCAGTGACAAGCTCCAACTGCCACTTGCCAACGGATATGAGGACCCTGGGGCCAGCAGGAATATGCGGATTACAAAATGATCGATTCACTCGGGGGGTGGGCAACCGATTGGGTGAGGATTGGGCACAATGTGCGGGAAGTTTTCGCTGGTTTGGGCCGAGTAAACAATAGCAGCTGGCTGCAGTGAGGAGATGACTTGTGGGCAAAAAAAATCAGCTACATATGGGTGTTCTAAACAATTAGCGGATTTTGTTGCTCGGGGATTTGAGATGGTTTTGATTGGACATGTGAAACAATAAAAATTCCTGGTGCGGAATATTATTTTCGAGTAGTAAATTTGCATAAAATTTAAAATGGCTATTTGTGATTGCTAAGTATATTTTGGCACATTGCCGGAGATATTTCACAACGATCCCACATCCACTCATAGGTATAGTTCCGTCGACCTCTACATATGCATGACTGCTCCAACGAGGCCGGATTTCAGATCCCGGTCGAGTCGAGGTTATGTGACAGCGCGCGATAGGGACTCCCCCCGGACAAGATGCTATCTCCGCTCGCTTGGCCCCCCGGGTTCTCCCGGTCCCAAGCTCATAATTGCCACCACTTCCTCTTACCCGTCCCCGTCATCTCCCAACCACCGGTCATCTGGCCGTGAAATCGTATAGCATGATGGAATCGACCTGACAACGGTGTGCGGGGCTGATTTTTGGTTTGAGGCTGACCTACACGCTCAGTCGCATACGCTGAAGTGCCATTCTCACACCTCTCAAAAGACTTGAACAAGTAACGCTTCCTGACACCATCCCCCGGAAAGTGACAGTACCTTAAGGGTCCATCACTATGATCCTAACTGTCCAAACTCTACGCCCGAATATCCGGAGGGCACCAATTTGTGGAGGATTAATCAATGTCTGGCCCCGAGGGCCTCCTACCGACCCCCGGGAGACGTTCGATTGTTTGTGCCGTCGGACCCGTCCCCGTGGCCCGGTGAACCCAATACCCTATCCTCAAATATCCCCCTCCTTCTTGGTTCCTCTATCCCTAAGCAGCAGCAGCAACCCCTTGAGATCCCGAACAAATGACCTCGCCAGACGAACAGTTTCGCTCTCGGCCGGGGGCTTCCCGGTGTGAATGGATGGTGTAACTTTGGCATCGGCAAGATTTGGTGGTGCGGCCTCATTTGTCTTTGTGAAAAGGCGGGAGAGTACGTACTAGGCGATAATGAGGTGTGAGAGGTAGGTGGTGGGGGTTCGGCAAGATTTTGCGCGGAAACAATGGGTGCTCCATATTTAAAGTTGGTGCATAAAGACATCTTTGTAAAAACCCGGAGCCTTTTGTTATGCTCTCAAAGCAATACTTAAGTTTAAAATGATTCTAACCTTTCCCAACCTATCGATTATTAACCCCGAACGCATCCGACAACCTTTGTGTCAGTGAAGGGGCGAACCCAATTATAGAGTGAATGCACCGGGAGCACGGGCCTCCTCCCCCAAGGCGTCCCTACTGAAGCACCCACTCCTCCCGTCAAAGCGCCCCTAATTGGAAACGCCACAATAATTAACATAAGCACCCCCTCACCCTCACCGACTGGAGCGGGATTCACCCAGCTCCCACCCATCCCCCCTGGCAAAATTTTAAGCTACCCGGATTCGAGCACCCCCGCCTGGCCTACCGTACCCCGCCTCAAATTCGACCGAATTAAGCCCCCCGGTGTGGCAGCTCGGGGTGGATTTTCGGGGGGCAGCGTGCACGAATTTGCATGGAGTGTCAAGTTAGGTTTGCGAGGCTGAGAGCCCCGGGACGGACTAGTGACGCATGCAAATGGGGGGAGGAAGCCCAAGAGTAGGAACGGGGGAGGGGGATCAAATTGTCAAGGCCTTTGGCTTATGCTCCCACACACCATTGTCCGGGGGTAGCAGCACCGGAAGCGCAGTTCGAGGAGTGATCGGAAATTTGAGAAGTTTGAAAGCGAAGTGGGGTGTACCTCGGGAGTAGTAAGGATCCATTAGGGAAATGCTGAAGTTGTAATTAGACTTTGGGTTTGCATATGAGAATTGGCGATTAATGATAGATGCTACATTTTCTAGGCGCACAAAGGATTTTGTGAACATAATTTGGGAGATCTCAAGGGGTTGGCAAGGCGCAAAAAAGTTTGCGGATAGCTGACCCTCATCTAACAAAGACACCTCAAACTTCTTAAGCCTCCCCATTACCATAACCCCTAACCTTGACTCATCCAAGATCCTAAAACCCCCTACCCGAACCGGATGTCCCCGGGTCCACAGCCCTAATCACTTCAACCAAATGCAGATTTTTGGCAATCAGCTGGCCCTCCCGGGGGCCCCATTCGGCCTTCCATGTGCAATTATCCCGAGCTCGACATTAAGGGTGGACGGGCCGGGAGCAAATTGGGAATTGGCTGCGAACGAGTGGATAGGGCCATATGCCGGTGCTCGACAGGGGTCAAGATGCATTAGGGACGCGCGCGCGCACGGCTACCCCACCGGCCAGCCCCGCCGGGCCACTCGATGTAGGCCCTGGTGCCACCTGATTCAACTTTTGGAATGAAATCGGGGAGTGGAGAATGGATGGGAACAAGGATATTCATGAAAATGTCAAAAGCGAAAAGTTGTAAGCTCAAAAAATCACCTCCTCTCGCTGAATCTGCTGGAGCCAGGGCTGCAAGGCCGGCGATGAGAAAAAAGGCCAGCCCGGCCATGCGGATACCTGAAAAATTATTATTAGTTAGAACACGAAGAGATGGAATCGGTAAATAGCTGCTCAGCTGCTTAGCTAGGCACCTAGCCGGAGTACCAATGAGATGCTTTGTGTCTTGAGAGGCCCGCCCTCATATTTTAGACCTCATAAAATTCAGAACGGCTCGGAAATGAGACCCCCAGAGCCGCTAAGATACAAGAATTTTCGAGGGGCTCAACAACAAAAAATTCTAAACATTTAGGCTCAAGCGCCACGAAATTAACGAAGCGAACGGGCGAAATGATGTGAGGAACGTCTACCCGGTGTCCGGCCAGCCCATCGGCTTTCGTAGGGAAGAAAAAACCGCTCCAGTCTCTTCAGTCTTTCCGGATTAACCGCCTAGAGGGCCCCGATCAGCCGCTTCACCAAGTAGGGCTCAGCTTCAAAACGCCGGGGCACAATGATAAGGGGCGAAATCCAGAAAAATGTTAAGCGCTTTATCACCAGGGTGCGGGGAGGGGGGAAGGATGGGGGGCGGCTGGGAGGGGTTCGCAGGAAGTAATAGAGCGGTCGAGTAATGAAAACAATCGCTCGCTGATCAAAAGTGATTTTATGGGTTTGAATGGGTTTAGATAATGGGACTATTTTTACATAATGCCTTTTGTGGTTCTTAATATGAAACAAGCGCCAGTAAGGATTCAGCTCTCACCTGACTCCCCTATGCAATCAGAACGCCCTACATAGGCCAAGATCTAGCGGCGAAAAGCTTGCGTGTCGTGAAGTGTTGCGGGGTGGATTGGTTGGTTATTTCGATGTGGACGCGGAGGATGGCGGAATGATGATTGCCCCTAGCGTGTCCGACCTCCCTTTTCCACCACCCCATCGTCGAAAGCCCCCCGGAGGGGATTGTTGCTCTCCGAATTTCACGCTCTCCGCCTCCAGGCCACTCCAACTATAGTTCGCAGAAGCCATATGGGGGGTAGTGGGGGGAGGGAAGCATCAGCAAAAAAAGGGCTTGGATGAGCCGGGTGGCCGATTGGATAGCATTGGTGCGCGTGGATTCATTACGGGGGTGGAAGAGTGGCAAAAATTTTGGGGGTGTTGAAATTGGATTCGGGGCTTGGGCTGGGTTTGCGAGATTGGTGTCGAGCAAAAAAATGATTGAAGTTATTAGGAGAAAGCTGGAATCTCGAAAAACCCAAATAAATATTGTTTAAGGTACAGACAAGGCAGAAAAATTTTTTCGAAAGCCGGTCTTTCAAGGAGTTCTCATCACAGCTATGAAACTATAAATTCTTCTATCTCTATATCTATTTCCATAAATTCAGCTATGAAAAAGACGCTTGCCGCTCAAAATAAGGCATACATCGTATTTAGATCCCTTTAAGTCCGGAAGCCTTTGAAGCAATTTCCTTACCTAATCTAATCATGCTGAGCCTGAATAAACAATCGCATACAGTAAGCCGTCAGCGGGCACTGTAGGATCGGCGGAATACGGTAGCCGGAAGAGGGTGTCGACACGGCAAGTGGGTTATTTACGAGCAGTCTCGGTGATTTACGACCTGCCGGGGGCCCGAGGCGCGTGGATGCGTTGCCGGGGTACGTCGATGGGGGCGGAGCTACCGCGCGTCCGACCACCCCGCCCCTCGGCTGAGACTATGCCTTTAGGGCATCATTCTCACACTCTACATCATGGCCTACGATTCCTTAGGGAAAACAAGGTGTGGGACACCTGTCTATCTCTCAATGGGTCATCCGACCACAATGTCCACATTGATATCGACGTGAAGGCCGGGGATCAATTGTCAAAACTACGGGAATGATTGTAACCGAAGGGGATTAGTGAGTAAATGAGATATATGAGGAAACACTACTAATTATAAAAGCACAGGTTTCTTAAAACTACAGAAAGTGACCACTTTGACAAGTGCAAAAATGGATGTTAAATTTAGTACAGCCCAGGTAAGTTTTAAAATTTCGACGTTTGAATGTGATTGGTTGAGAAATAGACTAAATCCAACAATTATCAAAAAAAATTGTTATAACCGTAACTATATAACAAATCGTCATTTTAAATCTGCAAAAGTGGGTGTTTTTTCTAGTGAGGGCAAGCTACGTTTTAGTACAACATCTTGCCTGGATTTTTTATCCAGATTCTGCCGAAATATTGGTGGACACGGGCCCCCGGCTTATCAACCATAACATCTCCAAGCCGAAATGCCAATGTTGTCTCGCGGCGATGCAACACGAAAAGAACAAATGGCACCGGAGGATGACTTTTGGCTTCAGAGATGTCTTGCTTTTTTAATGACGCAAGAGTGGTGGCAAAACATTACAAACCCTGAATATATGTAATGCATCCCCTACTACTCCTTTCATCTGCCATCTAACAATACTTTTTGTTCCTGTCATCCGCATCGAGGTCTATAGCCACCGACAGTAGCGTAACCCTTGAAAAGTCATTTGTTTGCCAGGATGTTGGCCGGGCATGCCCGTATCCGGCAGATCAAAGCTATTGCGAAGGGGGAAGGAGGACCCTTGTTATTGCAGTGGGTCATCTGTAAGGAGGGCAAATAAGACAAAGATGGAGCTCGTCTAAGGTAGACGACAATTGGAAATGGCTACCGAGACGATACCGAATATCGGTTACGTTGTTAAATGCTGCCAGCCACTGACGTAGAGCTGATCTTATTCCAATCAAATCCGCCCTTAGATACGAAAGCTTTTTTTGAAGATTTTGTATCATGTTTAAAGCTTACATTTTTACATGCAAATCACGTTTTTTCAGGTTTAACAATGGATTTTGTTTGAATAAGATCAGCTCTATCTCAAAGGCACAGAGGCTCTAGGATAAATTACAGTCCAAGCTCTGCGTAAAAACTTTGAAAAATTTGATTTTCAAAAACTAAGTAAATTGCTGAAAACTATTAATTTGGCCAAAGCTAACAACGAGGAGCTGGTAATAAGAACGATGCAAGTTTCGGAGGAAGATAAATCGATCTGGCTGAAGCCAATTGGTCTCGGGACGATTGAGTGGGCCCCCATTTGATTGTGGCAAGTCAAAAATGAGCACGAGCCCATCGATCAGGGCCTCCCGGCTAGGTGTCACTTTGTGCACACCCGAAAACCCGACGCTTTCGGGCGTCGCTTGCACTAATGAGCCACGCTAGGGTGGATTTTGCAATTAGCATGGCGAGCGATTTTTTAAGAGCCCAAAATTATATAATTGCTTTCATAGAAAGGAAATGCAGACTGGAGGTCCTAAGCGAAAAACGTGAAACAGCTTGCCATCCGGTCAGATGATCCGCCGAAACGCGAAAATGTTTTGGCTGGGCGTGAAAGAGGAGGAGCCACTTACGTAAAGTGATCTGGGTGATGGAAAAAGCGAAAGTGAGATCTGAATTAAAGTCAAAAAGCAAAATTCAGCAAAGCATTACCACCGTTTAAAGGGTAAAAGATTTTGCAGGTCCCAAAAGCGCGTATTTTGTAATTTACGTAAGCGAAAACCAAATGAGATGGGGAGCTAGGCCTAAAAAGAAGCCACAAGGTCATCAAGTATGCATGTCTGCACGAAGAACTTTTCGAAAAGCCCCTAGCTCCATCTCTACCCCGTCTCAACCAACAAGAAAAAAGGGATGGACAAGGTTTAGTCCCCCCTTCCCACTATCCCTAACCCTCATACTGCTGTTGTATAGCTCCGGTGATAGGATAGGAAGTGTGTCCGGATCAGGGTTGCTTATTTGAGGAGTACTCGTTGGATACTCATGGCAACGAGGCGGCCTAAGAGTCGAGACAAGACCCCCGGTCAAATGCCATTTCCCAGCAGCCACAACCACCACTACCGTGTATCCACACTACACCCAGGGCCCCCAACTTTTTCACTTTAGCTGCTTCTCCAAGCCACGCATGCATTTTGGAAATCAGTTGGAGTGGAAGGGGGTGCGTGCTACTTTTTCATGCAAAAAATCGGGGCCCCGGACAAGTTTTTCCGCTTCCACGCGAATTGGTTGGATAAAGGGGGGAAGCTAGGCATCGTAGACCAAGATTTAGTATTATTTACTAGGGTTGGAAATTTGATGTTATGGTTCATGAAGATTTTTTTGTCAAGTAGGCAAAGTGAAGCAATATGAATTATTAAATAGGCTAGAAGGTTAGAAGTGCGCGAAACAATCCTTCAAATTGGAAAATTCGTCTCATCTAGAGTTTTTTTAGAGCATCGCATGGAAGGGCAACAAACCTCGCAACACATTGCCCCTTCACCTCTAGCCCAAAATGCCGAAAGAACGACCCGGAAAGAGAAAAGAGCCTCAAAAGCCACACAGCCGGTCAGCTCTCTGCGAAGCACAAGCTGAAATGCTTTAGGATAAACACGAAACATATAAAAGTCCGGTTTATTCATTCAGATCCTACATTTTCTACAGGTCGTAAATAAATAAACGTAAGTAAATAACGTAAATAAATCGTCGACTACCTACGTTCTTCCCACCAACCCGACCTATAAATCACGGTTCATTGATTAATTGCAGCACCCAGCCGGCGGGGTTAAAAGACGAATCGGCTCGCACCTAGACCCGCAATTAATACGGTCTTTATCCCAGCGCCTAACAAATTCTAGGTACTGCTATGAGGTCTTGCCATGAATTCGAGCAATTAGCACCTGTTCGTGGACAGGTGGGAGAGGGAGGGTTGCTCGGGCTGGCCTCAAATTGGGTCCCGCTGCGGTCCTTTGATGGGGCCGAGTGGTGCCAAGTGGTGGGCCCATTTTCATAAGATATAAGGTTTCTACCCCGGGGAGTGGGTTACCTTGGCGGTTGGTGCCCTTATGGGCCAAGTGAGGGGCTAATGAGTGTAATAACAGGTTGATTACAGCCGCGATGACCGTGTCTCCGTAATTTGGGTAGTGAAGTGGAGCGCAACTTGTTATGAGCCAGTCGGGTCATTTGGAAGATGTTAGCAGTGGATAAGAAAGCTTATATATCCTGGATTAACGTGTCTAAGTGTTTATCAATCTTCCTTGTCTCGCAGATACACACCTCAGAAAAGCTACTACGATGAAAATTTGCAGCTCCCATGCACCACTCCCCATGTATATTACGCCAGGATGTCAAAGTCGAGGCCCTCAAAAGCCCCCATCATAGCCGGGCAATTGGTGCCCGAGCCCGGACTTCATCCATCATATTTCGAATGACCGCCCAACAGCTACACGTAGATAAGCAAAAATACGGACCCGCTGGTGCTCCCCCGGGAGTGGGCCAGCAACTACCTTGCAAAATTAAACATCGAGAAAAAAGCGCTCCGAGGTAGGGGGAGCAAAGTATCATAAAATTATGCTGATTTTGAACTCAAAGCCGGTTTAATGCTGGATGTGATGACCCGTGTAAGTGTTAAAACCAGATTAGCTATAAAAAACAATAGTAGACTAGAAAAAAACTCGAATTGTTCTTCGGGATAACTCCTAGACAACTGTTTACACAAATGTTGAGTGTCCCCCACGTCCACCCACGTGGACCCAAATATGATTAAAACTACTCGTTAAAAATCAAGAAATGTCTAGCCATTCCGCCTCCACTGCTTCTTTGAGAATTCTATTTTTATTTATATTTGGCAAGAACTTTATTCAACTTTGTTTCCTAACAAATTAACGCTGGTCTTTGAAGGGATCCTCCGGGTGTCCAATCATGCTGAAAACAGGATAGTTTTTGAATGAATTTAATAACTCACAAGTCTTGTGGGAAAAGGCGCACATGATGTGGCGAGTTGTTTAGGCGCTCCATTTCTTGGGCTCTAAATAATTGTGATTCGGTGACATGTTGCGTCCTTACGAAAGAGTGAAGTCGAAGATGTCAAAGTTTTCTTGGATTCTTGAGGGGGTCACGGATTTGGGGATGACGGCAATATTGCGCTCAACGGCCCATCGTAGGAGCACCTAAAGAGGTATGGATCATTTCAAATCTTTTCTGGATTTTGTATATACATTTAAAACACCGCACCTGTGGTACACTCTTGTTGTACTTCTTCGAAAGCTCACGAACAAACGCGTCATCCATGTCAGCCGGGGCAGGGGCCCAAGCCGGCTTTCTAAAAAAATTAGTCTAAAAATCCAATGAAGTTAACATACACTCCATTGGGGAGCGTGAAGTTGAAGCGGCCAGGGGAACCCAGTGTCGAGAAGGATGTCAGCGAAATGTTGTGCTTCTTGCACACCTCTTCCAGCTCGAATTGCGGGAAATACAGGTGGAGCTCGACCTGAACCGATTTGCACAAAATCTTTCGGCATTCCAAACCTGTTGGTTGTGAATGGGGACCTCGGCCTCCGCCATGATACGCTCAATCTGGTCAATGTTATAGTTCGAAACACCGATGGCGCGGGTGAGTTTTTGGTTATAGTTTTTCTCCATGGCCTGGATGAGTCGTTAGAATTAATTTAATATTTGCGAATTTACCTTCCAATTGTCAACGACAGTTACATCAGGTTCCGGGGTGTTTCCATCGATCTATTTTGAAATTATAAAGTGGCTCTTGCAAGATAATACCGAGTATGCTGCCGGCATATGGGAAAGGTACAGGTCAACATAATCCAGCTGGAGTCTCTTCAAGGACTCGCGGATGCCCTGCTCAACACGCTCAGGGTTAAGGTGTGTCATCCAGTTCTAGAAGTTTCTACACTGTAACTATTCAGTGTATACCGACCTTAGTGGTAATGAAGAGATCCTTGCGCTCAACGATGCCTTCCTTAATGCATTCCTAAAAATTTGTTGATAAAATTCTAAGCGAAATATTTCACCTGAATCGCCTCTCCAATCGTATCCTCATTCCCATACACAGCCGCGGTATCAATAAGGCGATATCCGCTAGTGATCGCGGCCTTTACAGCGGTTTTCACTTCCTCAGGTTTAGACTAAATTTCAATCCATATCATAGGCCCGTATTCTAACACTACCTGCCAAGTTCCAAGGCCAAAAATAGGCATCTCAACCCCATTTGACAGCTTGATTGTAGGTCCACCAACTGTCATCTTGCTATAAATTATGGTTATTGCAAAAGAATAGTGGGTGAAAGGGGAAACGGGAAAAGACGTGAGAACTGTTTGCCGTCTCGGAAAACCCCCGGGTTTATAGACATAGCCTGCTTATCAGAAAAGAAGAAGGGCTGGAGAAAGGTTAGATACTCGCAGAAAGTCTCCTTTTTGTCAGCACCCGAATCACACTGACGTAAGGCAACGAATAGCTAGGCATTGATTGGAGCGGATAGCTAGACTGACTTTCCCTGGATTTAGAAACGAAGAAAGTTGGATCATGTTATAAAGTTATTAAATTTCGTGTATATCACCCTTCAAAACCGTCCATAGACCAAGTCTTTATTCATAAAAACACGAAAAATTCATCAATTTCCAAAAAATGAGATCGATTTATTGAAAAACTTTCTGATATCATGCAGGGGTATGGCAAGGCAACTGGGTGCACGAGAAGAATTTTTGTATGTGGCCGTGGCTCAGAGATAATAGATAAAGCCCTTTGTTTTGGGTGCGAAAAAAAACCGGGACGGTGAACTAGAAAATCTGCTAAAAAAGTGAAGACGACCAGCTGGTTGATACAATAAAAAGACCCTGCGGTATAAATATGGATCGAGGGCGAGGAGAAAAAGGAACAATAATACATTTGATTAAGAGCCACCGGTTTGGGCACCGCTCAATAGCAGGAGAAATGATGGATTAAAAACCAATTTATAATTAAAATATAGTGCTTTGTTGGTGAAGCTTCTTCACGCTCATTGTTCTCCGGTGGTGCTGAATGCAGCCGAATGATAGCAAATCGCGGAAGCAGCGCCGAAAATCCCCGTTGTACATTGTGTAGATAATTGGGTTTAGCACCTAAATTACACATTTTTTTGAATTGCATTTTTTTGGCATACCGAATTTGAATAGCCAAGCCATAAGAAAAACTCGTTGGCCAGTGTGAAGAGCCGGTAGGAAGCAATGTTCGTAAACACTTCGGCGAGATAAAGCACGAAAAATGGCATCCAACATATAATAAACCCTAAAAAGTTGTTAAGGCTTTTAGCAGGTTCATCTTACCGAGTACGACAATCCCGATAGTTTTTAGCGCCTTTCGCTCACGGAGATACACCATTTTCTCCTTGGAGCCACGCACGCTCTTCCCTGGGCCGCAGATTTGATAGTGCTCTTGCGCCTAAATATAATTATTAGTAAAAACAATCCAATACTTCATAAAGTTAGATAGGACCAACCAACTGACATCAGGTTGGCAAAAACGTAATGCCCAGAGAATTTTATCAGCAATGAAAATATTACAGGTGTCTAGGCAGCTCAAAGGCCCCCACCCCGCTCGCGCCACGATTCTAGCTTGCAATCGAAATGTGTTGGGTTTGGTTAGAAAATGAAGGAAAAGTGAAAACACGAAAATGGCGACTCGGGCCGAACGCGACCCCTGAATGGGCCCTATGCAGACCTACCCCGCGTCGGCGGGCAAAGCGGCGGCGTCGGAACTGAAAGTGAGAAATGGAATAAACCCGGACCTTTGCCATCAGGTTTGACGGCTGGAGACGGTTTTGGCATGCGGCCGCTTTTCTAGACAGCGTTGGTACCTCGGTGTGGACCTCGGTGGTTTTTCGTGGCGGTGGGGTCATCTGGGAGGAAGCAATTATAACCAACTGGAGGCTAGGACTTACGTTGACAGATTTTTGTGCGAGATCAGCCATTGAATGACACTCCCGTTCCATAGTTTTCAAGCGAACTCCCGGCGAGCTGCTGGGCCCATTTGTGGAATCTAATGGTCTAGTTTTAGATACACAGTAAAAACCGACTTAAATTCCCAGCTGAATGGAGGAGAGCCGACGAATAATCATGATCGCCAGGCGGACTTTCGTCATTGTCGGAACTATCCACCCTGGGACGACTATTTTGCCTTGGTCTGGCGCCCGGACTTCGGAACCTCAAAAACCTTTCATTAGTGTTGAAAATCGTTGACTGACTGTTGCAAATCGATGGGTCGACTCGTATAATTCACTCTCGTCCCATTCTCTAGCACACTCGCCGGGTTATTTAGCATTTGTAGTCGGGCCCTGGAGTAACTTTCATTTACTTCAATCCGTAATCTCCATACCGATTTTGCCGGATCTGTTGTTGTGTCTTTGCCTGGCTCTTCTGCAATCGATTGCTGAGGCGGCACGTTCCAACAGATTGTCGCATCAATGCCTCCCTTTCGGAAGCAACCCGGAAGATTTTGAAGTACACGGAGAGCATTACCTAATAAAGGTAGGTCTTCACAAAAATTCAGCTAACCAGTAAGGGTAAATAAAAGCTGCCTAGGGCGCTGTAGATCCGATATGGGATCGATGGGCTGTACTGGCAGAATAGATATGAGGGGGTCGTTGGCAGCTTTATTGGAATTTCAGCGATTCCGCTGATGGTTGTGTTTAAATCTAAGTTTTATTGATTGATTGCAAAACTATCGTTTTCTTACCTTGCCCTGTAAACAAGCCCCATTCCTTGATAAACCAGGGTGGGCTGCAAATCACGAGGGATAATATCCAAACCGCCGATAGTAAACCAGCAGCCATCTTTTTGCTTCTAAATTGATGTTGCAATTTCACGAAGTGTATAGCTTGCCTGGTTCGTGGATATTTTAACGGGCTTGTGATCGCAAAATATCGATCCAAACTGATGACGCAAAGATTCAGTATGGAGGCGGTACAAAGCAGCACATCGGAAGTGGCCCAAAGTTGGCAGAGAACATCACCGAATGGCCACTTGTGATCGTGGAGCAGGTCAAGTAGTGATAATGGCATCACCACGAGTCCTACCAACAGGTCTGAAAAAGTCATTAGATAACCTTTAATGCATGATTTTATACGCTTCCCCTCGCAATGCTTACCCCAAAAAATCCCCCTCCCATTCCACCCAGCTCTAGTTTGATATAGAGCAAAACCCTCCATCCTCCCACCAAGCCATTTTCTGCGTGACGCAAAAATATAATTGCCTTGAAAATGGGTTGCAACTGCAGGCACCCCCACATTCTCTTCAAAAATTTAATGTCATGGAAGTACTGCGGGAAATATGGTGATGGCCCCGCGGGTTCCGGGCACGAAAAAGCCATTATTTCCCGGAGATTCAAATGAAGAACCGACCAGCGGTCGCCAGTGAGGTCAGCAGGATGTTTGTGAATGTGCGCATCCGTTTGTAGACGAACACGGAGAGAACGACGAGCACATTGCCGAAGATTGTCATTAGGATTAGCATCACCTGCAAAAATTATTCTCTTAATTTGAGGAAACTGACTTTTACAGCAATAATAAAACCCTACACCTACCGCAAAACGCCTGAATCATTTAGCTATATTTTTCTCTACACAAGAAATGCTAAATATCAGGTTGTACAAAAAATGCTGGCGGTTTTGGGTTTGGATAGCTTCAAGAGCAGGTTTGATAGCAGGGCTGATTGTAATTTGCAACTTGAAAGTACTCTTTTTGCTTTACACGGTAGTTATAGTAGTTTTGTCTTATTACTTTTCATAGTTTTTTACAAGGTCTGCAAGTTGAGTCCAAAACTGCCTTGTTTTCTTTTTTCCTTCAGAATTTTGTTGCGAGGCGGCGTGAAGCCCAAATCAAGATAGGGTTCGATTGAGCTTAAGCCTAAGCCTAAGCCTAAGCCAAAGCCTAAACTGGTCCTAAGCCTAAGCCTAAGCCTAAGCCTAACAAAGATACCTCCCCAGCTCGAAGTTCGACTTCCGTTAGCTTATCCGATGCAGTTTTTCGCGCTGATCACGATCCCGATATTTATTTTTGCCCAAATTCATAGGAACGCTGTGAAAAATCATCTGCCCCACCCGCTTCAAAGCCTCTTTCCAAGCGAGAGGCATCCATCGGTGGCGTGGTGTAGTCGGCAAGTACTTGGTATACCAAATTTTTCATCTGTTTTGCATCATTTGGTCGGTTTGATTACGATTTTATGTTCGGTTTCATTTTTTTGGTCAAAGAAAGCTTGGATTATCAAAGGTCAATCAGCAGCTTCTAGCGCTTGCTCAAAACTGTTTTGTGTTTCCGAAAAGGAATTATTAGGCTTTGTTTACTGTAGATTTTGATATCTAGCGCTTTTCTGCTCCGGGGTGAAAAGAAGGAGAGTTTTTAACGGCACAATTACTGATAATCATTATCAGGATGGTGCTGTGTTGTTGCCAAAATGCTTTCTGTTGCCAAATTATTGAGTAAAGGGTCAAAAACGCTACAAAAATTGTTACTGGGCGTATAGCCTTCCCAGCACTTTTTTTTCCAAAAAGCAAAAAACGTCGTCTGCGGCAAGACACGAACCCCTGGCCACTAGATTAGTATAACAAGTATTTGGCGACTACACCACGCAACCGACGGATCCATTGCCCTGGGCAAGGGCCTTGAGGCAGGGCGGCAAAATGTGACGAAACTTTAAAGCAATTTTTAACAGTGTTCCTGTGGATTTGGGCAAAAATAAATAGCTGTATTGTCTGATGGTAAACTGCATCTCATAGGCTATTTAGCTAATCGAATCTGAACTTCGGGCTGGGGAGGTATCCTTGTAAGCCTAAGCCTAAGCCTAAGTGCTATCAACACTGCTCTTGAAAAAGCTATCCAAGCCCAAATCCGTCAGAACTTTTTGTACAACCTAATATATCCAATTGGACTTAAAGAGATGAGGACGGCATCTGTTGAACCCCCCTTGCGGAGGGGGTTCAACAGGTCCCGCGGCGATCTCGCGCGAGAGAGGGCTCCCAGGGAAGAGGCGCAGAGACATTTTCTTTCCCCCGCGTAATCGATTGACTTATGCCGCCCCTATCCCTTTAAGCAGTTCGTACATTGCTGACTATAAACTATCCATTCGCAGGTGATTATCGCAAACCAGAAAACTACATGAACTTATACAGCTTTTTTTCTTCTATTAACGACCGCCCAAATTTTCCAAAAATCTTCCGATAGGCTCCACTTACCAGAAACAATGCAATAAATACATCCTGGATGCCTAGGCACACCTTCGTCGTCGTCGGTTCCAATGTGGATGTCGCTAAACGGGCCGAGTATAAAGCCATGTCTATTGCCATACGTATGCCGGTAGTGGTAGCAATTACGGTCGCCAAAACTTCACCAATAGTTGGTACCGCGGTGATTGGCGTGGTCTAGACAAAAGCAACTATAGACACGGATTAGTTCTTGGCGCATGCAAACTGGGGGAATTTTCGAGGGATCGGCAAGACATGGTTATGGTCGTAATTCACTACAAAAAGTAAGCGAGATGAGCGCGTTGCGCCTGGCGGGCGGGACAAAATCTAGATTTAGGCCATAGTAATTGCTTTGCCGATTCCTTAAATGAACAGTGACATGCGTGCATAACGGATTTAAGCCGAAAAATTAGCCAAGCGGTTAAAATGTAATCTTAATTTTTGTTTTGCCATGATGTAGGGGTCCCTAGTTCTCGACCTTATTTCCCGCTGTAAATATGTTTTGCTGTTTAGTGCCCCTCGAACCCCTTCGGCCAGAAAAGGCTTCCACTACCTCCCACCGATCTGTTTATGACAATGTTTCGTTCTCGACTTCCCTCCAAAAATAGTAAAAACCGCTGGCTTTTCGGAATTACTTGCCGAATTCGTAATTTGTGTTATTCCAAAAGTATACCTACTAAATTACTATAAAATTTTCGCAAAAACCGCCTTCTTTAAAGCTCAAGCCCCTTGGAGATGTTTGGCCACCGCTCGAAGGCAAAAGATGACGTCCGGGGCGTGTATGAGGAAAAAAAACCCGTGGTGTGCGTTTATTTCCGCTGTGGGGGAAGTCCGGGGCCCGTTGAACACCAGAGAGCCCTTTTGGTGGGCGGCGTTGTATTAAGGGAGTAAGCGCGGAAGTATTTTTAGTGCGACCGAGATTGGATGAGGTCAAGGGGAATGTGAATTGTTAAGTAGTCCGAATGGAGATGATGGGGAGGGGATTCCGTGCTGATGTGTGTAGAAAATTGGAATAGTAGATAGATTGATGAGGGGAAATGTGGATATTGCTATCTGGGTAATAAACGCTACGAGAACCGGAAGCCGAAAAATAACCCTCCTTGGTTGCAGAATTTGCAAAAATTAGGAATCAATCTACCGACTGCTCTTAAAAAGCCGAGAATTTTAATTCGCAATTTGTAAAACTGAAAACCGCGAAAATAGCAAGTTTATGGGAGAGCGACATGCTAATTGCCGGATTCCCGCCCAAAAACATGGCGTTTTTCTGAACAAAATACGTCCAGAAAGCGCGAAGGAAAACATTTTAGAAAATTGCAAAGCGCTTATTTTCTCGCTTTTTCTATGCTTTGGAGTTTCAAAAATTATTCGAGAAGATTAAGCTTAGAAACTTAAAGCCGGCGTTGAAGCCCATTTCGACATGCAGGTTAGCGGAAAGTGCAGAAAACAAAGACCCAAAAATTTTCTGTCCCACCATGTCGGCGATGGAGATGCGGTAGCGTAGTGCTCAGCATCGGCGTCGGCAGCAGCTAGCTCGCAAATGGGTCATTCGTCAAGGCCTGAATAAAAAATAAGTTAAAAAATAACAGCAATCAAGTAGGAATGAAGCAGTCGCCTTGGAAGCGTATCCACCCGGATTCCGATCTCCCGACTCCCCGTCCACCAGCCATTCCGTTTTCCTTCCCTCCCCTCTAACCAATCGCCCAGCCACGCGTCAACGTCTCCCCCACCCCCATATCCACCCTCCCTTCTCTTCTAACAAATCTGGGAATTCCGCGTGGCTTCTAAATGCCGTCCAATGGATACGAGGCTCCAATGACACAAGCCACAGACTGTACTATTTCGCGCTAGAGGTGGGGGGAGGCATGGCGGAATGACCGATGGACTAGGTTAATCGGGACGGAGAATTCGGAAAACAGCACAGAAAGTAAAATGGAAAGGATTTGGTGACTATGACACAGGTTGAGCGAGCGAGGAAAACGAACACATCATGAAAACGCAGAAGACCAGAGAAAAACAAGGGCAAGTTCAACAACTATGAGAATGGAAGTGCTTTGCAGAAAAAAGTACCGAAATGTTTAACATGAAACCCTTCATTTCACTTTATCAAATTTTGAATGGACGAAGGCTTCGTTTGGCGGAACCAAACTCTGGCTTCGTAGCCTAAATCCTGGTCAAATACAAAAATTCATTACGAGGATTAAGTTAAAAAGGCAACTTCGAACTCGGAATTGATTGCCTTCCCGGTCTACCAGATTCTAGGCTCGAAAGTGAATGTTGCAATCGATTGAAATAAATTAAATAACTCTCACTCAACATTGAATAGATCAATGTCAAAGTGGGGTGGAAGAGCGAGGAGTGTATAACTGACCGCCGCTCCGTGTTCGGATGTAATTCCCCCTGAAATTGCGAGCGCCAATTGAATGAGCAGAAATCGGTGATGCTTGTTGGCCGGCCAGGGATTCCCCCGGAATTCGAAAAACGAGTGCGACGACCGGATGGGGTTGGTGAAAAAGGGCAAAGCATCGTTGATTCGGGATTCTGGGCGAGGGGGATTCGGGTAGGGGGGCTAGGATTTGCTACGCACTTGTGGTTTTGGGGTGCTAAAAAATGGTGTATTTTAGGTTGAAAATTGCCAATACAAATTTTTGGTCCCCCAGACAAAGCAAGCGAGCCTGAAAAAGCGCTTCCCAATTTCCGGGACACTCAAAAGCATCCAGGGCACAAAAACATCATCCGGTCCATTGTCTTCGGAAACACAAGACAAAAAAGGAGACGCCCCGTGCGAAGAATAATTTACCCACAATTAACGTAGCCATGATCCGCCCCACCCCAAAAGCCTTAACACTATATTGAAATGGTCCCTAATGAAGGATCAATAGCAAACGAGGAGCATGCCGAGAAGACATCCATCAATGCAAATGCCTCCACACAGCGCCTCGAATAATAAATAATGTGTGGAAGAGGCAACGTGATACACACGCGGAAGAGTTCCGGGCATGGGAGGGGAAGAGCCACACAGCTCTTTCTCCACCTCCTACTTGTTAGCCGAGCATAGCCGAGCAGTTCGGCGGGGAACGGGTGGGATAGGTGGTAGAACGGGAATTCTTCTCATGCAAAATAGAATTGAAATCACTAGAGTCAGCCAGATCTGTAGTATTCCAATTTTGGCGCCATGCGTAAATACACACCCCTGCGTCACTAACCCCGAATTTATAATTAAAATCTGTTGGAAGTGAGACGAAAGGTGAAAGCCTCCCTTTCTCTACAGCCGAAAAATTTAATGGCATTTTCAACGACTGAACAGGTGAAACGTGTGGAAGTGGGACAGGGATCAGCCTGGAAATCAACCCAAAACGGGGGCGAAGCCATTTCTGCGTCAAGCCCCCTGTCAACATCTGCACAACCTTTACTTTTTAGAAAACCCTTAGACGGCAAAATATTTATGGAATGGATGAAATTGGCGTTAGATTGGCATATATTGAGCAAAGCCAAATAATTTGAAAGGAAGGTTTCATGGTTTAGCAAAGCTTGCATGGCGTGCCGAAGACATGTGTTTTCCCAGATGCCCACCGAACGCACCTTGATAAATAGGAGCTATTCTTCATTATACAAAAAAATTTGCTTTCCGAGGATTAGTGGGACCATAGAGGGCAGTTCAGAGTTTACATAACAAACTATGAAAACAAGAAAATCGCGTAATGCTAGTAAGTAACTTGAAATCGCAGTACCACCGACCTCAAGAGGTCCTTGGCACGAAAGCACGAAAGCAAAAAATCAGCGCGAGCAAGATCAAGGCCATAATATAGTTTCGGCCGGGCCGTTCCTTCACGCGGCGCGTTTTTTCAACGGCTAGGGGTAACTGCCCGACTTGACTCGGCCGACGCGTCGGGCAGAAGAGCGCAAAATGCGAATCGAATCAGTTGAGGAGGGGGAAAAGGAGCCACCCGGAATGGCGGACAGCCCTCCTTCTCGCCTCATCAGAAGATGTCCTCGTTGGCCACTGGGCCACATTCAGTATCTGTTATCCATGCAAATAGGGGAACGGCAGTGGTAATCAAAGTAATGGTGATATGGACGAGAGATTATAATGTTTTGAAACATGGATAAGCTATGCGCGCGGGGCAAAATTTTTGAAATAAGTAAAAGCCATAATGATACAGCCATTAGGCCATGAAGTACAAGCACTTTACTAGAACTCCTTAAAAACGAATGAATTGCCGGGTTAGACAACACCAAAACAACCCATTGACAAATCAAAAAACCTTTTTACTTTCCCTGGAAGGCAAATGAAAGACATTTGCTAAAACCTCCTCATCAACGCGAAAGAGGTTTCCATAATCTCGGTAGAAAGTTAAGACTCCGAAAACAGTCTGTCCCAAACTTCTCGAGTTCGAGAATGCGATCCAAAGAGGCATCCGGTCCGGGGAAAGCCCCGAGGGGTAACGGCTTAACTTTTTAGTGGAGAAATGGGGATTATGGCCCGGAAGGAGGGATCCAGGCAATTCCGTTGGAGGGCACATTTCGGATTGTCTCGCGAAGACCGACAACCGCTGGATTTGGGATTTAGGCGTATACAATCCAGAAAAGCAGTCTACCCTATGTCTGACAACTGGATTCCAAACTTGAGCATTCGCCAGATCCAAGGCTCAAAAGTCAGTATCAGCTACGTGGGGGCTCCCAAAATGGGATTTCGATCGGAGCGACGGAAGACCCGTGAGAAGTTTCGTCCAATTACCCATTGCCCGAGGTGACAGCCATTTCTGCAACACCAATTGATTAGAAAACCAACTCGTCGGGGCGGCCAGGCTAAAGTTCCCCAAACTGGATGGAAAACGGGAGGATTCGCCCCGAGAATAGAGTACACACACAAACGGTTCCGGGTCGGCATATTGAATTTTTTCTGTATGAGGTGATCTATTCAAAAGGGCGAACGTGGCGGATAAAATTGATTATGTCTATCGGGGCCTGGGCTATACTATTTGAGGGCTAAGCCCCCCACCACACCGTTCAGACACACCAAACAACAAGACCCCCCATTTTGAGACGCCACCCTTTACGCTCCCATCCCCGCAATGGTTAGAAAATGCAAAGCTGTCGAACAGCGCCAACAGCCAACACCAAGTTTCAAGTTTTCTTCTTCTTGTTCGGCTGGGCCTAGGAGGGAGGCCACCACCCCGTAGGCGCCGCTCATATTGAATTTATGGCGAAAAGGTCATTGGGGCGGACGCGTAGCCGAAAATGGATCACGGCCACAGCTTTAACTATGTGTAAAATCTTGATAATAAAGTTAAGCTTTACTCAAGGGCCTAGAAAGGATTGGAAAGGCTTAAATGTGGGTAACAATATGGTTTTGTGTGGAGATGCATAATCAATTTTGCCGGGAGGGACCCGTTGCAAGCGGGGCGGGCGTTCAATTATTCAGGAAAATAAGCTGAAAAAGCCTGGGATGCGCCCAGAGCAGACAATTCGGAAGGCTATGGATTAATGGACCAGATGGCCTCTACCAGAAATGTGGTGGCCCTAGAATAGACATAGATATACGGAGAGATCTACAGATCTGACAGAAACGGATCGTTCGAGATGTTTGCAACGTAGAGTTGGGAAAATTCTTGGATTCGCGGCCGAAGCGGCCCCCCGGGGGGAATTTGGTTATAGCCCATGAATGACTGTGCTCGCGGCGAAAACCAGGTTAGAAAGGAGAAATATCCCCCTCCACTTCCAACCCAGCCAGCTATTTAGGGGCAGACATTGAAAATTCGGAGAAGAGCATAAACCCAAAGGAATCGGGTTGAAAGCACGCCAAGGAGGTGAAGAACCGAAAAAGTGACTGGCCTGACTTTTTTCTGTGGGTGTTTATTAGCTTCTACTCCTTGCGAGGAACGGCAGCGGCGTTATTGGCCAAATTTTTGAGGACCCTAGGGCGATCACGAGGTTCCAGGGAAGCCAAGCTGTTCTCAGAATCTAGGATGAGGCCAATCCGCCGCCAACCCGAAAGTTTTCAGATGTTGCTGGGATTATTTAACATTCGATACAAGCTTTTTAGGCCCTTGTAGTAAATATGGCAAACTGAAAGCCAAGATAACGAAGTACCAATGAAGCTACTTTCTAAGGTCAGCGACGAGCCATGGGGAAAGCCCTCCAATAATAATTAGATGCGAATATGATTGACGATGTTCTGCATAATGAATTCCCCGGAAACGCTTCCAATTTGGGGAATGTCTTTTCCTTCCGTTTTTCAAAAAAGTGTGCTGAAGGCCTGGCAGGAAATCTCGAATTTGCTGTGTTGAGTTTGGTTGGATGGATGGGGGCGGAAGATCCTATAAACGATAAAGCGGAAGCTCTGGGGGTGGGCCAGTAGCTAAAGGACATAGGCCCGATATTTAAGCGTGGAAGGGGGAAGGAGAAGCGGGGCGAGCTAATGGAGTAGCCTTTAGTCGCTGCTGAAAGAATATTGCTAAAATATAGCTTTCAAGC